AACTATGCAATACACCAACTACTCCATTTCAGAACGAACTTGCTACGAACCTGAATAGTCCGATTTGATGGACCAATCGATATCGGATTGAGTCCAAAACTTGGAGAACAACATAATATGGTGGGAGGAGTCATTTGGTTGGTTTGGAGTGAAATCCAATGGCTAAAACTATGCAATACACCAACTACTCCATTTCTGAACGAACTTGCTACGAACCTGAATAGTCCGATTTCTTGGACCAATCGATATCGGATTGAGTCCAAAACTTGGGGAACAACATAATATGGTGGGAGGAGTCATTTGGTTGGTTTGGAGTGAAATCCAATGGCTAAAACTATGCAATACACCAACTACTCCATTTCAGAACGAACTTGCTACGAACCTGAATAGTCCGATTTGATGGACCAATCGATATCGGATTGAGTCCAAAACTTGGAGAACAACATAATATGGTGGGAGGAGTCATTTGGTTGGTTTGGAGTGAAATCCAATGGCTAAAACTATGCAATACACCAACTACTCCATTTCTGAACGAACTTGCTACGAACCTGAATAGTCCGATTTCTTGGACCAATCGATATCGGATTGAGTCCAAAACTTGGGGAACAACATAATATGGTGGGAGGAGTCATTTGGTTGGTTTGGAGTGAAATCCAATGGCTAAAACTATGCAATACACCAACTACTCCATTTCTGAACGAACTTGCTACGAACCTGAATAGTCCGATTTCTTGGACCAATCGATATCGGATTGAGTCCAAAACTTGGGGAACAACATAATATGGTGGGAGGAGTCATTTGGTTGGTTTGGAGTGAAATCCAATGGCTAAAACTATGCAATACACCACCTACTCCATTTCAGAACGAACTTGCTACGAACCTGAATAGTCCGATTTGATGGACCAATCGATATCGGATTGAGTCCAAAACTTGGAGAACAACATAATATGGTGGGAGGAGTCATTTGGTTGGTTTGGAGTGAAATCCAATGGCTAAAACTATGCAATACACCAACTACTCCATTTCTGAACGAACTTGCTACGAACCTGAATAGTCCGATTTCTTGGACCAATCGATATCGGATTGAGTCCAAAACTTGGGGAACAACATAATATGGTGGGAGGAGTCATTTGGTTGGTTTGGAGTGAAATCCAATGGCTAAAACTATGCAATACACCAACTACTCCATTTCTGAACGAACTTGCTACGAACCTGAATAGTCCGATTTCTTGGACCAATCGATATCGGATTGAGTCCAAAACTTGGGGAACAACATAATATGGTGGGAGGAGTCATTTGGTTGGTTTGGAGTGAAATCCAATGGCTAAAACTATGCAATACACCAACTACTCCATTTCTGAACGAACTTGCTACGAACCTGAATAGTCCGATTTCTTGGACCAATCGATATCGGATTGAGTCCAAAACTTGGGGAACAACATAATATGGTGGGAGGAGTCATTTGGTTGGTTTGGAGTGAAATCCAATGGCTAAAACTATGCAATACACCAACTACTCCATTTCTGAACGAACTTGCTACGAACCTGAATAGTCCGATTTCTTGGACCAATCGATATCGGATTGAGTCCAAAACTTGGGGAACAACATAATATGGTGGGAGGAGTCATTTGGTTGGTTTGGAGTGAAATCCAATGGCTAAAACTATGCAATACACCAACTACTCCATTTCAGAACGAACTTGCTACGAACCTGAATAGTCCGATTTCTTGGACCAATCGATATCGGATTGAGTCCAAAACTTGGGGAACAACATAATATGGTGGGAGGAGTCATTTGGTTGGTTTGGAGTGAAATCCAATGGCTAAAACTATGCAATACACCACCTACTCCATTTCAGAACGAACTTGCTACGAACCTGAATAGTCCGATTTGATGGACCAATCGATATCGGATTGAGTCCAAAACTTGGGGAACAACATAATATGGTGGGAGGAGTCATTTGGTTGGTTTGGAGTGAAATCCAATGGCTAAAACTATGCAATACACCAACTACTCCATTTCAGAACGAACTTGCTACGAACCTGAATAGTCCGATTTGATGGACCAATCGATATCGGATTGAGTCCAAAACTTGGGGAACAACATAATATGGTGGGAGGAGTCATTTGGTTGGTTTGGAGTGAAATCCAATGGCTAAAACTATGCAATACACCAACTACTCCATTTCAGAACGAACTTGCTACGAACCTGAATAGTCCGATTTCTTGGACCAATCGATATCGGATTGAGTCCAAAACTTGGGGAACAACATAATATGGTGGGAGGAGTCATTTGGTTGGTTTGGAGTGAAATCCAATGGCTAAAACTATGCAATACACCAACTACTCCATTTCAGAACGAACTTGCTACGAACCTGAATAGTCCGATTTGATGGACCAATCGATATCGGATTGAGTCCAAAACTTGGAGAACAACATAATATGGTGGGAGGAGTCATTTGGTTGGTTTGGAGTGAAATCCAATGGCTAAAACTATGCAATACACCAACTACTCCATTTCTGAACGAACTTGCTACGAACCTGAATAGTCCGATTTCTTGGACCTATCGATATCGGATTGAGTCCAAAACCTGGGGAACAACATAATATGGTGGGAGGAGTCATTTGGTTGGTTTGGAGTGAAATCTGTTGATGCTCTTTTTCGGAGAGGGTCAACTTAGAGAAAAAGGGGTTTGCCTTCAGCAGGGAAAGGGTCTGGGCCTTCAATAAAGGCTAGCCTGCAGAAGACAAAAATAGGGGAAACAGTCGTCAAGCTCCGGGCACCGGTGTGGTGCCGGCCGAAGGCTCTCCGATGCTTAAGTCAGCTAAGAAGGGTAACTTTTGCAGAGTAATAGTAAAAGGCAGAAAAGTAGTTACCCCTCTTACTAGGGTACTGTTCCCTTTTTATAGGGAAGTGAAAGTGGGAGGTTGGTGTAGATTTCCGATGTGGGACTCTGTGCAAGTTGCCGCGGTGGTGACACGTGTCATGAGAATTAGGTTTAACAGTTTGTGAGCTTTGGCAGTCGGGAGTTTCGGCAGGTGCTTGGCACCTCGGAAGAGTGTCTTCCTTCGGCAAGAGAGAAGGCGTGTCTGCCTTGGTGCTAGTTGTTTTGAGACTGGATATGCTCGGTTGATTATGGTGTAAACAGTAGTCCCCCAAGTTCGCGGTCAAGAAGTGACTTCTGGGTTGGGAACTTGTAAGCTTTTGTGTGATCATGACCGAGCATTCCAGGTTCAGTGGGAGCCGTAGGGCAGTCCCTAGTCCCCCAAGTTGTCAAGCTAGAAGTGGCGTTAACACTTGGAAGGTATAAGAAAAGCTGTGTTAGCCTTAGTGTTTGTTGGTAGCTGGGTACCTTTAAAAGAAAAGTAGACTTGGGTTTTTGAAGCTTCAGTAAGAGAATCTGTGGGCCTTAGTGCTTATGACCCGGGTCCTGTCGTTTGGTAACCAAGTGATGACTGTGAGTAGCAAAGGCCTGGGTCCCAAAAGATTGGGTTGAAGCTTGAAGGAGAAAAGAGTATGGGCTTCCATGTTTCCATTTTCCTAGCCCCCTTGCTACTCGGGCCCTTTTGTTGAATGGCCAAGTGGTATGGGCTTGGGTAACACATATTTGTTGAGCTGGGCATGGGATTTTGGTAGAGAGAATCCCTTGGGAGCCCATTTCGCTGGTGCCCAAAATAGGAGTTGGGCTTATATTTTTTTTTGTGAATGGCCCTGTGGTGAGCTGGACTTTAGAGTGCCCAAAGCTTGCACGTGAGCCTCCATATGTTTGAATGCTCCTTGCCGTTCGGCAAGGAGTCAACAAGACCTGAGGCTTGGCTCGAGATGTATGTGTCTTGGCCAAAACAAGGGGCTGGGCTGTCAATTTTAGCCTAGGTAAGACTCGGGTAGGTGTTAGGGTATTGAGGGGGGTATAAAAACATTCCCACGATGCTTGCCGTTCGGCAAGCAATAGCTAGGACTCTCGTTTTGACAAGGTAGCTGGGTCTTCGGCAGGGTGTTTGGTTTTGAGAAGCTAGGAACATTTTGGCAAGATTTTTTGGTTTTGCCCCCAATTAGCTGAAGCTCGACCCTTGCCGTTCGGCAAGGGTTCATTGGGATTTTTGAGGGAGGTTCCCTTGAGACCAGGCCGTCGGCAAGAGGTTTGAAAGGAGATTCATGAGCTCCCTTCGGCAAGGGAGAGATCTTCTGCACCTGGTCCCTCGGCAAGGCAGATTCCTGGTCCTCTTAGGATTTGAACGGAGCCTGCCGTTCGGCAACCAGTTGAGTTGTCGTCACCGTCAGTAGATTGTCAAGCTTCTGTGAGTACAAGGGCTCGGTGAGGGGCTGAGACCTTGCTGTGCGGTGAGCTGGAGCCGTGATCTGGGAAAGAGATTGGAGCTGGGCCCTCCGTACTTTGGTGACCTTGGCTCCATAGATCGGTTCCGCAAGGGTGTGCAAGCTTTTGGAAGGGGAGCCGTGAGGGCTAGTTCCAGAGCGGGGCTGGGCTCGGGAGGCTAGGTGCTAGAGGTCCAGTGTTGGATTATTTTTTTTGTGGAGCTGGGTTTTTGCCTTGTAGCCGGGCTGAAGTAAGCTTTTTGTTTTTTTTAACTTGTGTTTAGTGTTTGAATCCTTGTAGAAATAGGCTGAGCTGTTGGTGTTTTCTTTGGAAGATTTGCCGTGACTTTTGGAGCCGAAATGTAGAGCCGGGTCTGTGGTAGAAAAGAGCCGGGTGCCTGGCCATTAGGGGCTAGACCTTCGGCAAGGCTGGGCAAGGTGAGAGCTGGGCTCCCATGTTATTTTTACGGTCCTTGCCGTTCGGCAAGGGACCTAAGACTTGTTTTTGAATTGATGGCAATCTGTCATTGTTGTGTAGTAAGCTTCCTTGTAGCTGGGTATCAAGGTTTGGAGCTTGGATTTGGAGGTTGCAGATCTTGACAAGAAGGTACTTCGTGAGTCCCTCAATTTTGTCTCTGGGATATTTCCAGCTTTCGGCAAGGTGGAAGCTAGGTGAGCTTAGCATTTTAGTTTGAGCTGGGCTGTTTGGGCAGAGTCGGCAAGTGGGTGTCTTGAGCAGTGTCGGGTTTTGGCAAGGGGTTTGGATCCTTGGGTCCGGGCACCCAAGCCTTGACAAGGAAAGAAAAGGGCACGGATTGGGCTCTCCTTCCGAGTTGGGTGTCTAGAGCAAATTCAGCGGGTGGGTATTTGGCAAGGTGGTGACCTGGGCCTTGGTCTTGGTGAGCGTAGCTGTGTCGGTGAGCCGAGAATTGGAGCCGGGTAGGCAGTCTTGACACCTTGAGAATTTCATGAGTCCCCATTTGGATTTTTCATGGTCCTTACCGTTCGGCAAGTGACCTTGGACTTTCTTTGTTTTATTTTTTCTTTTATAATTTTTTGGCAGGTCTTGAGTATTGGCCAATGAGCTGAAGAGCTGGGTCATTTGGAGCTAGGCCTTCGGCAAGGCTGGGCTTTGGGAGCTGGGCTATCCGTAGCTGGGGTCCTTGGCAGAGCTGATCTGGAACAAATTTGGGGCGGGGACATTGCAAAAGTAGGCGGAGCTGGGCTTTCCTTGTGACCTGGGTGTCTAGATCAAATTTCTGAGGTAAGTGCTGCCATTTGTGGAGGCCTCCATTTTATTGCTGCCCATCCCTTACCGTTTGGCAAGGGTGTTCGTAAATTTTCGCTGGCTAACCCGATTAGAGCTGGGTCTTTCGGGGTTTGGAGCTGGCCCAAATTGTAGCGATTTGGTTGGGCAAATTGGGTGGATGTGGGGGTTGGGCCCGTGACTTTGGGCCTGGACTAGGACCAGTTTGGGCTTTTATATGAATTTAAATGTAGGAAAGCTGGGCCTTTATATTTAGAACTGGGTTTTGGGCTTGGCCTTTATCCAAGGCAATTTTGGGCCTGGCCTTGTACTGGGCTTGGGCTTTTGGTAGGTGAGGAGTTGAGTTATCCATGAACTAGGCCAATCGGGTGATATATGTGGAGAAATTCCTTGGAGCCGAGTCATTTGAGGTTGGGCCAATTTTGGCAAGGCTTGGTGATTTGAGGCTGGGCAAAAATTGAATTGTGAGGCCACCTATTTTGCATTTCCATGGGCCTTGCCGTTCGGCAAGGTCCCTTCAGCTTCCTCTTCTTTTTTTTTTTTTTGACTAATTTGAAATTAAAATGCTGTGTAGGTACTCTTGTAACCCTAGGGCCTAGGGTTTGGGAGGGAAGGTGAAAGGTTGCTAGGGTTTCTCTTGTAACCCTAGGGCCTTATAAATAGGAACTTGGAACTTGGAGTGACGTAGGCATCATACTTGGAGATTTTTTGAGAAAGATTGTCAGAAAGTGAGAAGGAGAGAAAGATTTCTGGTGAGATTTTGGTGGTGGTGCAAACAAGGTTAGACCTCATTTCCCTTGAATTCTCGAAATGAAATTCAACTTTTTGTATGAACATGTTAAAGAGTATGATGAACACCTTGAGCATGAGTATGAACATGTTGAATGTATGCATCTAGATCAAAAAGCATGTAGAGGCTGTCCAATTTTGTGTTTTTGTGCTTAGATCCTCTTTGCATGTGCATTAGTTCCTTTTTCTTGTTTCTGCATGTTGTAGATGTCTGAGAGTGAAGAGGCCAGTGAGTATGTTTGTTCTGAAGAGGAGAGTTCCCAGACAGATAGTTTTGTAGAAGGGCTTATAGAAGCTAGGATGGGAGTGCATGAGGGTGAGATGGCTGGGCCATCAGTAGAGTCTGGGTCAGAGGCATATAGGAAGATGCAGAAGAAGTATAAAGTGTTAGAAGCCATGTTGATCGGGTTCTAGCCTTGGCACATACACCGGAGGTGGGCTCGAGCAATCAGACATCACCATCAGAGTCTGTGGGTATAGCCATGGTTTCAGCTTCAGAGGGGGTGGACATCCGGGTTGGTGTCCCGTTGGGAAATCGGAATACACTCACAGAAGCCAAGTTGGTTGAGCTTCGGACAGATTATAGTGTGCCATCCTATGTGGGCCTGAGGTTACCTAGTGCCACGGATGTAGTGAGATATCCTCCGGAGGGTTCAGTGATGATATTCACCGATATGTACCAGCATGGTCTCAGGCTACCGTTTCATCCTTGGGTACAGATGATGCTGGCCAAGTTGGGGTATGCGCCGGGGCAATACAATCCCAACTTTTGGCTACTTCTGCATGGAGTTTACATTGCTTGGTGGTTGGTTGGGTTGGGGGAGCCAACATTTGAGCAGTTTATGTACTTGTATTCGATCTCCAAGCAACAGGGGACCTTTGGCTGGGTACAAGCCAATTGCCGGAAGGCAAAGGAGAGAGGTTACTTTATTGGGCATAAGCCGAGTACGCAGAAGTCTTGGCGGAACAGGTGGTGCTTGGCCTATGGTGATTGGGAGTGTCCTCCAGGGAAGACCGTCTCCAGACATATTCCAACCCACTTCCAGTCGATAGGTCCTTAGCCCCATCCTTTAAGACTAGTTGTGTTGTAGTGTTTTGACGCTTGGGTCTTTATTTATGTTTTATTGTTTTGCTTGTGCAAGCATAAATGGCTAAGTTGATATCTGAACTGTGGTGCAGGTTCGGTGAAGTGGGGACCGATCTCCAAGGAGCGAGAAGACGAGGTTGAGAGAGTGAGGTCACTGTTGTCGGAGACCCAGCGTGAGCGTAGAAACTTAGTCACCCAGAAGAACCTGTACGAGTCCGGACTCTTGCAAGGGAGTAAGTACCTGGGTCACTGTTGTTGTTTGTCTTATGATTCATTTTGTAGTTGAAACTGACTTGGCTTTTGATGTGCAGTGGCAGGGATCATAAGGGGGAGCACGAAGGTGGCCATGGATCTGGATGATCCCGAGATGCAGAAACGGCTGAGGGAGTCTCGGGCCAAGAAGGCCGAGAAGGGAGGTGCCCAACAGGCTGCTGGGAGGCGTTCCAGAGATGATGAGGGCCTAGTCTCTGATGTGCTGGGAAAGAAGAGAGCGCTGGAGGAAGCTCACCGGAGCGTGATGGGGACAGGGCCGAGGCTTCCTCCCTTTGACCCGCAGGCGCCGCCGAAGCTCCCCTTTGGTATGGATGATGTTTACGCCGAGGGGGTAGAGAAGGTGGACTTCTCTGGGCTGCGTCGGCAGAAGAAGGAGGTGAACCTGGCCATGCATCGGCAGGAGGTTCCCTTGGTGAACGTCTTCCTGGAAGGCGTGAAGAGTGACCCAGAGGTTCTGGCGAGGACCCCGGCTACCTCCTATGCAGATCGGGCCCAGAAGACGCTCCTGACCCAGGCCTATGTAAGTTGGCTTGCCTTAAGACTTTGTTCATATAATTCGAATTTGCCTTGAACTGATAATGTTGTGTGTTGCAGGCTTATGGTGAGATGTACGTGAATATGGCCAAGGCAGATAAAGAGATCCAGAGGTTGAAGAGGCGCAATGAGATGGCCAAGGATAAGGTAGCGGAGGCGCAGGAGGCCATCCGAGAGAAGAACACCCTGGTGCTGCAGAAAGCGGCGATGGCCAAGGAGATGGAAGAGCTGAAGCGGTCGAGGGCCGAGGAGGTAGCTGCTGCCCGGGTCGAAGCGATCGAGTCGTTTCGGGGTTCGGATGAGCTGAGGAACTACATCATGGATCAGATGGTGGCGATGCAGCTGGGTTGGGAGGAGAGGGTGGCGATGTTCAACCCTTCAGTGGAGATTAACTTTGACACGAGTGGCGAGCCTCCCTCATCTAGTCGTACCACTGATGTCGTTCCAGAGCCAGAGCCAGAGCCAGCCATTACGGATGCTCCATCGACTGAGTCCTGAAGGCGTTGCCTTCTTTATGTATTCTAGCTTTTTAGTTTAAACACTTGATGTTTATTTTGATATGTATGAACATTTTGCCTTGCCTGGGGCAAGGTTATTTTGATGTGCTATGATATGAGACTTGTTGTCATTTGATATCAATTGTGCTTAGCAAAATGGGAACCATGTGATTGATGAAAATGAGCCAGGGTCGGGCGTTCATTAAATATGTGCCGGAAGGCAAAAAGTACAAGAGTTGGTTGAGTCAAGGCTCGAGACCAAAGTATAAGAAAACATAATAGCCTAGAGTCTAGGTATGTTTACTTATAGTAGTACTTGAGGTGATCAGCATTCCAAGGATGAGGCAAGGTCTTGCCCTTGGTGTCACGAAGCTGATAAGTGCCGGGGCGGCAGACTTTGGTAACCTCATAAGGACCTTCCCATGTTGGGCCCAAGGTACCTTCAGTGGGATTCTTGGTGGCCAAGGAAACCTTGCGCATGACCCAGTCCCCAAGTTTGAAAGCACGGGCTTTGACTCGGGAGTCGTAGTACTTAGCGATGCGCTGTTTGTACGCGACATTGCGCATGTTGGATTGGTCACGAAGCTCGTCAATGAAGTCGAGGTTCAGGGCTAGCTGCTCGTCATTGGCCTCGGCCTCATAGGTGGAGGTGCGGTATGTGGGCTGGCCAATCTCCACTGGTGCCACTGCTTCGGTACCAAAGGAGAGAGAGAAAGGTGTTTCTCCTGTTGAGGTCCGGAAGGTGGTGCGATAAGACCAGAGAACTTCTGGGAGTAGCTCCGGCCAGCAACCCTTAGCTTTGTCAAGCTTAGTTTTTAGAGTTTTCTTGATGATCTTGTTCACAGCTTCCACCTGGCCATTAGATTGAGGATGGGCTGGGGAGGCGAAGCAAAGCTTTATCTTGAGGTTGGAACAAAATTGCTTGAACTTTGCGTTGTCAAATTGCCGGCCATTGTCTGTGACGATGGTGTTGGGGATGCCAAAGCGACAGACGATGTTTTGCCAAACAAAAGTTTCAATGCGGGCTGCAGTGATGGTGGCTAAGGCCTCAGCTTCAACCCACTTGGTGAAGTAGTCCACAGCTACAACTGCATACTTGACTTGGCCCTTGCCCTCAGGCATAGGTCCAATGAGGTCAAGTCCCCATTGGGCGAATGGCCAAGGACTGACCATGGCTGTCAATGGCTCAGCTGGAAGTTGTGGGATGTTGGCAAATCGCTGACACTTATCGCACTTCTGGGTGAAGGTCTGGGCATCAGTGTGAAGTGATGGCCAAAAGTATCCCTGCCGAATGATCTTGTGTGCTAGGGAGCGAGCGCCAGAGTGGTTGCCACAGATACCCTCATGAATCTCTCTCAGGACATAGGTACCTTCCTCTGGGGTCAGGCACCGAAGGTAGGGGAGGCTGAAGCCGCGCTTGTATAGGGCACCATTGATGATCAAGTATCGGGCGGAACGATAGCGAACACGCCGCGCTTCAGCAGGATCAGCAGGTAGTGTCTGGTTCTGCAAGAACTGAGTGATGGGGTCCATCCATGTAGGGCTTTGATCAATGACACAAATGAGTGGTGCCCGTGTACTGGGCTGGTCCAAGAACTCGATGTGGATGTTTCGACCTATGCCCTGCTCCATCGCCGAGGCTAGCCTTGCCAATGCATCAGCATGACTGTTCTCAGAGCGTGGCACCTGGCCTATGAGATAAGCATTGAAAGTTGTAAGCAGGTGGCGGGTATGTTGGAGGTAGGCTGTCATGGAGATGTCCTTGGCCGTGAAGTCCTGGTTGACTTGGTGGACAACAAGCTGCGAGTCGCTGAATATTTGGATTTGCTTGGCGCCCATTTCCTTGGCTAGGCGAAGGCCGGCTAAGAGTGCTTCATATTCAGCCTCATTGTTGGAGGCGTGGAATTTGAAGCGGAGGGCGTACTCAAGGGCAACCTTGTCTGGGGATATGAGAACGAGGCCAGCTCCACATCCCTGGGCATTGGAAGAGCCATCCACATACAAGGTCCACAAGGGCTGAGTTAAGTCTAGGGAGCCGTTGCTGGCGACATGGACCTGGTTCGAGGTAGGAGTAGGCGTGATTGCAATCTGAGGACTGGCCAAAGTATGGGGTTCGGTGAATTCAGATATGAAATCAGCCACGGCTTGGCCCTTTGCGGCTTGGCGGGGTTTGTAGTGGATATCAAACTCACCAAGTTCAATGGCCCACTTGACTAACCTCCCAGAAGTCTCTGGCTTCTGCAACACTTGCCTGAGTGGTTGGTTGGTTAGGACATGGATGGTGTGAGCTTGAAAGTATGGCCGGAGGCGTCTAGCCGAAACCACCAGGGCGAAAGCAAGTTTCTCAATGTCTGGGTATCGAATCTCCGCATCTTGCAATCCTTTGCTCACATAGTGCACCGGATGCTCAGCACCTTCATGTGGTCGAATGAGCACTGAGCTAACCGCTGTAGCCGAGACAGAAAGGTAGATGGTGAGGACGTCCCCAGACTCAGGGGTTGACAATAAAGGGGCTCGGCTCATGTATGCCTTGAGCTCGCCGAATGCCTGGTCACATTCTGCAGTCCAGGTGATGTTGCGCTTGCTACCCTTAAGTGCCTTGAAGAATGGGGCGCAACGATCAGTGGCTTTAGAGATAAATCTGGTCAGGGCTGCGACACGCCCAGTAAGGCTCTGAATGTCCTTGACCGTCTTGGGTATCGTCATGTCCAAAATAGCCTGGATCTTCTCTGGGTTGGCCTCAATACCTCTTTGGCTGATCATGAAGCCAAGGAATTTGCCGGAGGCCACCCCAAATGCACACTTGGTGGGGTTGAGCCGCATCCTATACTGCTTCAAAATGGTGAACGTGGCAGAGAGGTTGGGGATGTGCTGGTCGGCAGTGCGACTCTTGACCAGCATGTCATCAACATAAACCTCCATGGTGTTGCCAATGAGTGGAGCGAAGATGCTATTCACCAGACGCTGATATGTAGCCCCGGCGTTCTTGAGGCCGAATGGCATGACTTTGTAGCAGTAAAGGCCACGGTCGGTGATGAAGGATGTATGAGCTTGGTCCTCAGGATGCATGAAGATTTGGTTGTACCCTGAGTAAGCATCCATGAAGCTGAGGAGGGCTTGGCCAGCTGTGGCGTCAACTAGCTGGTCAATGCGGGGTAGGGGGAAACTATCCTTTGGGCAGGCCCGGTTGAGATTTGTGTAGTCTACGCACATGCGCCAACCCTTCTTTAGTTTACGTACCATTACCACATTGGCTAGCCAGGTGGGATAATCCACCTCCTTGATGAAACCAATGGTGCTCAGCTTATCCACCTCCGCCTTCATGGCCTCATACCGCTCTGGGTCATAAGCACGACGCTTCTGCCGAACGGGTCGGACGACAGGATTAATGCTTAGCCTATGGGAGATGACGTCAGGTGATATGCCCGGCATGTCGTTGTAAGACCAAGCAAAGACTTCAGAGTTGAGGCGGAGGAAGGCAATAAGATCAGAGCGAAGCTCTTGTGAGAGGGAGGTGCCGATCCTGACCTGTCGATCCGGGATATCCTCATGGAGAGTGACCAGTTCAAGGTCCTCCACAGGTTCGGCCTGTTGGGTGGCAGATTCCTCCCTGGGGTCCTCTGGGCGCTCAGTGCCAGCTCGAGGTGGGGCTAGGGCCTGGGTTACTGCTAGGGCCTCACCCCTATGTTGGCGATTAGTAGACTTTACTGCTGAAGCATAGCAACTTCGGGCGCCCAGTTGATCACCGCGCGCAGTGCCCGTGCCATAGGGGGGTAGGAAATTTCAACATTAACATATGTGTGGAAATGAAGACCTTCATCTGGGCCATGGCAGGGCGTCCCAGGATAACGTTGTAGGCTGTAGGGCAGTCAATGATGAGGAAGGGAGTGGTGACCGTCGTTCGCTGGGGAGCTGCTCCAATAGAGATAGGGAGATGAATGCTCCCAATAGGCTGGACCACATCACCCGAAAAGCTCACCAGGGGTGTGACGCTTCGGTCGAGCAAATGAGATGGGACCTGGAGCTCATTGAAGGCATCAGCAAACATCACACTGACCGAGCTGCCAGTGTCTACCAATATGCGCCCAACGTCAAAGTTAGATATGTCGGCGCGGATAATGATTGGGTCATCATGAGGGAGGATAACGCCGCGCTCCTCCTCCTCGCAGAAGGTAATGGGGGCCCAGCCTGTTTTTTGTGTCTTCGGCAAGCGTCCCTGCTCAGTACTGAAGACCTGGTGCGCATAAGTAGAGCGGACATAATGTTTGATGGAGTTGTTGGAGGTGCCAGCCATGGTTGGGCCACCGCTGATGGTTGAGATCATGTTGATCTGCCGTTGGTGAGGGTTAGGTGGGAGGTTGTGCACGTATTTATCCAGCTTCCCCTCGCGAATAAGTCCCTCAATGATGTTGCGCAAGGCAACACAAGATTCGGTATCATGGCCACCGAACTGATGAAAGCGACAGAAGACTCCTGTGTTAGGCATAGGCTTGCTGCCTGGTTTCCGGGGTGGAGGCTGAGGTATGATAGGTGCCTCGTGCACTAGGACATTCTCATAGGTAGTGTTGAGGGTGGTGAAGACCTCGAACCTGGGTTTGGGTGAGAATGGGAGTGGGGCCCGGTCACTTGGCCTGGGGGGGTTGCTTCCACTAGACTGGTGGTGGTTCCCATGTCTGCCCCGCTTGTTATTGTTGAAGGTATGCTGGTAGCTATCCTTCCTCTTGGGGTGTTGGGCACCCTGGGTGCTTGGTGCAGGGGCAGAATGTTGGGGTGGAGCTGGGATGGGTACCGAAGCAGGTGGAGGATCAGCAAAAGGATTATGCGCCGGGATGGCTGGGCTGCGCTTGGAGTTGAAGTACTCAGCCTTGGCATGAACTGCTGCTGCTTCATCAGCTCGGCATATGTGTTCCAAGGGTTGCTGTGGACCAGGTACCGGAAGTTAGACTCTCGGAGGCCACTCTTGAAAGCACCGAAGGCGGCACGATCATCAGTATCTGGGCAGCGGGAGTATTCGTGGCTGAACCTGGCTGCATACTCCCGAAGGGGCTCATCCTCACCCTGTCTAAGCATGTATAGGTCGTCCGCGGAGTAGAGGCGATCGGTCTGGATCATGAAATGGTCCAGGAAAGCCTGTTTCAGACTGTCAAATGTATTGATAGTGCGGGGGTTCAGCCTGTAAAACCAGTTCAGGGCCGCGCCACTGAGAGTGGAAGGGAAGAGGAGACACATGCCTTCGTCAGTGAGGCCCTTGCACCCCAAGGCAGACTGGAAAGAATGTATGTGGGTGAGAGGATCCTCTGTACCAGTGTAGAAGGCAATGCGGAGTGGCTGGATGTCCTTCTCCTGGTGGTAATTAAGGATGCGTTCGGTAAAGGGCCCAGGCCGTGGCTTTGCCCAGAGAGGTTGGTGGTTGCGCTGATGTTCGCTCTCCAGGCGCCGGACTTTCTCGAAGAGAAGCCTCATTGCCGGGTCGGTATGAGGGAGAGTCTCGGGTGCTGGGGGTCTGGTGTGTGGGTGGCCATGGGCTGGGTAGAATTCTTCGAACGCCTCGGTGTGATAAGACTCGTAGTCTTCTGAGTAACCCTGGCCCCAGTTCTCTGAGTCCCCTATACCTTCTCCAAGGGGTAGTTGGGTAGGCTTTGGCGGGGGGCCCAGGTGTTTCATCTTTGGGTCTTGGAGATTAACAGAGATAAGATGAGGTTCCGTTTGACGGTCCAGGATACGGTCCCTGCAATCCCGGTAGACCTTTGTTGGTTCATGAGGCCGGTTCCTTGGTGGGGAGATGCGGAGAAGCCGCGACTTGGTCGTGTCCGGATAGAGGGGGCCTTTACCCTTGCTGGGCCTAGGCTGGGTTGGGACATTGTGGTGGGAGTGCTCCGGCTGGTTTGGCTGTGTACGCTCAGGTACCTGGGTAGGGCTGTGTTGGGAGCCTTGGGTCTGATTCATCTCCCAGTTACGCTTCAGTGTGCGGTAGTCATGCTCGAGCTCGACGTTCTTAGCATGAAGATTGTCATATTTCTCAGACATCTTGGTGACACTGGCGCGGAGGCTCTCCAGTTCTGCCTGGAGATTGGCATCTGCTGAAGGTCTTCTCTGGGAGGTACCCCCATGGGGGGATATGGTGCTGAGTCCCCTGGCTATCCTCAGTAGGCATAGCTGAGTGTGGAGTGAAGAAGAGGCGACGGGGCCGGATAGGAGAAGGAGCCAGCTGGGCTGGTAGAGAAAAATGGGATTCAAGTATCGTTTCCCACAGACGGCGCCAAACTGTTGATGCTCTTTTTCGGAGAGGGTCAACTTAGAGAAAAAGGGGTTTGCCTTCAGCAGGGAAAGGGTCTGGGCCTTCAATAAAGGCTAGCCTGCAGAAGACAAAAATAGGGGAAGCAGTCGTCAAGCTCCGGGCACCGGTGTGGTGCCGGCCGAAGGCTCTCCGATGCTTAAGTCAGCTAAGAAGGGTAACTTTTGCAGAGTAATAGTAAAAGGCAGAAAAGTAGTTACCCCTCTTACTAGGGTACTGTTCCCTTTTTATAGGGAAGTGAAAGTGGGAGGTTGGTGTAGATTTCCGATGTGGGACTCTGTGCAAGTTGCCGCGGTGGTGACACGTGTCATGAGAATTAGGTTTAACAGTTTGTGAGCTTTGGCAGTCGGGAGTTTCGGCAGGTGCTTGGCACCTTTTTTTTTTTTTTTTTTTTTTTTTTTTTTTTTTTTTTTTTTTTTTTTTTTTTTTTTTTTTTTTTTTTTTTTTTTTTTTTTTTTTTTTTTTTTTTTTTTTTTTTTTTTTTTTTTTTTTTTTTTTTTTTTTTTTTTTTTTTTTTTTTTTTTTTTTTTTTTTTTTTTTTTTTTTTTTTTTTTTTTTTTTTTTTTTTTTTTTTTTTTTTTTTTTTTTTTTTTTTTTTTTTTTTTTTTTTTTTTTTTTTTTTTTTTTTTTTTTTTTTTTTTTTTTTTTTTTTTTTTTTTTTTTTTTTTTTTTTTTTTTTTTTTTTTTTTTTTTTTTTTTTTTTTTTTTTTTTTTTTTTTTTTTTTTTTTTTTTTTTTTTTTTTTTTTTTTTTTTTTTTTTTTCCACAACAACTTTGCGCGACAAATCAAGTTTTTATGTCGCGCAAAGGTCAATTTTCAGAACCTTGCGCGACGAGATGTCATTTTTGCGTCGCGCAAAAGTTATTTTAATGAATTTTGCGCGACGGATTTATATTCGTCGCGCAAAGTCGAATAAGTTTTCTGAAAATCGCGATCTTTCTTCTCCTCTTCCCCATTTTCTCAAACGGAACCCTAAAACCTCCCTCTCTCTCCGCCGTGACCTCAGCCCCTACTCCGCCCCAATTCAGACCCTGCCGCCACAACCGTCGAACCCTGGAGCTTCTCCGCCGTCGCCGTCCATCCTGCCGCCGTGATTTCTCCGTTTAGGCCGAATCTTCGCCGCCGTTGTTCTCTCTCCTCCGGGCACCAAATCCGGCAATTGAGGTATGCTTTCTGGCTATTTTTCATGCTCTAGCTGATGGTTGTGTAGGATTTGATTGATTGTGTGCATAGGGTAGTGAATTTGAAACCCTAGGTTTCGGCCGTTTTTGAAATTGAAATTCCGGCCACTTCCGTCCGTTTTTCGGGGTAGGTCCGTGAACAAAAGTGCTCCAATTGATGTTTTGAACCTAGGGTAGGAACCTTGCCCCTTAATTTTTAGGATTTCCCGTGGTGTTATCGCTTAGGGCACCCACGCGCTGCCGGCGCGTGTGGTGGCGCGTGGGGTACTGTGGCATAGATCTTTTTGTCCCAGTGCAAACATTTCGTTGTCACGAGCGCGTAGGGGTGCTCGGATTGGAATTTGGTTATCGTTTGAGTCTCGAACGGTTCGAACCTATTGTGCGATTTTCGGGTTTGATATGTTCGGACCGTTGGATCGAGCTGAAACTCACGTATGTGGTACCATGTATTTATAGGATCGTTTAGGATTCGACGGATCGTGGATCGTGTCCTGGATACTCCGAAATCGCAAACCCTAGGTCAACTACACCGAGTTCGGAGCCCCCGGCTCAGCCGGTATCAGCTGCCACTGTTCCAGAACTGATGGAGCAGGACCACGTGCTAGCTGGTCCTGGGGGATCCCAGGCGGCTGCATCATCATCTTCTTCGGTGGTGCAGCCTCTTAGTGCTAGGCGGCGACACCGGCCCGCTACCACCACCGACGCCACATCGACTGACTGTACTGGTGCCTCGGGGCACCTCCAGGTAATACCCTTCCACTTTTTTTTTGTTTTTTTTTTTTTTTAATTTTTGGGAATTTTATGGTTCAATTTGTTATTATGTAACAGTATTGTCATATCCCTTTGCAGCCAAGAGGAACACCCGAGGGCCGTGTCGGCAGCTGAAGACGGCGAAGGTCACCCGGGTGACCAACAGTCGTATCAGCATCGGATATGACGAGCGCCATCGGGCTGCACCGACGGCGGACTTGCATAGCTCCTTGGCCCACGACATTGGCCACGTCGTTCGGACCCATTGCCCGATGCAATGGAAGTCTTGGAAGGTCATGCCTGACGAGATCAAGATGCAAGTTCGCGGCCAGTTGTCGGTATGTTTCCTATCTTTTAATTATTTTTCTTTCAAACTTTATATATTTCTATTACTTAATGTATGTAATGAATTTATTGCAGACGAACTACCACTTAGAGGACATCAACGAGGAGACCTTTGGCGTACGTCAACAGACTCTTCGGTGAGAGGTACAAGCAGTGGAAGAGCGACTTGCACCACCATTTTCAGGCGTTTGATGATCCGCAAGTCGCTCTTCAGGAGGGTTGCCCGAAGGAGCTTGAGGGGCGGGAGGATAGTTGGGCGTGGCTCTGCGCTCATTTTCAGGGCGCCCGATTATGTGGTATTTTTTTAATAATATTTGTTTAATTATACATATTCTTATTAATGTTTATTTTATTTTTATATCTCATTATATTTAATTTATTTATATTTCAACTATTACGTTTTATTTTTTGTATAACAGAATAAAGCCCAAGTGAATAAGGGCAATAGGAAGAAGAAGACTCTTCTCCACCATTCCGGCTCCAGGCCCTTCTCATATAGGATGGATGCACGGCGTCGGGTAAGAATAATATAATTTATATTTAATTTTTAATACGTCATTATTATTAATTTTTTGTTCATACTAATATTTTTCTTCTCTTGTTCAATTAAGGGGGGGTCGAAATTCCCAGAGATCGACGTCTTTGGTGACGTTTATGTTCGACCTGGGAATGAGTTGGCCGAGTCCCTTCATGTAAGTATTATGTATTTTTAATTCTTATGTTACACTTTCAATTTATATGCATTTTTAATTTATATTTTATGTAATGTTAAACAGACGACGATGGTGGAGAGGAGCCAGTTGGTTCTTCAAGAGTCCGCCTCCCAACTTCCTCCCGAGACTCCGATCGAGTCTGTGGATCCTCCGCATGATGCTGGATTTCAGATTTTGACGCAGACGTTGGATCAGACTCTCGGGAGGAGGCTGGAACGTATTGTAGGGGGATGGGGAATGCCCGACAGAGGGAACCTCGACCGCGGTCATCGTCGCAGGCAAACAGTCAGGTGACTGTTTTGACATCGCGGGTTGCCGAGCTTGAGGGTCAGATGTCGGTGATTCTGCAGTCCCTCGCGCGGTCCGGCATTCCAATCCCGAATTTTGGTGCGTCGACCTCCGAGCCCGTCCACCCCGAGCATCCCCAGCACACCACGGCCCCTGCAGACGCCCATACCTCCGAGCCGCATGTGGCAGATGACCAAGTAGATTTTGGAACATTATTTGATTAGTTTTTTATTTTTATAATTACTTTTACAATTTTCTTGTATACATTTCTTTTATTTTATATAATAATGTTTTCTTTGCGATTAATCTTTTTATTGTAATTTCATTTTAATTATAAAAAAAAACCAAATTTATTTTTTCACAAAATTAAAAATCAAATAATAAATTTTTTTTAAAATAATATATTTCTTTTGCGCGACGAAACGTAATTCGTTGCACAAAAACATTTAAATAACCCGTCGACAATATATTTTAATCATGCGCGACGAAGAATTTCGTTGCGCAAAATGTGTATGCGCGACGAATGTTTCGTCGCGCGAAATTTGTATCCGCGACGACTATTTGTCGTGCAAGGACTACGTGCGCGACGATATATTTCGTCGTGCAAAGTTCATGTATCTCGCGCGATGGAAGACTCTGTCGCGCATTGTTTTTGCGACGACCACTCTTTCGTCGTGCAAATATTTGTGCGACGGACATTAGGGTCGTCCCGAAATATTTTTTTTAAACGAAGTTGTTATACGTCGCGCAAAACAGCGTGACAAATGATATTTGTTCGTCGCGCAAATCCTTTCTTCACGAACTTTGCGCGACGGACTGTGTGCGACGAAACTTCTGTCGCGCATAATTATGTGCGACTAAAATCATTTTTGCGCGACGAAGACCCCTTCGTCGCGCAAAGCCTAAAATGTAGTAGTGCTAGCAAATACTGTGCCTTCCATGGGACGCATGGACACACTACGAACAACTGCTTCGCTTGGAAAGCACACCTCGAAGAACTCATGAGAAAAGGTCACTGCACGGAATTCATCGCTAAGCAGGCCATCTAGCAGATAGAGGACCGTGACACCGCCAAGGAGCCGCCCCAAAAGGTCATAAGGATTAACACAATCCTAGCCGACTCCGAGGAATCTGGGCTGACCAGCAAGGAAAAAAAAAGGAAGATCAAACAAGCCACTATGATCTCCTAAGTCTCAACCGACCTTCCGCTAGCAGAAGACGATCCTGTAATCGGCTTCCAAAAGAAAGATCTAATTGGCCTTGATCTACCACACAATGACGCTCTTGTCATCAGCATTCAAATCGCTCAAGCCATGGTCGACCGAATCCATGCAGATAAGGGCAGTGCAACCAACATCCTACAATTGACAGTTATCCAACAGATGGGCTTAGAGGCAAAGATCAATAAATCAGCCAAGTCGCTGACTAGCTTCAATGGAGCAACAACGGTTACCGTAGGCATGATAAAGCTCGACATCTACGCCCCACTTGTAATCATCTCGCAAACGTTCATGGTTATTGATGAAGTCTCACCCTACAATGGCATTCTAGGAAGACCATGGATCAGCAAGATCAACGCCATCACCTCTGCCACACATCAGAAGATTCGCTACCCAATTCCTTGGGGTGGGATCAGCCAAATCAACAGTGATCAGGCAATGGCGAGGAAATGCTTAGCTCAAGGGTTGAAGAAAGGCAAGCAAACATAGTTCCTCCCTGTGAATCAGGCAGATCTAAAGGGAGTAGAACAAGCAGAGGAAAAAGCAGATCCCGTTCCTGACGGCCGAGCAGGCCAAAAAGGAAAGAGAATAACTACTCCTCAATAGCAATCAAAGAATTAGGACCAAGTCGAGGGAATCCGTCTGGAGGTCTATCCCGAAGAAGGATGGAAGCCCGAGGAGGACGTTGAGCTAGTACCCCTTGATCCTGACAAGCCAGAGAGAACAGCGCGGATCGGCTCGCGCCTAAGCTAGGAGGAAAAGGCAGAGCTTGTAGCCTTCCTCCAGAACAACAAAGACGTATTTGCATGGTCACTATCTGACATGCCTGGCATCAATCCCCAGATCATCTGCCATCGCCTACACGTCAACCCAGCCATCAAGCCTGTAGCGCAGAAGAGACGCAACTTCGCCCTCGAGCGGGTCGCCATCATTGAAGTTGAGATCGACAAGCTTCTAGCTGCCGGTTTCATTGAAGAAGTCTCATACGCGGAATGGCTGGCGAACGTTGTTCTAGTAGTAAAGAAAGATAAAGGCCTGTGGAGAGTGTGCGTCGACTATACTGACCTCAACAAGGCATGTCCTAAAGATAACTTGTCCACTACCGAGAATTGATCAGCTCGTCAATTCAACTTCCGGCAATCAATTGCTAAGCTTCATGGACGCTTACTCCAGCTACAACCAGATCATGATGCATGAATACGACAAGGCAGAGACCTCTTTCATCATCGAAAGAGGTACCTACTGCTACAAGGTCATGCCTTTTGGGCTGAAGAACGCCGGGGCAACCTACCAAAGGCTGGTGAATAAAATGTTCAAGGAGCAAATCGGCAAGACTATGGAGGTCTACGTAGACGACATGCTAGTCAAAGCTCCCGAACGAGCAGACCACATCGAGAATCTTGCCGAGGCATTTAGCCTACTCTGAAAATACAACATGAAGTTGAACCCGAGCACATGCACATTTGGAGTCTTGTCCGGCCGATTCCTTGGATACTTAGTCACCCAAAGAGGAATTGAGACACATCCAAATCAAATCAAGGCTATACTCAACATGAAGTCACTTGCCACAACAAAGGAGATACAAAGTCTAACGGGTAGGGCGACAGCTCTCAACCAATTCCTTTCAAGATCTACCGACAAGTGCAAGCCATTTTTCAAAGCCTTGAAGAAGGGACACAAAGACAAGTGGGATGACGAGTGTGAAGTAGCTTTTCAGAACTTGAAAACTTACCTCACTTCCCCTCCATTACTCTCAGCTGTTAGCTCAGCTCTCATATGAGAAGAGCTGGGGGCACAACATCCGGTATTCTACACTTCAAAAGCTCTCCTCGATGCAAAGACTCGCTATCCGAAAATGAAGAAGCTTATTTTTTCGCTTGTGGTTTATGCGAGAAAACTAAGGCCCTACTATCAAGCACCCTGGATTATTGTCATAACATAATTTCCTTTGAGATCGATCCTTCACAGCCCCGACGCTTCTCAGCGACTCATGAAATGGGCTATCGAACTCAGTCAATACGACCTCCTCTACCAGCCGAAGATTGCTATAAAAGCCGAAGCTTTAGCAGATTTTGTTGTAGAGTTTACTTTGACAGCCGAAAAAGAGAAGATGGTCACGAAAAGCAAGGAAAAAGCAGACGACACCTCCCCTACCGATTCGAACCTACCTAAACGACATGTGGTAGTTGCATGTAGACGAAGCATCAAATCACAAAGGAGCGGGAGCAGGAGTCGTCATAATCACCCCAGATGGAACCTTGTTGGAACAAGTTATCACACTAGGCTTTTCTGCTTCAAACAACGAGACAGAATATGAGGCATTACTTGCAGGACTACGCCTAGCGAAAGAACTGTCGATCAAGAGATTTGCCATCTACTCAGACTCCCAGCTGATCACGAATCAAGCCTCAGGCGAGTACATGGCAAAGCATCCAAGAATGGTCCAGTACCTCGACAAAGTCCAAGGACTTTTGAAAGAATTCCTTATTTTCACCATCCAACAAGTTCTGCGGGCAGAGAACACTTATGCAGATGCGTTGGCGAGCCTAGGATCAGCACTGGACACCCAGTTTAGATGCTCCATCCCAGTTGAACACCTTGACCGGCCAAGCATCGAAGACATAAAGCCAATCAACTTAATGCAGATTAATGAGGACCCCAGCTGACAAGACCCTATCATCGACTATTTAGTGAATGGAAACCTGCCAATGGATAAGTCCGAAGCTAGGACGGTCCAGCAGAAGGCTGTGAGATACTATATGCACGGCAGCAAGCTCATCCATAGATCATACTCCGGCCCTCATCTCACCTGCATAAAGTACCCTCAAACACTTGAAGTCCTCTGTAAAATTCACGATGGCGAGTGTGGCAACCACTCTGGGGGCATATCACTCGCCCAGAAGGCTCTAAGCAGCAATGTAGTCACACAGACATCAATACAAGTTCAAAGCTTTTCTTTCCAATGAAGTGTTCACAAAAGCAATCGACACGTCTTATGACGTAGGCCAAATAGGCCACTATCATTGACACGTCTCCGGACGTAGGCCAAACAGGCCACTCTTATCGACACATCTTCGAACGTAGGCCAAATGGGCCACTATCATCGACACGTCTCCGGACGTAGGCCAAACGGGTCACACACATCGACACGTCTTCGGACGTAGGCCAAACGGGCCACTATCATCTACACGTCTCTGGACGTAGGCCAAACGGGTCACACACATCGACACGTCTCCGGACGTAGGTCAAACAAGCCACTATCATCGACACGTCTTCGGATGTAGGCCAAACGGGTCACACATATCGACACGTCTCTGGACGTAGGCCAAACGGGCCACTATCATTGACACGTCTCCAGACGTAGGCCAAACGAGCCACTATCATTGACACGTCTCCGGACGTAGGCCAAACGGGTCACACACATCGACATGTCTTCGGACGTAGGCCAAATGGGCCACTATCATTGACACGTCACTGGACTTAGGCCAAACGGGTCACACACATCGACACGTCTCCGGACGTAAGCGAAACGGGCCACTCTCATCGACACGTCTCTGAACGTAGGCCAAACGGGCCACTATCATCGACACGTCTTCGGACGTAGGCCAAACGGGTCACACACATCGACACGTCTCCGGACGTAAGCCAAACGGGCTACTCTCATCTACACATCTCCGGATGTAGGCTAAACATGCCACAACCCAGCAGGTAGAAAACTCCTCCTATCCAGCAGGCAGATCATCAGGATCCAGACCATTCTGCTTTCATCCCTCGACATTCTCGGCAGGGGGCAGACCATCGTCTTTCTCTCGATACTCGCCCAGCAACAACTAGCGGCCACCGTCGCTCTAAACTTCTTCGACTGCCAGTCACGATGTCACCCAGCTGGTCCTTGCCTCGAAAAAGAGAAGACGAAGAAAAATATACGTGCTCCACTTACCTTGGGATGCACGGCAACTCCTCTCTTCGACAAGCAGTACAAATTCTCCAAGATCTTTCTCAAGCTAGAAAGTAGAGAAGTTAAGTTTGCAATGAAAGAAAGAGTGAAGAGAAGCCCTATATTTGTACAAGTTGGACAACTCATGTCAAAAAGGAATCGCAAGCTCATTCCTACTGGGAATCCAACTCCAAGAACAGTCAGAAGCCTACGCCAATTAGTAATCCGATCTACAAAAAAGCCCAGACACAGTTGGAGAGCCCGAAAAAATAATTTCATCTCCTACATGCCACACAAGCGCCATGCAGAAGCTGAGGGGCATTTGTGGGAGCAAATATTTCCGTCTCCAATCAGGGCACGCCACGTGGAAAAGAAGATTATCTCTTAAATTAATTAATTGAACAGTTTATCAGCCAATTAATTAATTGGGATAAATATCTTAATTAATGGGATATTATCTTTATTTAATGAGATAATACCATTAATTTAGATATTATCCTAATAAAAAGAAGATAATATCATTAATTCAGATATTATCTTCATAAAAAGAGATAATATCGTTTAATTTAGATATTATCTTCAATAAAGAGAAGATAATATCATTAAATCAGATATTATCTAAGTCCGACTCGATCCCTACGAATTTGGGTAGAGAATAAACTCAACATATTCTCTACGAAACCCTAGCCCCGAGGCTCCTATAAATAGACGACTTCATTCATCATTCAAGGTACTTACATCTAAACCTTCTCCAGAACCCGAGAAAAATACCCGAAGCTCTCTCTCCCTCTCCACTCTCTATATTTTCTCCACACGACTCCGGTCACCACACACGGCTCCGGCCGCCCGGTTCATACCATACATAAACTCTGTACCCTTTGCTTAGCTATTGTTTTCCTACAAACACTCGAACTAACTTAGGCATCGGAGGGCCTTTGGCCAACACCCCCGGGTGTGGTCTATTTACTCCAATCTTTTTTACAGGAATCGAGGAAGAGAGAGAAGGAAGATCGAAAGTTGAAGGATCTAGAAGCGAATATTCTCCCGTGAGATTATTTGCACAAACAGTGTGTATATATATATATATATATATATATATATATATATATATCTTATGCTTCTTTGTTGGTCACCCTTTTAGTGCTTTTCTCTAGAACACAACAGAGTTGACCCAAGTTAAATAATTAATTTTGTCCCACACTTACATGATTCACAATTTGTATATGACGCTTCAGTACTAAGTACTGATGATGATTGAAAATGGAGGCTTCCATTCGTGTCTCCCTCACATATGATAACTAAGTTATCTGTTCATAATCCAGACACGAAGTGCAAATTGTGCGAGTACTTAATCAGTTCATTGAATCATCTCTCAAGAAAATTTGAAAAATGGTGTTACCTCTTAAAATTAAGAATTTTTGTTGGCGTTCTCGTTCAAAATAAAGTAAATACTAGGGATAAACTTTCTTAGGTTATGGACATAGATAATATTTGTCTCCTTTTGTAATAATAACACTGCATTTTTGCCAGGAAAATCTGGAATGCTTTGCGAAGCTTTCTTGATATTTCTATGCCAATAGGAATATTATGCACGGGACATGTTGTACTTATATTTGGCACTATAACTATTCTGTACTTTATTATATTTTATCAATAAAATATTATCGCTTTTTCTAATAAAAAAAAAAGGAATATTGTGCACTGGATTTTGCATGATTGGGAGCGGTTGTGGGTTTTATATAGGATTTTTTTAATAACTATTTGCTGGCATATTTGTTTTGTTGTAGTTGTTTGACCAAAAAAACAAAAGGGCCGCTGTTGGTTTTGTTTTTGGAGATTCAAACGAACGAGTAAAGCTTGCAGGCGCAGTTCCTATTAGTTTCTGTATGGTTCTTGAAGCCGAAGCCATTGGTCGTTTGAAATTTGGATTAAAGTAATATGTCTGCCAAACGATTTGATGAATATATGCTAGCTGGTGTCACTAAACAAATAAAAATACATGCAATGATTTGCACATGACGCTTCAGTACCAATTGATAATTGATTAATGGACCACCATATTTTTGTGGAAGTTGACATCACAAATTTGGGGAATTTTAAAAAGACCGAGTCATTTTCCATAAATTAAGAATTAAGCAGCTCATTGACCCGTTCTTCAAATTAGCTACCCTTTTACACACCCACCCAACTACTAGATTACAATTTCTTTGTGCCACCCACCTCGTTCTCGTTTTATATCTTTTGGATCTTTCTTTTTCCTTTTGATCCCATTAATATCAGAGCACAAGCATTCTTTTTCTCCTTTTTTGGTTACAAGCCTTTATGGAAGAAGAAATTTGCAGAAAAGCACTCCAAAATTAATGCACACGTAAACAAATTTAAGAGGACTAGAAATAAAATTGCATTTGGCAACTGCACCACGAGGTCAATTGATTCCAGAGAGAGTTATAGGGAAATTTTGACCTATATATGTTCCAAGAAATTAGAAATTAGCGTAAAAGCCCTAGAAAATATTATAGTTGAAGAATATAGGGTTTAGTGTAAAATCCATGCATGTCTACTAATTTGATGAATATGCTAATTGGTGTCACCAAACAAATAAAAATATAGGCAAGGATATAGAATAGGTGACGAATCTGGCACACGGTAAAGATAATAAAGCAAAGAAAAACAAAAACGAAAACAGGAAGTTCCAGCCCTCTAATGCAAGTACTTCTTAGCCTGTGCCTTCCAAAATTAGAGATAATGCAAATGCTCAGCGAGATATATCCAACTCCAAATTGAAAACGTCAAGTGTCGGATTATTACAGCAACCTCATATCATTCTCTAACTTGGGCGCAAAATCCCACAATAACCAAAAACAGTTCTGCATCTTCCTATCTGATCAAAACAGATTTTAAACTTACAAAACTTGAAAACCACCAGCCACAATGCAAACTAGGGCATCATTTGAAGTGCTCTCTTTCCCCTCCCTATTGTGTTAATCAGACCCATCCAGCGCTGCCGTGCTGGTTCTGGTTCTGGTTCAGGGCAATGCTAGGATCTTGCTTCAAAGCAATTTCTGCAGTTGTTCCTTATCCAAGCGAGTCTTGCAAGAAAATAGGAGTTCATATTGAGCTCCAAATATGCGTTGGCGCTTTAGCCAAAAAAACTTCTTCTGCAATTCATGCGGTTGTGTCTTTATGACCAGATATTGTTTCTTGATTTCCATTTCAAACTGCTCTCTGGACTTTTTATCAATATGAGGCGATCGCAACACAGTATATAAGACTCGTGATTCAGGCAATGCAATCCTCCGTGTGGAAGGTGGAAGCCCCCACAAAAGGTTTGGGTGATGAAAAGATCGAATCACTACGCATATCTTGGTCGCCATTACTTTTGGTGCTCTTTCTTTTTGGCCGACTATTTTGACAATCCATAAACAAATCCTAGTCAGAGGAATGATAGAAGAGTCTAAACTTAAAAATGATTTAAATAAAACAGAAAATAATCCAGTCCTTCATAATAAATGTTGGGTACGAAACAGGAAAAAAAAGACCCCCACATATATCAGAGCATGTTCATATCTTTAACAATCTTTAACAAATCCTCCATTAAGCACTTTATGAAATCAAGAGAAACCCATCCATCAAGTCAGGCCTTTTTGAAGTATTCACAACTTTACTATGCTTCTGCAGAACCAAGTTCCCAAACAGTCAAGCATCTCTAGAAAAATAAAACCCCAAATCCCTAAAACTAAATAACATCAACCAGGTTGTCATAGAAAACATAAATACAAAAAAAAGGATGGGGAAATCATATAACATATGAACAAAGATTTCACACCAGATTTATAGATTATGTACAAAAAGTAACAAATAATGGGACTGAGTACCAAGAAAGTAAAATAAAACAATCAGAAGTATATAGAGAAAACGAAAAACAAACCAAAGTCGTTCGGTATTAGAAAATCTAAAAACATATACAGTCGGATCAAAATAGAAATGATATTTAATCTAAATAATAAAGTCACAGTACAAACAAAAAAACAAGGAGAGGACCAACCAAAGTAAAAATCCACTGCTTCAGTTTGGAGATGTCTAACCTAAAAACTTGGATCACCTTCAGCAAGTAATGAAGAACGAACCTTGACTGCAACTATAACTGGAGAAAATCAACTGTGATAACAGATGAATCAGTTGCAATCTATCACCTAAAGCCATCATATCTCATGAAAAGATAACAGCTTAAATTTCATTAAGCATAATAATACTAGGAAAACACGATTGCATGACAAACATAATGCGAATCAATTTATGAGTTTATAGTTATTTTGTATAATGACAAAAAAAAGAATTGTCTACAAATTTCAAAGCTCTTCCTCTTTCAGGAATCTAAGGAAAATCATATTATATACACGATAGGAAAAATAGCTCTGTTTATGAAAGCACATCAACAAGGAAACTCAAATCATATATGAAGGTGCAGAAAAACTCATGTGCGAGCTGCATAACAGCTACTCTCGCCAGAGAGCAGTCCTCCATGAAAGGACCTAGAGGTAGACCAGAATAAACCCTCTCCGCGCCAGAGAGCAGCCCTCCCTGAATTTCCAAGGAAACAATGACTCTTTTTTTTTTTTTTTTTTTTTTTTTTTTTTTTTTTACTCCTTTTTTTTTTTTTTATTAAATTAAGTAAAATTGGTAAACGTAATATTTGTTTTTGTTTCCTCGTTGACCCTTGATCCTGCCTTTCTAAGTTCTAACAATCAAACCGGCCTCCTTAATCACAAGCTCAAACAAGTAACTTCTTGGTCTGACCTAGTGACCTTCTGATCTAACCTAGTGACCATTGGACTCAACTTGATGACCATCGAACTTGACCCGGTGAACCCCACCTAGGCATGACCTTGTGATCCAACCCTATGACATACTGATAGTCATTCTATATAGTTAATTTGAAAATAAATATTAATATCTTCTTTACCAAAAAAAAAAAAAAAAAAAAAAAAAAAAAAAAAAAAAAAAAAAAATTAAATTAATTATATTAAAAAATTATTTAAGCAATTAATTTTCTTATTTCAATGCAACATAAAACCTTTTTGCTATAGAGGAGTGACTAAACAAGCATCACAGTAAAAAAGGCCAGAAACAAAGAAACAACCCAAGTTTGGTCCACAACTAGTAACTGCAGATCAACCAAATACCCAAATATTGGGAACTAAAAGAGCTAATTTTCATATCCTTGCTACCATTTCTCAACAAGGTTCAGTACCAATTTTGGAAAAAGAAATCAAGGGAAGGAAAGTGAACATACAGGGTAGAGAGCATTGGGCATTCTAATTAAGCTAATCCATCGACCCAGAGCCACACAAAAGCATAATCAACCAAACAGAATCAATTACACATAACCAAAATCAACACACAAACAACTCACCGAGATGGAGTAGGAGGATGAGGATGAGGCAGCACTTTCTTGGTTTTGGAATTTGGGGATTTTTGGTTTTCCGTACGGTTGTTCAGAATCTGAATAGAGAGAAGACGGATTGGAAGGAGCTGCTGTGGAGATGGAGAGAGCTACGCTGGAGTTTCCGATGAAATGCCCAGCCCTAGTGAAACCAAACCAAACCGAACATTTTGCCCCCTAAGCAAAACGGCGCCGTTCCAGCGTCTAGTAACCCAGAGGTGTCACAGGCCCTAAACTATATTGCTTCTCCAAAATTCCCAAAAAAACGCAGCTCGAGGGTATTATTGTAAAAACACACCACCCGAACCTGCCAAATATCAAACCAAAATAGCCGAAATCAAACCCTATCGTTAAAGAGAAATTAATTAGGATTTGAATTTAGTTTCCTTAACTGGCACACACTCTCCCTCCCCCTATAAATTATTCAATCACAATAACCCGACCTTTATTATTGCTTTGCTTCTGTTAGATGATAGATATCTCCGAAAGAGTGAGAGAAGAAGTAGGCTGCTGCTGGATCCAGAAGCTGTTAAAAGACTAAGGTATTTTCTTCAAAGATCAATGCTTGAGCACTAGATTTTTATTTATTTTTGGTTTGAATCCAAAGTTCATAACTTAAATCGATCCAAACCTTTTTCTTTTCCATGTTGTATCTGTTATTTTTGTGAACTGAATCTCTCACTAAGAGATTTATTTTAACTTCGAAAAGAAACACAAAGAGGAGTTATCTAATTTTTATTTTGATTAAACATCTTGATATTGTATGCGTGTATGCGACTAGGGTTTTATGTACCTTAATCCATGTTTTGAACTGAAAAACAGGCCTCATTGGGCGGAACCACAGCCAAGGATGGGGTGGGCTGTAGCCCAGGAAGTTTTGAAGAAAAACTAATAATAAACCTATGTCTACATGGCCCACCACAACAAGTTTGCTGCTTTTTGGTTTTGGTTTTTTCATATGCTAAATCTGTTGCCTGTTTCGACCAAAAAAAATTAAATCTGCTGCCTGTTTTTTGTGTGTGAAATTATTTGCTGCCTTTAACAAAAGATTTTTGAAGAAGAAAAAAAAAACATATATGCCCCACCATCAACTACAACGCATTAGGAAAATATTATTTCTCAAGTTCATTTGTATTCTCTTTTAAGAGTGGAATACTATGTTAACCTAATTCTATTATCCTTATGTTCACAACTAATATATATGTGAAACTAATTATTTATATTTTTGCACTTTTTTTGTTTGCAGAGTTATAAAAAGATGCCTCCTAGAGCTAGAAGAAGCTTAGAACTCATACCAAATGAGATTGCTCGTAAGATGACCTTTCGGAAGAGAAAGAAAAGTATATATAAAAAGGCAGACGAGCTTTCGAAACTCTGTGATATTGATGTTTGCTTGATCATCTATGAAGCTGATCAAAAGAAGGGGAGGGCAATTCAATCAGAGACTTGGCCTCAAGATTCAGCTGAATTCAATCGCATTTTTAACAAGTATAAAGCTTCCAAGGATATTCATGTCCCTGGTTTAAAGCAAAACTTCGATTTGTCTGATTTTTACAACACAACCAAGAAGGAAGACGTGGATCAAAAGTTTGAAAATTTGTACCCAACTTGGGATGATCGAATCGACGAGTTTTCGCAGGTCGAATTGATTAAACTAATTGGTTCACTGGAAGCCAAGATACAGGCTTCATCCAAGAAGATTGATTCCATGGAACAAAATCGAAATGTATCCAAAGCAGAAGAGCACCACACTAATCAAGTCCCTGATCAGCAAACATGTCCTGAATTCGGTGCCTTTAATATGATTTCAAACAATACTACAACTTCAACCCTATAATTGATGTCTATATGTGCAACATCTCAAACTGCCTACTGCATGGATTTCAAGCTCATTGAAGATCTGATGATCTAACCCTTACTGAATTTGTAGCTATCTTTTAGTTTGATTGATTCAATTTCTGATTTACGACCTTTTGGCTTTATGGAAAATACATGCCTATGTTTACTTAATTTACTTTTGGAATTGTGGTTATACCATGCTTCTGCTTTAGTTAATGGGTATTTTTATGTTCCGTCATCTATTGGGTGTCGTTTTCATTTATTGTTTTACAATATTGTAAGGTCTTCTCTGTTTCATTTAAAATATTAGAGCTACACTTATGATAATACATGTGTATCTTCCAATATACTAACTAAGCTCCAAGTTTCGTGGTATTTTCCAATAGGGTGTTGTTAAACTGGGCAATACCTCCGATCTCTACCGTAGGTGCCAAAGAGGAATTCTCTTGACTAGTTCCACTTCAAGGGAAGGGTGATCGAGGGGGCCAAACTTTAGCCCAGTCTTCCGTTTTTCAGCTTTTAAGAAATTCTTAGAATTCGACCTCTCCTTATATGCGGGTCTGAATCTTATCTTAACTGCGAGAATAATTGACTAAGCCGTGCCATAAGGGTCATTTTCAGCTTGACAAATAAATGGCTAATACCTTAGCGTAGAACATGGAACTCTGGAATCCACCTAGGATATATGAGGAAACCTCAAGGTTTATTTGATAAACTGGAATAACAAAACATAACCCTAGCCACGGGTAAAGTAAGTTAAAATATTCCTAGAAACCCTAGGAATAACAAGGGAATTAAAATAAGAAAATAACAAAGTTTCCAAAAATTGTAAAAACATTAAAACTGGATTTCGGGATACTAAACGATCTCGGATGCCCGAAAAAGCCCATACGTCATGGAAAAGCAATGTGTTTTACTCGTGACGCCATTCTCTTCGAATCAACAAGTCATGGGCTCGATTCTGAGCTTGGAGCCCAAATTTACATTTTACTCTATTTGCCTTTGCGCACACGTTGCTCCAGCTCCTCTTCGATTACTTCTGTCATTTGTTCTACATCAGTCCATTCCACTTCCGAAGAACTTGACCCCGAGTTATGATTAGGATACATTGACTCATCATCATGGAACTCATGTAGATTATCAACATTGAAAGTGCTTGATATGCCCATGGAAGAAGGAAGATCCACGACATAGGCATTGTCGTTTATTTTCTTCAGAATGGGCCATACTTCTGAGGTTTCAGTTTACAGTAGGTACCAACTGGGAAACGGTCTCTCCTCAAGTAAATCATCACAGAGTCTCATTTCTAGAACAACTTCACACGGCAATGCTTATTAGTGGCGGCCTTAAATTTGGCGTTGGTCCTCTCTAGCTTTTCCTTCACTTCTTCCCTCACAGTCTCAACTTGTTCAACCATATTTTCAATAGCTACACTAGTCTTTTGGGCTCTTGGAAGCTTGCCTAGGTCAACCACATGCCTAGGCACCGAAGTGTAAACAATGGTAAATGGTGATTTTCTTGTAGAAGAATGAACAACACTGTTGTAAGCGAACTCCATCCGTGACAGTGCAATGTCTCATTGATTCAGCCTGTCTCTGAAAATGCTCCTAACCATATTTCCGAGGGTTCTGTTGGTAATCTTAGTTTGAACATCCATCTGCGGATGAGCGGTGTTACTACGGAAAATCCTTTTTCATTGCCCTGCCTCCTGTTTTGGGGATAGGAGGACTCTCTGCAACACTAAATTGACCATCTTATCACCATCCTCATTCACAAATTCTGCTCCTTCATAATATGCATCAACATTATCCTCCTCATCTTCGTCTTCAATCGCCTCAGCTAGATTGACCTATTTTTTATGGGTTGGGCACTCCTTGGAGCGATGCCCTAGTGGAACACCTGTAACAAATATCATTCGTCGACCTAGCATAAGGATTGCTCCTTTTGTTGAGATCTCTTCCCTAATTTCTACTACTACCTTCGTCGAGTGAGGTAAAATTCTGTTGCATATCACTCTCCCCAGGATTCTACTGCACACCTTGTTTTTCTCCATGGATGGAGCAGAGGATACATAATTGCTCTTCTTGATACCACTAGTGCTCGACCCAGTACGCTTATCTTTCTCTAGTAATTTGGCCTTCAATGCCATATTTTGTGCCCCATGAGATGTCCACAAAGTCTGAAACCCAATTTTCTCCTGCAGAGAACTTCTCAACCCAATGATATACCTAGCAACCATTTGACCATTTGTTTCCTCCAAATTATTGCACTGAGCCAAAAGCAAAAATTCATTTGTATACTAAAAAACGTTCTGATTGCCTTTATGCCAATTATGGTAGAGCCAATATAGGTACTGCTCATAATCGGCAGGTAGGAATCTCCCTATCATCAGTTGCTTCATACTACACCAAGTCTTCATTACTTGCTTACCTTGCTCCTACCGTGATGTTTGAAGCTGGTCCCACCATACAGCCGCCCTACGTTTCAAACGAAAGGCAGCTATCTTCACCATCTTTGTCTCTGGAACCTCCGTAATCTCGAAGAAACGCTCCACCTTTACCAACCAATCAAGAAAGTCTTCAATCTTTAGGTGGCCATTAAAGTATGGAATATCAGCCTTAATTCGAAAATCGTCCATGTACTGGTTACGATTATTCTGATTAGGTGCGATCAGGGGCTGTTCATGGAGGAGTTCTTCAGACTCTTCCTCACTCTTAAGGAGAGGACGTCTCTCAACAATAGGAAGTTGCACGCGGGCACCTCCATTAGGTCGCGGTGGAGGGTTTTGGTTTCCCATGCCCAACAATAAATGCCGAACCTCCTCCACTGTTGCACAGAAGGTCTTAAACTCGGTACTAGTAATAACTTCCCTTGTGCCATGGGTCCTATCACCTCCATCTTGATTGTTCATCGGGTAGGACATACCTGCTTTGATGCCAACTGACGCAGCATGACATATATATGGCTAAAACCTTAGCCTAGAACATGGAACTCTAGAATCCACTAGGAAGATGAGGAAACTTGAAGGTTTATCTGATAAACTGGAATACTAAAACATAACCCTAACCACGGGTAAAGTATGTTTAAATATTCCTAAAAACCCTAAGAATAACAACGGAATTAATATAGGAGAATAACAAAAAATATTAATTAGGAAAATAACAAAGTTTCCAAAAATTGTAAAAACTTTAAAACTGGATTTCGGGCTACCAAACGATCTCGGATGCCTGAAAAAGCCCTTCGGTCAAGGAAGAGTGATGAGTTTTACTTGTGATGCCGTTCTCTTCGAATCAACAGGTCATGGGCTTGATTTTGAGCTCGGAGCCTAAATCTGCAATTTACCCGATTTGCCTTTGTGCGCTCGTCGCTCCAGCTCCTCTTGGATTGCTTCTACCATCTGTTCTACATCATAAACGAACCTTAACATTAACTGAATACACCCTATGATCTAAGTACACCATAATATTTAAATCAAAATATAAAATTAACTAAGTACACCCTATTTAACTACTAAAAGTACTCCTGGTACACCCTAATACACTCTATCACATAAAACCAAACCAAATATGATAATCTTCTCATCGGTTATCTTAGTTGAAGGAAACATGCATCTAATGCTTAGTAAATGAACTTTAGCCACAACCTATACAACAAAAACATTCTAAATGGTGGATTCATTTTGTTTATACTAGTTGAGCTAAACCTTTTTCATTTTAAACCAAATATCTTAGTCTAGTCTCTTTGAACACAAATAGAAAAAGGAAAAAGGGAATAGATCTTTTACCCTTCATGTCCTTTTCTTGATTTCTTAATAATGAACACCTTTGTTGGAAAGACCTTTTGTTTCTCTTGATTTTGACTCATTCACCTTAAGGCTCCAAGATTGGAGTCCTCTACCTCACCACACCAAATGCTCCTAGATATGAAGAGAAGGCAATCAAGAAGTATGGATGCTAGTCTAATTCTTGATTGGACCAATTTTTGGTTTATGGAAGATGAGATACAAAGATGATCTCTCATCAACTGAAGTAAGAAATCGAAAAACCTAGCTAGGTTTTCTCCAACACTTAGCTTATATAGGACAACACAAAAGGCAATTGGGTGGGTATTTGGGGCTCCATTTGGTCCATGGGTTATGTCATCTTATGCCACTTACCTCTTGGGCCCAATACCCTTTTAGGCTATTTTGTCCATTTCATTTAAAATCATATTTAAAGGCCTAATCTAATATTTCTATATGTCAATATTAATTCCATAACTAATCTTTTAATTATAATTTAACTAGCAAATTATAATTATAGTCTTACTTAATTGACCGGGTTGAACTATTTGACTTTGGTCAATTGCCCCAGTCAACATATTGACTTTTGATAGTTGACTTTGACATTTGATTATCAACCATTGGCTTGTGTCTCCTTAGTTCATTTCTCCTCATTTGTACCTCCAATCACATTCTTTGGGTATGCGGATTCGTAGGTTCTCTTTAGTAAGGTAGTGGGTTAACTTAACTCCTCAGAGATGATATATGAATTAAATTATTCCTATTAATAAAGGTTAATTGAAACCTTTTAGGACATCCACAAACTATGGTTGTCTCATAGCAGCAAGTCACGATTATCCGATCTAAATGAGACATTCTGAAAGAACCTATTCAAATTAGAATGACCGTGCAATTGAATCCTTCTCTTATGTCTTATCCACTACTCTACGCAAAGATTTGACCAATCGTATCTTGGAGTATTCTCTCTCCTTTACTGAGAGTAGAGATTCCTTGTTGTACATTCATTTGGTTCCATGACTCTATTGAGAATCCTAATGAGCACCTTTAAGCTATGCCTAATTCAACATGACCGTATAGTGCCCTCAAAGATTAACAACATAGCCACAAAACATCTATGATGCCTCAGGTCTAAGGATTAGTTTGCACCATTGCAATTTATGAGTTCCAGCTTGACATGCGAGTAAAGACTTTCATGCTGTAACTCATGTGTTGGATCGCGTTCAGTGTACTTGTTCTTCTACAAGCACCTACGCACATTTCGATGTGTCTCAACACTTAATGACTTGAGACCTTACCATTCCTTACATATAGAGACGATACTGTGTGTACTGGTCTTTGCAGAATATTGACACCCAATAAATATTCCTATGACCAGGAACATATTCAGGATTTAGGGATGATGAGAAGTCTCCATGTATGCAATCTCATTACATAGCTCTAATGTTTAGGCTGAAGAAGACGTTTAACTTGAGGGCGATGATATCTGAGCTGAAAAGCTCCCTTGCCGAGAAGGATTCTAAGCTGAGCTCTTCTGCTGCTGACTTGGTTAGTCTAAAAGATGCCTACTTTCGTCTTGAGCTTAAGAATGCTGACATCTCCCTCAGTGATGACAAGCTTCTGGCTAGACTTTGTGCCTACCCCAAGTCTGCTGAAAAATCCAAGTTCGAAGCCATCACAGATGCATACAAGTTGGGCTACTTACACTGCGCAAATGGGACTGCTCCCTTTTATGCAATTGAAGACGGAGGCATCAAGACGCTCTGCCTTGACTTGTTCCATGTGCAAAGTGGGCAGGGTAATGATGTGAACATGGAAAGAACTGAAGAGCAGGACACATCTGATGAGATGGTGCAGAGGAGGGCATAGCTGATGAGATGGTGGCAGATGTCGTGGAGCAGGCAGGTGGAGCTGCTCAAGGCGTGGCTGATCAGGTGGATGCCAAAGAGGCTGCAGATTAAGGATGCCGACGTCTCAGAGTAGCTGAAGACTTCTTTATTTATGTTCAGCTTTTGTAGTGTCTTTCTTGTTTAGAATAATTGGTCTTGTTTGACCATCTTTTTTTTTGGTTGAACTCGGCCTGTTGGTAAGCATGCTATTGAAATTTCAGTTATTTTTTCAACTTCAATTTGCAAAACTTCTTGAATAACCAACCAGTGTCTTGATTGTGCATCTCCCTTAGGAAATTGACAAGTGCTAGAGTCTCCTTGAGGGACTCTAGGCTTATTTGAGGGCTGCGTCTCCTGTAGGACACTTCTGATCGTCGCCTTGCGTCTTTCCTTTTCTTTTTTTTTTGTGGTCTTTTGAGGCCCACTTTGGAATGAGAAACTGAACTTATATTGATATTCATAAGATTACATCGCTTTATTCGAAATGAAAATAATTGAATAAAGAACTTGGAATTTCCAGCAATTGCTTATCTTCTTTAGAAATGTGTGGGGCTCAGTCATCTGCTTGGAACTGAGCAGACAGGAGGAAGCGTCACGGATAATATTTTCGGAGATGGTAAGCATTCCATTGTCGTGGAATTTCCTTTCCATCCATGGTGTCAAGTGTGTAGCTTCCTCTGCCCCAGGACCGGTTGATCACATAAGGACCCTCCCAGTTAGGATTCATCTTCTTTGACACTTGTCTTGGTGCAGTGACGAAAGTCTTTCTTAGCATGAGATCACCTGGTTGAAATTGTCTGATCTTAGCTCTTTTGTCGTAGTAAGACTTCAACAGTTGCTGATAGGAGGCGACTCGATTAATGGCCTTCTCGTGCTCGCCCTCAAGTCAAGGTTGAGCCACATTTGCTCGGAGTTTTGATCAACACTGCCCACCTCCAGGCTTATGGTGGGGACAGTGATGTGAGGAGGGATGATCGCTTCCGTCCCATAGGCGAGGGTTTCGCTAGTAAATCTTCATTTGGTGGTGAAATAAGCCCATAGTACTCCAGGGAGCTGATCTACCCATTTCCCCTTGGTGCATTCTAACCTCTTCTTTAGGAAATATAATATGACTTTGTTGGATGCCTCGGCCTGTCCATTGCCTTATGGATACCTTGGGGTGGACAGGTGTTGCTTGATCTTGTATTTTGCAAAGAAGGCAGTGATTTGCTTGCCAATAAATTGCGAGCCATTGTCAGTAACTAGTGAATGTGGGCAAACCGGTAGATGATGTTTTTCTAGATAAATCGCTCCACGTAGGCTTCTTTGGTAAAGGATAGAGCTTAGGAGTCGATCCATTTGGTAAAGTAGTTGATGGCAACGATCATCATGTCTTTCTTGGCGGGCGTTGGTGGCAAGGGACCTACTCAGTCAATGACCTATTACATGAATGGCCATGGACTGTTCTGCTGATGGTAGACTTCGGCATGCAGGTTAGGAACCGGTTTGTACCGCTGACAACGATCACACTTCTTAACATATTCGGTGGAGTCGTGGCGCATGGTAGGCCAGAAATAACCTATGTTTAGATCCTTTTCCCCAAGAGTGGTTGCTACACTTGCCCAAAGTAGTCGATCGGCTCTATTTCTTCAATGCTTGGTCGATCAAGGTGTTTGACCAGGATGGAGCGTATGAACTGGGTATCCAGCCCTAATCTTAGGCTTGCCAATGCATCTGTAAGAGTATTTTCTGCCCGTGGAACTTGTCAGATGGTGAAAGTGGGGAATTCCTTCAGAAGTCCTTGGACTTTGTTGAGGTACTGGATCATTCTCGAGTGTTTTTCCATGTACTCGCCTGAGGCTTGATTCGTGATTAGTTGGGAATCTGAGTAGATGGGCAATCTCTTGATCGACAATTCCTTCGCTAGGCATAGTCCAGCGAGCAATGCCTCGTATTCTGCCTCGTTGTTTGAAGCAGGAAAGCCTAGTGTGATGGCTTGTTCCAACAAGGCTCCGTTTGGGGTGATTATGATGACACATGCCCCCACTCCCTTATGATTTGATGCTTCGTCTACGCATAGCTACAACATGTCGTTGGGCAGGTTTAGATTAGCAAGGGAGGTATCATTTGTTCTTGAATTTTTCTTGTTTTTCATGGCTAGCTTCTCTTCATCGGTTGTCGGAGTAAACTCTACAACAAAATTTGCTAAAACCAGGGCTTTTATAGTAGTCTTTGGCCTGTAGAGGAGGTCATATTGACTGAGTTAGATAACCCATTTCATGATTCGCTGAGAAGCGTCGGGGCTGTGGAGGATCAATCTAAAAGGAAATTTTGTCATGACAATTATCTGGTGTGCTTGATAGTAGGGCCTTAGTTTTCTCGTGAAAACCACAAGCCAAAAAATGATCTTCTCCATTTTTAGGAAGCGAGTCTCTGCGTCGACAAGAGCTTTTGAAGTGTAAAATATCGGATGTTGTGGCCTCAGCTCTTCTCGAATGAGAGCTGAGTTGACAACTGAGTTGGACACTGCCAGGTAGATGAACAAGCCTTCACCTAGTATTGGTTTTGAGAGCAGGGGAGGCGAAGTGAGATAGGTTTTCAAGCTTTGAAAGGCTACTTCGCACTCTTCGTCCCACTTACCCTTTTGCCCTTTCTTCAAGGCTTTGAAGAATGACCTACATTTGTCGGTTGATTTTGAAAGGAATCGGTTGAGAGCTGCTACTCTACCCATTAGACTTTGTATCTCCTCGGTTATGGCAGGCGACTTCATGTTGAGTATAGCCTTGATTTGTTTCGGATGTGCCTCAATTCCTCATTGGGTGACTAAGTATCCCAAGAATCGGCCGGATGAGTCTCTAAATGTGCATTTGCTTGGGTTCAACTTCAGAGCATGTTGAATGCCTCGGCAGGGTTTTTGATGTGGTATGCTCGTTGGGGAGCTGTTACTAGCATGTTGTCTACGTAGACCTCCATAGTCTTGCCGATTTGCTCATTGAAAATTTTGTTTGATAGCCTTTCGTAGGTTACTCCAGCGTCTGTTGTGTTCCTTCCAAGTGCCAATATATGATTAGTATAGTGGTACAAGTAAGGGTGTCAAACCACAGGGACCGATTGGACCTCTATAAATTATTAGTTTTGAAAGAACCCTAACTGAAAATGAAAGTGACAAATTGAAAGTAGTTTTTGTGTTGTAAATGAAAAATAACTTAAAATGCAAGAAGAATGTAGTAGTGAATGGTATAATGATGTAGAAAGAATAGGGATGAGACCGGGGATTTCAAATTCACCATTGCAAAACCAATTCCATGTTTACAAAGTTAAACCGTATTCAACTACTAACCTGTCTCCAGAGTTCGTTTTACATATATATGATCAGCCATATGATGTGTGGTTTTGATCAAATTCTCCTAATCTGCAACCTAATTGGGCTGTTCAACTTTGGTTCCAAGTTAAGAGTCATTAGCATGCAAGGAAACGTTAAAGAACCAAAGAAAATACATGGTAGGATGTTTGCATAGCATTCTCTTCATTCATTCACATGTCTACCAAGATTAAGCATGATGTTTGCTATAACCTTGTCCAGATAATCTGTGGGCAACCCTAATGGTGATCAAACATTAAAATTGACAAACAAATTTAGCAACAGATTCAGTGAATGAAACAAGAAACAGATTGATGAACTGAATACTTTAACTTAGAAACATGGATCAATGTTACAAGGCTACATCGAAATCCATAGCTATGAATTTAGTTACACATCATGTTCACAGAGATTAAAACGAAAATAAACAACATGAGTGAAAATAAATTCAAGAGAGGAAACCCTTGAACCAATTCTGATGTTGAACTTCTCCAAGAACAGCCTCATGCGATGAGTCCTGATGGTGGAAATATATGGACGGCTAGGGTTTTTGTGTGCACGAAAGGAGAGAATAACCAAAAAGGAGTGTCCAGGGTTGTGAAATTCGTCCAAAATAAATAAGGTATGTAAAAGTGGCTAAAAGGCAAGTTTTTATGGGGTAAAAGAGGCTGCCAGATATTCCAAAGAGATCCTAACAAATCAGACTTTATTTTGCACGTTTTTGCCTTATTTGGCACCTCCAAATCAGGCTAGAAATCCCATTGCTTTCCCATTCTACTCTTAGTCTTCAAACAAGCCAAGTTCGCTTTGGATTTCAAAACAGGTCACGAAATTTGTTTCCACGTTTGAATAAGGGTCAACTCCAAAAATGGCATGTTTTCATTTCTTTTGTCTTCAACTTGATCCTAAAGTAGATGCAACTGCATACTAACACAAAATAGGGTAAAACATAACAAGTTTAACTCAAAAACATCACAAATAGACTAAAAATGGATGGTATAAATGTATAAATATATGAGTTATCAGCGTCCTTCAGCCTAAAAGGCATGACTTTGTAGTAATACATCCCCCTTTTGAAGATGAAGAAGGTCTTTGCTTTGTCGTCCTTATGCATCAGGATTTGATTATAGCCAGAGTAGGCATCCATAAAGCTGAGCAGTTGATTGCCGGAAGTTGAATCGACGAGTTGATCTATTCTTGGCAGTGGAAAGTTGTCCTTAGGGCATGCCTTGTTGAGGTTGGTGTAGTCTAAGCAAACTCTCCACAGGTCTTTATATTTCTTGGCTACTAGGACAACATTTGCCAACCATTCTGCGTAAGAGACTTCTTCTATAAAATCGGCAGCTAGGAGCTTGTCGATCTCGGCTTCAATGATGGCGACTCACTCGAGAGCGAAGTTGCGTCTCTTTTGTGCTACTGGATTGACATGGAGGCAATGGAAGATTATCTGGGGATCGATGTCTGGCATGTCGGATGACGACCATGTCCTAGAGTAAGGGTGCAAGCTCTACCTTCTCCTCCTGGTTTTGGCCTGAGCTGATCCGCGCTTTTCTCTCTAGCTTGTCAGGATCCAAGGGTATTAGCTCGACGTCCTCTTCGGGTTTCCATCCTTCTTCAGGAGAGACCTCTAGACGAATTCCCTCGGCTTGGTCCTGATGCTTTCCCTTTTGGCTTGTTTGGTTGCTAGGAGCGAGATTTGGTTGTTCTACTCCCTTCTTATCTGCCTGATTCACTGAGAGGAACTGTGTTTGCTTCTTTTCTTCAGTCCTTGAGCCGAGCATTTCCTCACCATTCCTGGTCGCTATCGATCTGACCGACATTGCCCCCAGGGATTGGGTAGCGGATTTTCTAATGTGTGGCATAGGTGATGGTATTGATCTTACCGATCCATGGTTTGCCCAGAATGTCGTTGTAGGGTAAGGCTTCATCAATGACAGTGAATGTTTGCCAGCTGATTACAGGTAGGGAGTAGATCTATCGTGCCCATAGTAACTATTGTTGCACCATTGAAGCCAGTAAGTGACCTAGCTGATTTGTTGATCTTTGTCTCCAAGCCCATCTGCTGGATGACTACCAGTTGCAGGATATTGGCTGCGCTGCCCTCGTCTGCATGGATTCGGTCGACCATGGCCTGAGCGATTTGGATGCTGATGACAAGGGCATCGTTGTGTTGCATATTGAGGCCGATTAAATCTTTCTTTCGGAAGCCAATCACTGGATCGTCTTCTGCTGGTAGAAGGCCAGTTGACATTTGGGAGATCACAGTGGCCTGTTTGATCTTCCTCTTCTTTTCTTTACTGGTCAGCCTAGACTTCTCGGAGTCAGCCAGGATTGTGTTAATCCTTATGACCTTCTAGGGTGCCCCTTTGGACGTATCGCAGTCCTCAATCTTCTAGATGGCCTGCTTCGCAATGAATTCCGTGCAGTGACCTTCTCTCACGAATTCTTTGAGGTGTTCTTTCCAAGCAAAGCATTTATTCGTAGTGTGATCGTGCGTCCCATGTAAGGCACAATATTTTTTGGTATCCCTCTTGTTCGGATCTCCTTTTAAAGGTGGCAGTCTTCTTACCCAAGGTTTGCCCTTCACTTGGGCTAAGAATTGATGTATGGGGAAGGAGAACTTGGTGTAGTTCTCTTCTGTCGTAGCGTCTCCTTATGGGTGCGCCCTACATTTGTCCTTGTTCTTGTTGCTAAACTTGTCGCTTCTTTGGCTTGTCCTCTTGGTTGGCTGATCTTCTTGCTTGGTAGAGTTCTTTCGCGGGGATTCGATCGTCATCCCAGAGCACGTAACTTTCTGCGGTCGTGAAGACCTCTGCCAAAGTCTGGTTGAGGGTGATAGTCAGCTCGAGGCATAAGTCATGCTTAGTTGGAAAGACCTTTCTTGAAAGCAAAGGACGTGATTTGGTCGTCGCACTTTGAATCTCTTAATGTAATCTCGAAGGGATTCATCGAACTTCTTGCGCAGGTTGTACAGGTGGTTAAGGTTCTTCTTGATTGTCCAGTAAGAAGTGTATTCTTTGGCGAAGACGTAAGCTAGCTCCTTGAAGCTGTTGATCTACCCGAATGGTAGTGTGTGGAACCAATATTAGGTTGCTTCTCGCAAGGTCATTACAAACACCTTACACATCAGTGCGTCGTTGGCATTGTAGAGGATCATAATACTTTTGAAGTGTTTCAGATGGCTCTCGGGATCAGAATCCCCTTTGAAATGCTTGAACGAAGGCCTAACCTTGAACGGATTGTCGGCTGGCTCAGAGTAAGGCTTGCAGATGACTAAGTCTCTTCATCACGATCTCGTTCTCTCCCTTGCCCGTTTGTCTCTGTCCGACAAGTCTGGAATCTCTCGAATGCTCGCCAGTATGCTCGTGGATTCTTCTTTCCTCATCACCAAATCTAAGGTAAGGGCCCTGATTGAAGTTGATCTGCCGGAGTAGTTGACCAATTAGATTATTTGATTGTTTTGGTTGAGAAGAGAAGTATGGATCTGGCCCAATGACATATGGGCTAGGACTCCATTAGATGCGTACACAGGTGCATACGTCAAGTGTGGTTGCAAAGGAGGGAGCGAATGGATTTGTTCCAAGACTAGGGAATAGCTCGAGATAGCATTGAGGTGATCACAAATGGCGGCACTGACATAGGTGGTGGCACCTGAGCCTAGGCCTTGCGGTTGCACGGCGATGGAGGCCACGGGGCAATTCTAGCCGCTATTTGGTGGTTCAAGGAGGTGATTCGCGGCTATGAGTGGTGCGGCAATTCTAGCCTCTATTTGGTGGTTCACAGAGGTGATTCGCGGCTTCGGTTGCTATAGTAGCTGTTTGGAGAGGTTGTGAGGCCTCCGTATGTGGTTGGACGGCACAGGCAGCCACGGGGGCTGCTGGAACTCGTTAGGGGGCAGCTGGAAAGTGTTAGAAGCTGTGGGAGGCTGCTGCAAAACACTGGCAACAGTTGTACCTCACGATGGCAGCAAGGTTTTGGCCGTTCTGGAGTGCATCGTCGTGGTGGTTTTGCTCCTACGGAATTTGCTTCCAACTGTGGTTGTTTGGAAGGCTTCGGGGGATCGGAAAATAGGAGGAACAGATTCCTTGAGCATGTATTGAGTATAACTCGTGCTCTCAATGAAAGCACCAATTTGTGGGAGTGATTTTCGTCCCACGAGAATATTCGATTAATAGATTCCCCTTTCTTCTTTGTCGTCTCTTTCTCCCTGCAAAATAAATCGGAATAAGAGGATCACACCCGAGGGGTGTTGACCAAAGGCCCTTTGATGCCTAAGTTAGTTCAATTGATTCGTAGAGAAACAATAGCTAAAAAGGGTACGGAGATGTATGTATGGTGTGAACCGGGCGGCTGGAGCCTTGTGTAAGGGCAAGAGAGAGGAGGCTGCAAGGAGGGGATTTCTACAGTATTTTTGTGTGCTTAGAATGGCTTACCTCATGCCTTGCATAGCCTCGTATTTATGGAGCCTCGTAGGGTTAAGGTTTGGAGAAAAATAATCCTTGTTTGGAAAGGAATTAGTTTTATGATTTTAGGAGATTTAAATAAACTAGGGATTTAAAAAGAATCAAATCCCTAATTCAAGGCAAGAATCCCCAAATCAAATAATCCCCAAATAGAAGGAAATATTTGACCTAGGGTTTTGCTAAAATTCGGTTCCAACAATGTTGTTAACGACCCTTGCATGCCATTACAAGAAAATAATATAAACAACGGCCCATACATTGAATTATAAGATTTATAATACTAGCAAGTAGCAAACAATTAGCAAAAAGGGCTATTTAACTTTGCTATTGTACATATAATATCGTATTGTTTATTAATCTCTTTATTTTCATCTTACTAGTTTGATTCAACGAAAAGAAACCTCACCAATGGGGTATTAGTTGGATTGGCCCTACTTTTGATGTGCTTTGAAGTGGTCCTGGGTTCAAGCATTCATGATACCCGTGTAAGTTTTCCCCATCCCCCTTCCTAACTTTGAAAAAAAAACAGTAGGAAACTTCAACTTTGCCCTGATTATTGTTGAGAGAGTGCAGATTCCAAACAGGGAATTAAAGCATTGCCTAGTAGTTTTTAGGCACATTTACCATTAATTTCGGGTTAGAATCACAATCATATGCTATCTTGTAGTATGCTTAATGTGGGAAAATATATTTCACTAATCAATAAGAAGATAACACGTGAAAAATGAATATTTCATAGATTAAATTTATTGCCCTAATTAATTCCTATTTAATTAGGGAAATTATCTTTGATTTAAGATAGGAATATCCCCCTAAATCAAGGAACCAATCTCCACCAAAACTCTTCGAGTAATTCCTATCATCTTTTTGGAGAAGAATAATCCTAACCAAATAAAGATTATTCTCCCAAAACCCTAGCACATAAGGAGGCTATAAATACATAGCCACACAAGACATTTGAGGTAACGCTTTTTGACCCGAGAAAACCCTCGCTCTCTCTCCCTGCCGTCGCCACTCTCTCTCCCCTCTCTCCCACATGGCTAAGCACCACCACACATGGCTCCAGCCAATCGGCTCTCCTCGTTTGGCCAACACCCCTTGAGTATGGTATATTTATTCATATTTATTTCGCAAGGATCGAGAAAAAGGGAGAAGGAAGATCAAAGGTCGAGGAATCAACCCGCGAATATTCTTCCATGAGAAATTTGCACAAACAAATTGGTGCTTTCATTGAGAGCACGAGATATACTCAACGTGTGCTCTTGAATCAAAGAAACCCGTTTCCACCTTTTCATCACTCAACCGATGCCTTCCAAACAACCATGGTTGGAAGCAAGCGCACAAGGAGCAAGACCTCTGCAACAACTCAATCCGCGATGGATTCGATCCTCCACGACGCCACAGGATCTCGTAGCCACCACTTTCCTCACTCTCGGCCCCACGGCTGAGAACATCGTTGCAGCTCCACCAGCCACGCCACATCGCAGCCCTGCGGCCAATGCGGCCTTGCAGCCAGCTCCAGCAGCCACTTCCTTCATGACCAAGTGGTCAGATTAAACTTGTAGCTACTGCATGCCATCATGGCCGGGTCTACCTTTCAACCGCAAGCCTTCATTGTCGGATTCGGTGATGTCCACCATGGCGCCACCATTTGTGGTGGCCCAACCATTCACAACAATCTCATTGCCTTCACTTGCCATAGCCCAATCTTAGAATAACATAATTCATTCCTTCCTTTGCCGCTGCACTCGACATACACTCCTGTGTACACCTCTAACGAAACCTTAGCCCATGTGCAATTGGGCTCTTCATAATTCTCTCATCCCGATCCATGAAGTCAAGCAAACTTCAGTCTTAAAGTTGACTAGTTGACTAAAAGAGTGGATGACCAAAACAACTTGGTTGGACAACTCCTAAACCAGATTGACTTCGTCCGAGACCTTGCCCTTGGACCGCAAGGCAAAGAGAAAAGGATGGACGAATGCACCCGCAGGCAGTTCGAGAAGTCCCATGGAAGTTTAGTAAAAGCAAGCAAACGAGGAGAAGGATAAGAGCGTGGTCAACACATTGGCTTGTTGCAAGCATCCGCGAGCTAGGCTTAAAGCATATCGAGACTCCGATCGAGATTAAGTGCAAGGATCAATGTGCACAAGAGGCTGGGCCTACAACCCGATGTTCACGCCCGCTTGGGCCTTTAGAGAAGCGTTCATGCGAGACTAGGCTCCTAGAAGATCAGCCTCACGGTCATTCCATGAAGTACGAGAAGAAAGACGCTCACCTGCTCGGTCCGGAGGAGCCAACTCACGAATACAAGCTACTGAGGGTCCCATGCAAGCTTAGTCCACCAATAAGTCGAGCAGGCATGACAGTCGACGTGAACTGCAAACCATGCGGGCAGAAGATGTTGAGACTTAAAGATTGGAGGAGATTTTGAAGATGCTCTGCGCAAGGAGGTGGACCAAGTGAACTCCTCACCATTCCCTGCCGAGATTGAGCATGCGGCTCCACAAAAGCGATTCTCAACACCTTCTTTCACACTCTTCAAAGGGGATTCCCATCCTAAGAGCCATCTGAAGCATTTCAAAAGTGTTATGATTCTTTACAAAGCCGAAGATGCACTGATGTGCAAGGTGTTTGCCATGACCTTATGAGGAGCAGCCCAAGATTGGTTCCATATCCTGCCATTCGAATCGATGAGCATCTTAAAGGAGCTAGCTTTCGTCTTTACCAAGGAGTACACTCAACTACATCAAGAGATTCAAGGCAGAAAAGGCAAACATCGTAGATTGCAATGACCGAATCACATCCTCTGCCTTGAAGAAAGGCTTTCCAATTACTACTTGGCAAATGGAAATTTGCCAAAGGATAAGTTCGAAGCTAGAAAATTCTGGCAGAAAGCTACGAGATACTACATATAAGACAACAAGCTCGTTCGCAGATCATACTCTACCTCTTATCTCACATGCATAAAGTAACCTCAAACACTTGAGGTACTCTGCAAAATTCATGACTACAAGTGCAACAACCATTCTAGGGGTATATCACTTGCTCAAAAGGCTATAAGCATTGGCTATTTCTGGCCTACCATGCGCTATGACTGCCATAAAAGCGTCCCAAGGGAGACACATGACAACTTGAAGCGTCTTAAGTGAGATGCAGGACAACCAAGCCATCATCCATAAGAAGCATCCAAAGGGAGATGTAGAGTGACTGCCTTGAAGCATCCTAAGGGAGAAGTAGAAGAGCACCCTTCAAGCAAGCGGTGGGTAAACATTCAAACATCTCAAAGGAAATGGGCAACCAAGGCTCCAGCCGGCCACTCAAGCAATTAACAAGACACAATGCGAATTGAAGTTAAAGAAATAATTGAAGTTTCCATAGTAAAGTCACCAACCAGCCGAGTTCAAAAGAAAGAAGATGGTCAAATAAGACAAATTATTGCAAACAGAAAAGCAGATTACAAAGCTTGAAAAGATAAAATAGTCTCCATTGGCAACCTCCTCAACTTCTGCTTGATGAACTACGCCTGCCATGGCTCCTCCTAGCTCTGCTACATGCTCATCAGATAAAACCATTTGCTCAGCCAAGTTTGCCACCACCTTGTCAGCTGCGCCCTCCTTGGCATCATCCTCCTCGGCTGCAGTCTTGTCAGCCGCCTGCTATTCGGCTGCCTCCATATCCATAGCATTGATCTGCACACCATGAGCAGGGGGCATGTCAAGGAGCGGCCCCACTCTTGCAGTCCAAGTAGTCCAACTTGTATGCGTCAATGATAGCTTTAGACTTGGATTCATTTAGCAGCCTTGTGGTTGGCGTCAAACTTGGCCAGAAGTTTGTCATAACACTGGGATATATCAGCATTCTTGCGCTCAAAATGGAGGTAGGCCTCTTTGCGACCATGCAGGGCAACAACAGATGAGTTGAGATCACTATCTTTTTTAGTAAGGGAACTCTTTAGTACAGAAATGTTGTCACACTCCGATGGCCTGGTCATGTGACAGGGGCATGTACCTTGAGAATCCCTAGAATACAACACTTACCTGCCCTAGTGTGATACTCCCAAGTGTTCTCAAAATACGTTAAGTCTTTTTATTTTATTCTTTTTGTGGTACAAGTTGGATATAGAATATGAGGAGTTCAAACACAACCCTAAACAAACATAGTACAAGCCAAGAGTGGTATAAGGTCCATCAAACCTAGTTACAACATATTTCACAAGGAGACAAAAGATGAGTTTCTTGACCTGCAAGTAACATGAAGCACGAGGAAGAATTGACAAGTCTCAGATGCCGGGCCACGAACCTAGTCAAGGTCTAGGTAGTCGACCTGATCGTAATCTACACCAAAAGTAGGGTGAGCATCGCATACGATCATTTACCAAGTAGAGGGTACCCCGGCCAAGTTTAAAAATAATTATGTTAATGTAATTCTTTTTAATACCGTACACCAAAGCATTAAAACCAATGCACAACAAAAAAATTATCAGATTATCAGTTTGAAACACTTGGCATGCTCACACAACTTTTCATAAACAATATTTCGGGATCCTAGTAACTTCATGTGATGACCGATCCATTAGACCAACTACTCTTACCACGCCAGGTAAAGTAGCGAGAGTGTCCATTTTAATGGCTAAACCCCATAGGCTATTCTACATTGTTTAAGGACCTCAGACTAGCCAGTCAGTGTAAGCCCTCCGGAGGTTTAAGGTATCGAAACCTAAGGTCATCGGTACGTGACCCTTCACTCTCAAGTCATCCTAGTTAGAACACCATTAACACCAAAGGTCGGTGCCCAAAAAAAATTCAACACCACACATTAATGTCAATCACAAACTATGCAGTTTCATCATGCATCAATATTTAATATAGCAGTACAAGCATGAAATCACAAGATCGGGAGTGAGTCCCCTTACATGGAGTCCATAGGTTTAGCCAACACAAGCACTCAACTCAACCGTCATTAAGTCCGCGTTCGGCTATTCGAGGTCTTAATGGATTTGTGAATGATTTTTGGTATGTCCTTGCAAGTGCACAAGAATGATGTAGTTTAGCATTTGACAAGTCCAAGGGTCGTTCCCACAAGGATTCCAAATTAATATAATATTTGATTACCTAAATTAAATATAATTGATATGCAAGGGAATTTGTAAAGATTGTTGTTGTGAAAGTTTATGAAACAAACAAGAAATTAATGAAAACAATTGAGAATGAAAAAGTTGAATTTTAAGGTTGAAAAACAATGATGAAGGTCTAAGGTTTCAGAATCAACCACAAGCAATTCAAGTTAGATTTCAATGCATTTAACAGATTCTTTCGATTCTTTAGATGATAATTCCCTTATCTAAGTCCTTTTCAGGCACTCAGACCATAGTTTTCCTTAAGTGTAAGATTCTTTTATAGTTCAGACAAAGATCATATACCCAATCCTACAATCTATCCTGGTTAAGGCATAAATTTAACAAGTTGCACTACTACAAAAGTGAAAAAGATGACCAGAAAACAAAGACAGTAGATCAAAAAACCGTCGTTGTGTTTGAAAAGACGACGGTAATAGAAAACCGTCGTGGATGAATAACTTAAACACCTAAAAATGGAGATTCTCATGGATGATTTTAAAAAAGCGTTGTCTTATTGAAAACATTTTCTTCAGAGTTAAACTTTGAGCCAAAAACAACGACAACAACTATGAAGCCACTGACGTAGAAAGTAAAGACGACGGTTTTCAACAACAGCTGCTGTGTTAACTCCTAATAAACATGACCAAATTTTCTTAGTCAGCGTCGTATAATTTCAAAGGAATCCAAGTCGGTATATTACAAAACTTCGCCGTATTAAATCAATGTACCACGACGGTAAAGATAAATTTATCGACTTTTTATTCATTGTGTACTACAAAGGTATCTATTACTCTACTGTCCGGGTAAGTTGTACTAACCGCATTGGTTTGTTCAATTAACGACGTATAATATTATTTTACCACGTTGTGAACTTAAAAGTAGCGTCGCATTTATTTACTTTATACGTCTGACCTTATTTGTAAACCGACGTCTTAATTTTTATTGCTTTTTAAGATTTATTTCTGGGATTTTTGTAGCCTACGACGGTAGATCAACAGAATGACAAGAATTGTAAAAAACATGACGGTTTATATAGAAAACCGTCTTAACAAGAAAATTAGAATGAAATCTTACCAGAGGGAATTCTATTCGTCATCATAATCGATTCACTAATGTGAGAGAAAGACAATATTTTAGACATTGATGATGTTTGTGTCTTTGTGTCTTTAAGATACACAAAGGCACATACATATCAAAATCCAAAACATTTGCCTCTAAAATTTGAAGACGGCAGCCACACATCAACATCCAAAACATTTGCTTTCAGAAAGACAATTTTTTCTAGTTGGTGATGTGTGCGTGTTTGTGTCTTTTAGATACACAAACGCACACACACATCAACATCCAAACTATTGCCTCAAGAGAGGTGAGACAGAGCCAAGGCTTGACGTGAGGACGGCAACCAAGGGCAAGAAGAAGTTGGAACCCTAATTGAAAACTGAAAGTGAAAGAATGCTTGAAAAAACCATATTTATACAAATAATCTTCACTATCCACGTCGGTTCTATTACACGTAGCGACGTCTATTAAAACAATCCACATAGGTGAGTACTAAATTGAGGTCGTATAAACCTACATAACCACGTCGGTTTGGTAAACTAAATTCATCAACTTCTAAAACAAACAACGGCGGTTATACATAAATTGACGACGTGGTGACTTATAATATCACTTCTTCAAAAGCAAACTTTTGACGTGTAATGCCGAGATAACCACGTCGTTTTCAGAATACCAAAAGTCAATTGGCTTTATTACTAACCACGTCGGTTTCTACTATTATAACATTGTGGTAAGGACATACTAGGGCGGTTTTTCACAAAACCGTCGTCGTATTGATCTTTTGATCACCTGACCTAAAGTTTTAAGTTCTCTCTAACCGATAAAAATTTTCAATTTCCCTCTCATTTTCCAAAAGCTGCGGGTTTGAATCTCTTCATCTTCCTCGTCTTCGTCTCCAAAACTCCATAGTTTACTTCTGAAGAAAACTTTCTTTGCAAGCCAAAGGTATTTTCTCACTCTCTTTTTCTTTTGTCAATATCATTTGAAGTTTTTTTTAAAAGAACGAGTCTGGAAACAAGACTCCTTTCAAAATGACGAAATCTTTCACTAGTTTGAATAAAATCACTAGTCCCTTAGTCTCACGACGTGTGAGGACGACGGTTTTGTCTTGTATTTGATATTTTATTCACACACCATGACGGTAATTAAATTCGTGCTATTTTAATAGCATGGATGTACTTAATAACCGACGTGGTGTGAGAATAAATACGACATTATTAAGATACAACCGTCGTCTTATTTGAAACGAACGTGGGAGAGAGAAATCTGGGCGGTTTGTTTTGTATCAACTCATAATAAGACGACGGTTTTATCTTATTTTCGTCGTTTTAATTCTCTTACCACGATGTATTTGTACATCCACAGTTCTAAAGAATTTTACACTTTAATATTACGTCATTTTTTTTTAATTTTTCTTCATTTGTTTGCTTGCAGTTTTTATTTCTCTCTAAACATGGTTTCGAATTCTCAAAGTAAGGAGGCTCAAGTATCAAAAGGTCGAAGCAAGGACCTTGCAGTTTCAAAGGCACAAATGAGTGATGCCAAATCTATTCAAAGCAATCCCACAAAGAAGATGAGATCTACTTCAACCTTCGAGAAAGACCCAAGCTCTGCGACATTTGATGAGGAGCCAAAATCGACTCGTGGTATCAACACAATGAGCCATGTTGTGAAGAGGAAAATCCAGAAGATTAAGCCTGTGGTTGAGTACAATAAAAGTGGTAGACCACACGGCAAGGCTGCTATTGAGATGCAGAGTTACATTGGTGTTTTGGCACACACCAGAGTCCCTCTTGTGGACAAGAAATGGACTCAATTGCCTAAGGACCTAAAGGAGTAGATTTGGGAAGCTGTTCAAATGGCTTATGTTGTTGGGGAAGGGGGTAAGAAGATGGTGCTATCGTCTGCCGCCAAAAAATGGAAGGATTTCAAGTCTACCTTAACTAGGTAGTTTATCCTTCCATTTGCAAATGAGAAGGAGAAGTTAAAAGAACCCCCTCAGCTTTATAACTTCATTGAGAAATCCCAATGGGATGCCTTTGTAGCTTCAAGATTATCCCTAGATTTTGAGGCTGTGCATTCTGAGCAGTCATAGAGAAGGGAAAAATGTGAGTACAACCATAGGTTGTCTCGAAAAGGGTATGTTGGTTTGGAGGACGAATTATCAAAAACCATGCCCGGTGAAGAAATCGATCGTTTTCTGCTATGGAAGAAGGCAAGAGAAGCTAAACAGGGAAACATCCTTGATCTAAAGGTTGCAGAGAAGGCAAAATTAATCGTAAGTCTCATTACCTCTGCTCTAAATTTGTAAAATAGAGGTTTTATTTTTCATTTAGACATCGTTTGTTTTAGGTAACCGTCGTTAGACATGAAACACCACGACAGTTTTTATTTACTGCCTTTTAAAAAGTGATATGACGTCGGTATTTTTCGAAAACCGACGTCTGTATTGAATTACCATGACGGTTTATATTTCTGAGTTAGACATTTTAAATTAAAGTTTTAAACTTCATATTCACGCGCGCACACACACACACACACTCTCTCTCTCTCTCTCTCTATCTCTCTCTATTTCTCTGCAATTGGTTTGTTCACTATTTATGGAAATCCATGAATATTTTGGTTAAGATTTTTTTTTTGGATGTAATTTATTACCGACGTTTGAAATGAATTACTACGTCAGTTTTTTAAATAATCTGTCATCTTCACTAATTTACCACGTTTGTTAATATTTTTTATTTAGGTGTTTATTTTATCTGTTTTACAATCTATTCACTCACTATCATTCTCTCTCTCTCTCTCTCTATCTCTCTCTCTCTCTCTCTCTCTCTCTCTCTCTCTCTCTCTCTCTCTCTCTTTTAAAAAAACAAGTCTCTGAGGGCACTCTGACTGTCTTTGGGAGCAACGATATTTTGACCATGGCTTTGGGAACCCCCTGAGCATGGTGGGAGAGTCAAAGGTGTTGGAGCTGGGGAAGTTTTCGTCAAGACGAGGACAAAGTGGACAGAAAATTTAAAGGATTGAGGGAAATCTTGTAACCATATAAACTCTTCATGTCATATTCATCAAAACTCTCAGAAAACCAGTGTCCTTTAAGCTGGCCAATGAGCGGCCACATTACTTCGAAAGAGAGCACAGATCCAAGAAGCAAGGAAAAGTTTACTAGATGGAAACATATCATATCTGCTCCAACAAAAGTCATACTAAAATCGAAGTAGAATCTACAATCGATAGTAGCCACAATTTGCAAAGGATCAGTTACAGCTAGTAGAAGCAAGGGAAAAGAGTGATTGAAGAAAATCCATTGATATGTACGTGTGTTTCCAAACTTGCAATCCAAATGTGGGGAATTGGGCGAATCCACATTCTTCTTTGGCACTATAAAACCACTTGAAAAATCCCCAAAAGAAGCTGAATGAAAAGTACTACATGAACGCATGCACTTACTTCCTGCAAATTGTCAGAATTTCTGTTGAGGTTTGATTCTAACATGTCTTTCTATGAAGAAAGAGAGAGGACTATTGGAAGATGTTTACTTAGCCATCTTATCTCCCTGAATGTGGAAGCCATTGATGAGAACAGCAGTTGCCAAACCACTTGGATATGTTAATTTCAGGTCAACCCAGACAACTCATATGTCTTCTTGTTTAATCCCAAGAGTTTCCCTTCGTGTTCACCACCACAGCCACCACCTAAAGAACTAGCATCTAGTAGTGCAGGTTATATATTTTCTCTTTTATTTATAATTTGGTTATTCTTACATTTTGAACTAATATTTTTGTATTGGCTATGCAACTAATATTCCACTGTCAAAATTGGTTGTTCCTTGTTCAAAAATGAAAAAGAAAACTGAAAATCTAATTATACTTCTACAAGATAATTCTAAAGAAAAAATCCATTATAGTAATATTTTCTTCTAAGGAAAACTGAAAACTGTTACTGTTGCACTTGTTTCTAAATGAAACACAATTCTGCATTCGAAATTAAACTAGAATATTCTTCCCTTAAATTTTTCTGCTCCATTGAGATAAATAGCTTGAAAACTAATGCATGGGATCAATCAAGAAATTTCAGTAATTATTGCTATGAGTTTCAAAGAAATGATTGCTTGGGAAATGCGAGATATCATATTTTTACAGCGAGATAAAAAGGTTTGTACAGTAATTTTTATGCATGTTTGATATAGGTATTGTTTGAGGTGGACTTATCTCATCAAAGATTCTTGAATATGTGGATAAGAAGATGTCAAAGTTATACTCTCAATTCAAGGTTGCATGAACACTACAAGACATGCGGAACACCTGAGGCAGGACGTTCGAATCTACCACACCCTTATTTATGGAATGGGAGACCAGTGAATCAGTGGTATTGGTTGTGTGATAAAGTTTACAGTGCTGAAGACTTTTTGGTATGTATTCCAGGCACTTTTTTCTTATTTGTGTACAACTACTTATTAAGTATCATAGTTGCCTATTCATTTCCTCGAAGTAATGTAGGAGCTATCCAAGCAAAATGCTGACAATCGGAAGAAGCAAAAATATCACCACAAAGGTGGTGCAAAGCCATTCATCCAACATGCTATGAAGGCCCATAAGGTAAATGAAACTATAGTACATAGCTTAGTAGTTAATTTGGTTATTCTTACGTCAATTGTGTTTGTTTTGAAGAAAAAAAAACAGAGTGGAGCACTGTTATCTATGATAGATAATTGGGGGGCTCTCCACAAAGACAAGAAGGGTCAATGGATCAATGATGTTGCTCAAGAGAAACATGTCAGTTACTCATACTTTGTGTTAACTGTTGGCATATTCTAACATTATGCATTGCTTGTTATCCAAAACTATTGGTTTATTCTAAGATTATGCATTGCTTTGTGTTTACCGATTCTTTCACGTGTCTTTCTTCTTTGGAAGTTGACAGAATTTGGAATAGGGGATGGTGATTTGTTGGCTAGGAGATTATCTTCTTTTCCTTTTCTTTTGGGTATCTATTTAGTTATGTGAGTTCTATATGAAATTGGTACTTAGGTGACGAGGGGTAAATTTAAAAGATATTCAACCAAGAACGCAGCAAACTTCACACTCTAGACCTTGACCAAATACTCTTATGACTAGTCAACTGTCATATATGAATTAGACCAAACAATAACATACACAGAGCATACAAAGATGTACCCGCAAGCTTAGAGAATTACTAGTGACAACCTAGGCACTCAGAAGGACCCGTCAATCTAGGCATCCCCTGTGCTAGCAACAACTATGGTGAAAGTGTGTGAAGACATCATAATCAAGCAAACACCAAACAACAGAAAAAGATGACTAGTCAACCGCACAAACCCAGATGACTAGTCAACTATCAAGAACACAAACCCAGAAAATTTACAGAGTTGGAAACCAGAAACTGTTCACCCAGAAACCCACCATTGGGAAAAACTAGGGGTCATCAACCGACCAGGCAATCCACTAAGTAGAAAAAGATTCTTACAAAGGAACACAAGCAAGCTCAAGAAAAACCTAGATCTATTTAGGAAGATGAGCTATACCTCCTTTGTGCAATCTTCTTCTCCAACTTAGCAAAGCTTGAAGCTCAGTTCTTCATGGCAATGGCAGCTCCTTCTCCAGCTCGTTCATCCCATGGCACTAGCTTGCAAGCTCCAACACAAATCGAAACCAAAATTTGGATTCAAAGGAGAATGACCAATTTCTTCAAGAAACCATACTCTTGAAGAAATCAGTCTTGAATCTGACCTAGATATAAATGAGAGAATGATTTAAGTAGCTAGATGCAGATTTGTGTTTCAAATGCAGTTTTTCAAAAAGAAATCAATTGGAAAAACTCATAGATGAAATATTTGGTTCTCTCTTGAGGAAGAAGAAGAGAAAGATAGCAAGCCAATCTTTCCAAAACTTCCACCCAAAAGAGACAGCCGCCAAATGAGCAAAAACATAGCCTTTACAGACCAAAAAATTCCTTAGGTCAGAAACCCACATGGCAGCAGAGAGAGAGAAAGAAGAATGGGACAAAATAGTTTGTTATCCAGCTGGAAGCAAGGATGACTAGTCATATGACAAACGGATGACTAGTCATCATTTTATGAAGACTGTTTAATGTAATGATATGCAATGCATAATACCTTTGTCAACTTGCTTGAACCTCCATAGAGCAGAAATTAGAGAAGAACACCAAGAAAGGTTTTCCTTAATCTAAACTTGAGCTTGATAAATAACAATACAAATCCTATTACAAAGTTGTCAAGGAAAGCCAAAAGAAAATAACAAAAAACCATACATTAACACTATATACCAATATGCTGATTGAATCAATGTAGTCATATGAGAAGACAATATGTGTGGTATGCAAAGCCTTATTTTATTAGTTAAATTTTTAATAATAGATGTCCATGCTTTCTATTTTATAAACTTGGTTGCAATCAAACACTATAACAGATTTTTTTAACCTCTATTTGTATTTCTGTTTGTATTTACTGCATTTATGGAATTTTCTTCCTTGTCCGAGATGTCTTTGAAATTGGTTTTTCATATGTGAACTTGAGTTGTCTCCTAGCCTTGAGATTGACAGTTTTGCTTGTGGGAATTAGGTTTGGTGCTTAGCATGGTCAATCTTGTTTCCCAAGCAAAATTCATTGACATTAAAAAAGCAAGATTTCAAACAAGTCATACAAATTAAGTATACTAAAAAATAAAAATTTCAGTAGGGGATTCTAGAGATTAAAATTCATATTTTTTTCACTTCAATGCAGGTTTGATGACATCTTATCTTGTTTGATGTTATGAACTAAAGAGAAAAATCCAATTTTAATTATAATTAGTATAAGAAAGTTGTACAAGGTTAAATGTGTTTTTTTGTTTTTTGTTTTGTTTTGTTTTTTTTTGATTTGTAAATTCAACACATGTCTGCTCCATTTAATTTTCCGTGTGTGGATTTATGGTCATATGTGTTGCGCACTCAAGTCCGTAACTATGGTTAATTGTGTGGTTTTTCTAAAACTTTATTTTGTAGGATGAGATGAAGAAAATGCAAGATGAGATTAGGGAGAAGTTGATTCAAGAAGCACCTGAGTGTACTACACCTGATTATATAAAAGTGCCATTGGATGCTAAGTTTGGAATCATGGTTGAGAAGCTTGGGAGGAAGGGAAGATCAATCTATGGTGTAGGTGTTTTTTCTCACATGGAGACCTCCAGCTCATCCACTTCTTCAATGGCTTCTAAGTTCTAAGTTGAGTGCAATTTATGATCAGCTCAAGATGCTATCAACTAATTTCATCACTTTGCAAAAGGAGAATGAAGATTTGAGAGCCCAATTGAGGTCCGTTTTGATTGCATCTCAGGGCCAAACTAGCACCAGCTCTAGAGGTAGTAATGGTGTCCTTTCTGATGATGACTATTATGATGAACTAGCAAACCACAATCTTGATGAGAACTAATTCAGAAAGGGATTATATCTTTATGGGAAATACACTTGCTCTCTAGACTTACTTTTGGTTGTACAAAGTCTAGAATTAGTTTGGGATCTTTATTTTGGAACACACTTACTCTCTAGACTTACTTTTGGTTGTACAAAGTCTAGAATTAGTTTGCGATCCTTATTTTGGAACATAGTTGCTCTACACTTACTTTTGGTTGTACAAAGTCTAGTGACAGTTTGGGATCTTTATTTTGGAACACACTTGCTCTAGACTTATTTTTGGGTGTACAAAGTCTAGACTTAGTTTGGGATCTTTATTTTGGAACATACAATGTAATTACCTGCTTTTATTAATGGAAATGCAATTATCTATTTTGATATTGTACATTGAAAAATATGAGAATAGAGAATTGTGATTGGATTTGAGCATATTATTCATATTAGGTACCTTGGTATGGAACATGTGTGACACAGACCTCATCACAATCTAAAGAAATATGTGACGCCAACATCATCATAGTTGAAAAGACATGTGACGTATACATCGTCACATACTACGAAATTATGGGACGTGTGCATCATCACACACTACAAAAATATGTGATGTGTGCGTGGTCACACACTACATAAATATGTGACGCCTAAAGGCTCACGTATTGTATAGGAAGGAGCATTTTATACCCAGTTTAGGAGAGGAATTTCTCCTCACAGATGCAGCTAAACCATGACCCAAATCACAATCATCACTAATAGTTGTAGGAAGTGACTAATGGACAACCACATAATTCAACGTATAGTGACGCGACATGTGTCACAGATATCGGGTATATGTGACGAAGAGAGAAAGCGTCATGTGGGAGAATTGGTGGCTGGGTATAGGTGACGAAAGCTGTGACGCTAAAATTGCGTCACATATACTCAACTGTGACGAAATTCCATGTTTCAGTGACACCTACCCCTTTTCCCAAAAGGCATGTTTTCTTGTAGTGGTCGTTATGGGGAATGATGGATACCATATTGAAAAGAAGCACTGCATTTCATCCACAAATAGATGGGAAAACGAAGGTCGTAAACCAAACTATGGTACACTTGTTGAGGGGTTACAATTCCAAGCATCCAAAAACTTGGGATGAAAGTCTCCCTTACTTACAGTTTCCTTTTAATCGAGGAATTCATGGCTCTACACTCAAATCTCCATTTGAGGTTTGTTTGAGTTATTTACCTCAGAGTCCTTTTGATTTATTATTCACTATGAGTGACCAACCATTAAGTTGGAAAGAAGAAGAACATATTCGAGCACAGAAACTAGCGAATAATACGTGCAAACATCTGAAGGAAACTGGCGAATAGGAAAACTGCTAACCACCTAGGCAGACAAATCAAGCAAGTGAATTGGGAAATCCTGGTCGGCCACCTGTATATTAAACACAGGTACATGCAAACATTTGAAGGCAACATGGGAAAGGGAAACTGGCCAACCACCTATGCAGACAAATCGGGCAAGTGGGTACAGCAATCCTCGTTAGACAACACTACACTAAACCCAGCTACCTGAAAACGTCGGAAGGTAACAATGGAAGGAGAAAACTGGCAAACCACCTGTGCAAACATATCGGGCAAGTGCCTGAGGGAATGGTTGTCAGATAACTGTGTACTACGCACAAATACGTGCATATATCTAAGGGCAATTGGGAATGAGAAAACTGGCCAACCACGTGTGCACACAAATTGTACAAGTGGATAGGCAAATCCTAGCAAGACACTTGTATTCTAAACATAGGTACATGCAAAGATTTGAAGGCAACTGGGAACAAGAAAACTGGCTAATATCGGGCAAGTGGGTAGGGAAATCCTTGTCAGACAACTCTACACTAAGCACTACCTGCAAACATCAGAAGGTACCTGGGGAAGAGGGAAACTGGCCAACGACCTGTGCAGACATGTCGGGCAGGTGGCTGAGGAAATCCTGGTATGATAAGCACATGAACATGCAAACATCTAAAGGCAACTAGGAAAAAGGAAACTGGTCAACCACCTGTACAGACCAATTGGACAGGTGCGTAGGAAAATCCTCGTCAAACATCTAAACACAACTACTTGTAAACAACGAAAGGTAACGTGGAACCGGGGAATTTGGCAAACCACTTGTGCAGACATGTCGAACAGGTGGCTGAGGAAATCTTGGTTAGACAATTGTGTACTAAGAACAAGTACATAAGAACATCTAAAGGCATCTGGGAACGTGGAAATTGGCTAACCACCTATGCAGAGAAATCGGGCAGGTGACAGGGGAAACCTAGGTTAGACACATGTATACTAAAAACATGAATAGGCAGACATTTGAAGGCAACAGGGGCAGGGGAAACTGGCCAACCACTTGTGCAGACAAATCGGGCAGGTAGCTAAAGAAATCTTGGTCAGACAATTGTGTACTAGGCACAAGTACATGCAAACGTTTGAAGGCAACTGGCGAAAGAGGAAACTAGCTAACCACCTAGGCAGAAAAATCAGGCAGGTGGCTTGGGAAATCCTGATTGGCCACCAGTATACTACACACATGTACTGTAAGCATTTCAAGGCAACTGGGAAGGGGAATCTGTCCAACCACCTGTGCAGACAAAGCGAGCAGGTGGATAGGCAATCCCAGTCAGACAGCTTTACACTAAACACAACAACTTGTAAACAACGAAAGGTAACTAGGGAAAGGGGAAACAGCCCAACCACCTATCCAAACATATCGGGCAGGTGGTTGAGGAAATCTTGGTCATGCACGTAAATATCTAAAGGCAACTGCAAATAATGAAACTAGTAAACCACCTGTGCAGTCAAATCGAGCAGGTGGCTGGGAAAATCATTGTTAGACAACTAACTATGTACTAAGCATAGGTACAGGAAAATATTTAAAGGCAACTGGGAACGAGGAAACTGGCTAACCACCTAGGCAGCAAAATCGGGCAAGTGGCTAAGGAAATCATGGTCGGACAACTAACTGTGTACAAAGCATAGGTACACAAAATATTTAAAGGTAACAGGGAATGAGGAAACTGGCCAGCCACTTGTGTAGTCAAATCTAGCAGGTGGCTGGGGAAATCAATGTCGAACACCTGCATACTAAGTACAGGTACCCACAAATATCTGAAGGAAACTAGGAAACAAGCCAACCACCTGTGCATTCAAATTAGGCAGGTGGCTGGGGAAATCATTGTCGGACAACTAACTGTATACTATGCATAGGTACACGAAAATATTTAAACGCAATTGGGAACGGGGAAACTGGCCAACCACTTGTGCAATCAAAACGGGCAGGTGGCTGAGGAAATTATTTTCGGACACCTGTGTATTAAGTACAGGTACACACAAATATCTATAGGCAATTGGGAACAGGGAAAATGGCCAACCACCTATGCATTCAAATCGGGCAAGTGGTTGGGGAAATCATGGTCGAACAACTGTGTACTAAGCACAAGTACATGCAAATATCTAAAGGCAATTGGGAACGGGGAAACTTTCGAACCACCTGGGGAAATCATTGTCGTGCACCTATGTACTAAGCACGGGTATATGCAAATATCTAAAGGCAACAAGGAACGAGGAAACTGGCCAACCACCTATGCAATCAAATCGGGCAGGTGACTTGGAAAATCTTGGTTGGACAACGATGTATTAGCATAGGTACAAGCAAATATATAAAGGCAAGTGGCTGGGGAAATCATGGTCGAACAACTGTGTACTAAGTACAGGTACAAACAAATATCTAAAGGCAACTGGGAATGAGGAAATTGGCCAACCACCTGTCCAGTCAAATCAGGCAGGTGGCTGGGGAAATCATGGTCAGACAACTAACTATGCTCTAAGCATTGGTACACGAAAATATTTAAAGGCAATTGGGAACAGGGAAACTAGCTAGCCACCTATGTAGTCAAATTGGGTAGGTGGCTTTGCAAATCATTGTCGGAAAACTAACTATGTACTAAACACAGGTACACGAAAATATTTAAAGGCAACTAAGAACGGGGAAATTGGCCAGCCACTTGGGCTGTTAAATCGGGCAGGTGGCTTCGGAAATCATTGTCTGAGACCTGTGTACTAAGTATAGGTACACGCAATATCTAAAGGCAATTGGAAACAGGGAAACTGACCAAACACCTGCGTAGTCAAATCGGGTAGGTGGCTTAGGAAATCATTGTCTGAGACCTGTGTACTAAGTACAGGTACACGCAATATCTAAAGGCAATTAGAAACAGGGAAACTGGCCAACCACCTATGTAGTCAAATAGTGTAGGTGGCTGGGGAAATCATGGTCAGACAACTGACTATGCTCTAAGCACAGGTACACGAAAATATTTAAAGGCAACTGGGAACAGGGAAATTGGCCAAACACTTGCGTAGTCAAATCAGGTAGGTGGCTTAGGAAATCATTGTCTGAGACCTGTGTACTAAGTACAGGTACACGCAATATCTAAAGGCAATTGGAAACAGGGAAACTAGCCAACCACCTGTGCAGTCAAATAGTGCAGGTGGCGGGGGAAATCTTGGTTGGACAACTGACTATGCTCTAAGCACAGGTACACGAAAATATTTCAAGGCAACTGAGAACAGGGAAACTGGCCAAACACCTGTGTAGTCAAATCGGAGACCTGTGTACAAAGTACATGTACACGCACATATCTAAAGGCAACTTGGAAAAGAGAAACTGGCCAACCACTTTTGCAGTGAAATCGGGCAGGTAGCTAGGATCATGGTCAGACAACTAACTATGCTCAAAGCACAGGTACAAGAAAATATTTAAAGGCAACTGGGAACATGGAAACTGGCCAGCCACTTGCGCAGGCAAATGGGGTAGGTGGGTAGGTAAATCATTGTCGAACACATGTGTACTAAGTACAAGAACACGCAAATATCTGAAGCCCATTGGGAATGAGGAAACTGGCCAACTACCTGTGTTGTCAAATAGGGTAGGTGGTTGGGAAAATCATGGTTGGACAACTAACTACGTTCTAAGCACAGGTACACAAAAGTTTTTAAAGGCAACGGGGAACAAGAAAACTGGGCAACCCCCTGCATTGTCAAATCGAGTAGGTGGCTTTGGAAATCATTGTCGGACAACTAACTGTGTACTAAAGACAGGTACACGAAAATATTTAAAGGCAACTGGGAACGGGGAAACTGGCCAACCACTTGTACAGTTAAATCGGGCTGGTGGGTAGGGAAATCAATGTTGGTCACTTGTGTACTAAGCACAGGTACACGCAAATATCTTAAGTCAACTGGGAATGGAGAAACTGGCCAACCATTTGTGTAGTTAAATCGGGCAGGTGGCTAGGGAAATCATTGTCGAACACCTGTATACTAAGTACCTGTGCAGTCAAATCGGGGAGGTGGTTGGGGAAATCTTGGTCGGATAACTGTGTACTAAGCACAGGTACACGCAAATATCTAAAGGAAACTAGAAACGGGGAAACTGGTCAACCACTTGTGCATTCAAATCGGGCATGTGGCTGGGGAAATCTTGGTTGGACAACTATGTACTAAGCACAGCTATACGCAAATATCTAAAGGCAACTGGGAACGGAGAAACTGGCCAACCCTCTATGTAGTCAAATCGGGTAGGTGCCTGTGGGAACCATTGTCGGAAAACTGTGTACTAAGTACAGGTACACACAAATCTCTAAAGGCAACTGGGAACGGGGAAACGGGCCAACCACTCGTGCAGTTAAGTCGGGCAGGTGGCTAGGGAAATATTGGTTGGACAACTGTGTACTAAGCATAGGCACACGCAAATATCTAAAGGAAATTGGGAACGGGGAAACTGGCCAACCACCTATGCATTCAAATCGGGCAGGTAGCTGGGGAAATCTTGATTGGAAAACTGTGTACTAAGCACAGGTACACGCGAATATTTAAAGGCAACTAGGAACAGAGAAACTGGCCAACAGTCAAATCGGGTAGGTCCCTGGGGGAACCATTGCCGGAAACCTGTGTACTAAGTACAGGTACACCCAAATATCTAAAGCCGACTGGGAAAGGGGAAACTGGCCAACCACCTGTGCAATCAAATTGGGCAGGTGGCTGGGGAAATCTTGGTCGGATAACTGTGTACTAAGCACAGGTACACGCAAATATCTCAAGGCAACTAGAAACGGGGAAACTGGTCAACCACATGTGCAATCAAATCGGGCAAGTGGCTGGGGAAATCTTGGTCAGATAACTGTGTACTAAGCTCAAGTACATGCAAATATCTAAGGGCAACTAGAAGCGGGGAAACTGGACAACCACTTGTGCAGTTAAGTTGGGTAGGTGGCTGGGAAATCATTTTCGGACACCTGTGTACTAAGTACAGATACACACAAATATCTAAAGGCAACTGGGAAGGGGAAACTGGCCAACCACCTGTGCATTCAAATCGGGCAGGTGGCTGGGGATATCTTGGTTGGATAACTGTGTACTAAGCACAGGCACATGCAAATATCTAAAGGATACTGGGAACGGGGAAACTGGCCAACCACCTATGCATTCAAATCGGGCAGGTGGCTGGGAAAATCTTGGTTGGACAACTGTGTACTAAGCACAGCTACAAGCAAATATCTAAAGGCAACTGGGAATGGAGAAACTGGCCAACCCCCTATGTAGTCAAATTGGGTAGGTGCCTGCGAGAACCATTGTCGGAAACCTATGTACTAAGTATAGGTACACCCAAATATCTTGTAACACCCCGACTCCAATTTATTCGTATTTTACGAATTTAACCTTAAAGTAAGGGTAATTTGGTCATTTTATTATCCGGAAGGATTTTGAGACAACGAGTGGTTTGGTTGTGTAGGTGGTACTGAGACAAATCCGTAGACGTGTGGTAGGCTTGAATCGGAGTTGTAACGAAGAAATGGCGATCAAAAGTAATTTGGTGGCAAACTTGTAATTATTTCGAAAAGGGTAAGTAAAAATCAGAATTTTCACTTTTTACCTCTCACTCTCTCTCTCTCTCTCTCCCTGAGCTCTCCTCCCTCTACGCAAACCCCCCTGTCACTGTTCACCGAGATGGAAATCGCCACCCCGCCGCCACGTCCGGCCACTTTCTAAAGTGGCCTCTGGCCTCAAGTAACAACCTAACATGGGCGATAATAGAGCATCTAACAGAATTAGTTTACAACAACATTTGAATAGAAGGAATTTACACAAGACCTAACTGCGGATGGAATGATTTGGCCTCGAACACTGCCTGAAAGCTTCCAAAAGTAACTACTACCTGGGGGCGCAAAACAGAAAACATGTGAGTGGACAAAACAAGGTTTGCATTTAAAACAACATAATAACCCCACTGTGTAAAAATAATGCTCAAGCATGCAGATTCACAATTCATAAACCAAATACTCAAAAACATTAATCTTAAAACTCCAATAAACCCAAACTCTCAAATCACAACTCCATTCCCAAAATTATGCAGCACTTTCCAACCCACTACATACCTATATATATATACATACATAATATAAATATAACATATACTTCTCTCCATACTAGTGTACCGGGGAAAACAATCCAATCGGGGGATTGTTTGGCTAGTACATAGGATTTCCAGGTGCTAACCCGCGTCCAGGGATGAGTAGTCCAACCGAGGGACGGAACTCCATACCTCGCACGCCGGCACTGCCAACGAGACGTGTAGCTCACATATCCAATATCAAGTCCTACGCGCCAGACGACATCATCACACACCGGCACTGCCAACGACATGTGTGATGAATCAAGCAATACACATACTCTTCCCATACGCCGGCACTGCCAACGACACGTGTGGGAAGCCTAGTAACCAGGGGATGGTACTAACATAGCATACTAATACATCTCTCAACAACCCCTCAACCCAATCTTACCACAATCTCATATCAACTACCCCTCATACTCCATACATAGGCAATATAGATAGAAATCCCAAAATCCATATAATCATACTCACGATACTAAAACATATCCATATCCAAAATATATTACCAATACGTATAAGAATATCAAATTCCATCAACCAAATATTTATTAAATCCCATATACCACTTAAAACCTATGCACAAATCTTTTATCAATAAAACCATGCGTATGCTTGAAAACAAAGTCCACTCATAGGTAATCCCAAGCTGCTCGACCCTGCGAGGGTCCCGCCTGCTGTGTACGATCAAATTGAGCACCTATTTCGAAATACAAACCCTTGATTAATATAACACACTTCGAAATGGAAATCACAAAAGAAATACTAAAATCCCCAAGTTCCCGGTGCATGTACGTCCAATGGGATATGCTAAGGTCCGATTACAAGTTTAGGAATCACTTACAAAATAACGGTTATTGTTAACTCACAAACTTTGAATTATTGAATCGGAACATCCGGGGCTCCGATTCACGATCCGCGAACTCCTACAGGATTCTAAAGTACCTAGATCAACATACTTCAATTTGGAAACGATCCAACGGTCAGAAACTATCGAACCCGGATAACGCACAATATGCAAAATCCGTTCGATAGTTAAACGACGTCCGAATTGAGATCCGCGAAATCCTACGCGCTCGTGACAACCTAAGGATCTCATCAAGATAAAATGCAGCTTCACCACCCTTGCCCACGCACGTTTCCAAACTGTTGTATGTTGAAAGCATCCTGGCAGTTGGGATATATTTTATGTATATTATGCAGGTTGAATATTTGTTGGGTTTGTGCATATTTACAAGGGAGACTCTGCCAAATTTTTGGTAGAAAGTCTCGATTTTTAGTAAGTGGGCCCAACATCGGGGTGATGTCTGTAACAAAGACGGGATTCGGCTCGGGCTCGGGGGAATTCTGGGGCGGGTCCTCTCTGCTTGGTATTAAAGCATTAGGTTCATTTTCCTTCGACTTTTGCACTTTTGCTGCATTTTTGATACTAATGATTCTATGGTTTCTTTGTGTAGAACCATGTCTGCTCGCAGAGCAAGAACAAGAGGGCGCGGTCAGAGATGGAGGCTAAATCCTCCACCTTCATCTTCGTCACCACCTCCTTCACCACCAGTTCCTTCGCCTCCACCATCTCCACCTGCTGGAGATAATGCCTCGGATTTGCGCCATGTGCTAAGCCAATTCACACGCACGATGACCACAGCTTTGCGTAGGAGGCGTGGCACTGAAAGTTCAGAAATTAAAAGAGTCAAGGAACATGGAGTGCCCAGATGGAGATAGAGTCCGCTTGGCCACTTTTCTGCTGAAGGGAAATGCCTACCACTGGTGGAAAGCAGTGAAAAGAGGTTATGAGGATCCAGCTGCCATTACTTGGGAAGAATTTTAGAGAGTCTTCTCCGAACAATTCTATCCACCTTCCTACCGGTATGCCAAGAAGTTGGAATTCTTGTATCTGAAATAGGGGTATGCCATGGGGGAAGTCTTGTATGCAGACCAAGTGTTCAAAGAATGTTATGTCCAAGTAGACGATGCATGGTTGGAAGCCAACTTGATTCCTTTAGAATTGGTGGATTTGGATATCATATTGGGGATGGATTGGCTAGAGAAGCGTCATGCGTCAGTGGATTGTTTCCGGAAGGAAGTAACACTTCGGAGTCCAGGACAACCCAAGTTATCTTCGGGGAGAACGTAGAGTCCTCCTACCTGTCTTATCTTTGCTATTACAGCTAAGAAGTTACTCAAGAAGGGGTGTGAAGGATATTTGGCTCATATCATTGACACTCGAGAGATCACCCTGAATTTGGAAGATATCCCCATTGTTAGCGAGTTCCCAGATGTCTTTCCAGATGACTCCCTGGGTTACCTCCTAAAAGGGAAATTGAGTTCACTATCGAACTTCTTCCAGGCACCAATCCTATCTATCTAACTCCTTATAGGATGGCACCAGCTGAACTCCGGGAGTTGAAGACTCAATTGCAGGAATTAGTGGATATGGGATTTATCCGACCTAGTGTTTCTCCATGGGGTGCACCGGTCTTGTTTGTGAGAAAGAAGGATGGGACCATGAGGTTATGTATTGATTACCGGCAGTTGAATAAGGTAACAGTAAGTAACCGGTATCCTTTGCCTCGGAGTGATGATTTGTTCGATCAGTTGAAGGGTGCTAAGTACTTCTCTAAGATCGATTTGAGATCAGGGTACCATCAGTTGAGGATTAGAGAAGAGGATGTTCCCAAGTCCGCATTCAGAATGCGGTATGGTCATTATGAATTTCTGGTGATGCCGTTTGGACTGACCAATGCTCCAGCAGCTTATATGAATCTCATGAACAGAGTGTTCCGACCATACTTGGATCACTTTGTGATTGTGTTCATAGACGATATCTTGGTTTACTCCAAGACTTTGGAAGGGCATAAGAAGCATCTAAGGTTGGTATTGAGGACTTTGAGGAGGAAACAGCTTTATGCAAAATTTAGTAAGTGTCAGTTTTGGTTGGACTACTATCGTCTATGAACACAATCACAAGTGTGACGGAAGTACGGAGTTTTCTGGGGTTAGCAGGCTACTATCGTCGATTTGTTGAAGGGTTCTCTTTGATAGCAGCGCCTCTCACGTGGTTGACAAGGAAAGATGTTACATTTGAGTGGACGGAGGAGTGCAAACAGAGTTTTCAGGAGTTGAAGAAGTCGTTAACCACCGCACCTGTTTTGGCTCTTCCTGATAACTAGGGGAACTTTGTGATCTACAGTGACGCATCTTTGCAAGGTTTGGGATGTGTTCTGATGCAACATGATTGGGTGATTGCTTGTGCCTCGAGGCAACTCAAGAAGCATGAGCAGAATTATCTGGTCCATGATTTGGAACTTGCTGCAGTGGTGTTTGCTTTAAAGATTTTGGCGGCATTACTTGTATGGTGAGACGTGTCAGATTTTCACTGATCATAAAAGCCTCAAGTACTTGTTCACTTAGAGGGAACTGAATATGAGACTGCGGCGTTGGATGGAATTGATTAAGGATTATGATTGCATGATTGAGTATCATCCAGGCCGAGCTAATGTGGTTGTAGATCCACTGAGTAGGAAGACTACTGCAAACTTAGCTCACATCAGGATGACCTATCTTCCGTTGTTGGTAGAACTATGGTAGGATGGAGTAGAAATGGAAATGACTCAACCGGGTGGAATCCTTACTAGCTTGCATGTGAGACCTATTCTGGTGGAGAGGGTAATTGCAGGCCAGTTGGGAGACCCGACACTTTGTAAGATAAGGGGAGAAGTAGAAAATGGTACACGGAAGGATTATGCCATAAGGGGAGATGGAGCGTTGGTAACCGGAGCTCGTCTATGTGTACCGAGTAAGAATGATGAACTGAAAAGAGAGATCATGGAGGAAGCTCACTGCTCCGCTTATACTATGCATCCGGGTAGTACGAAGATGTATTGGACCCTATGGGCTTATTATTCTTGGCCACATATGAAGGGAGACATTGCCAAGTATGTGAGTAGATGCTTGATTTGTCAACAAGTGAAGGCGGAGCGACAGAAGCCATCAGGTCTAATGCAACCACTTCCGATTCCTGAATGGAAGTAGGAACGTATTGCATGGAGAACCTGTGTCCATTGTATCGGCCAGGGATGCTCGGTTCACTTCTCGATTTTAGAGGTGTTTACAGGAAGCTATGGGTACTAAGTTGCAGTTCAGTACAGCTTTTCACCCATAAACCGATGGACAGTCAGAAAGGACTATCCAGACTCTGGAAGACATGTTGAGATCCTGTGTGTTACAGTTTAAGGATGCATGGGATGCTCACCTTGCCTTGGTCAAGTTTGCTTATAACAACAGTTGCCATTCAAGTATTGAGATGGCTCCATATGAGGCTTTGTATGGGAGGCAGTGTAGAACTCCTATTTGTTGGAATGAAGTGGGTGATAAGAAACTGGAAAAAGTGGATAGTATCCGAGCAACAAATGAGAAGGTGAAGATGATAAAAGAGAAGTTGATCGGCTTCGCCGTAGCACAATATTGTCTGCTTTGGGCCCCTCTCTCTGCCCTCACGGTTTTGTCTCTGGGAGCTCATGAGCAACTTCCCAGTGGGTAACCCATCTCGGGATTGCTCAAGCCCAAACTCGCTTAACTTCGGAGTCATGGGCGATAACAGAGCATATAGATGATAAAGGAGAAGTTGAAGACCGCACAAGACCGACAAAAGAGTTATGCGGATAACAAGTCCAAGGATCTTGAGTTTGCAGTTGGGGATTGGGTGTTCCTAAAGTTATCTCCTTGGAAGGGTGTGATGAAATTTGGGAAACGTGGGAAGTTAAGCCCTCGTTACATTGGACCCTATGAGATCACAGAGCAAATTGGACCCGTTACCTACAGACTTGCGTTACCCCCAGAACTATCTCGAGTTCATGATGTGTTCCATGTATCCATGTTATGGAAGTACATGCCAGACCCTTCCCATGTGTTAGAATATCAACCTGTGGAGTTAAAAGAAGATTTGTCATATGAAGAGCAACTTGTGCAGATCCTGGAGAGGAAAGAACAAATGTTGCGTTCTAGATCCATCCCGGTAGTGAAAGTTTTATGGAGAAGTCAAACTGTTGAAGAAGCTACATGGGAGCATGAGGAGCAGATGCGGGCCAAGTACCCATATCTCTTCCATTGGGTTAAGGGTAATTTTGATCATTTTCTTATCTGGAAGGATTTTGAGACAACGAGTGGTTTGGTTGCGTAGGTGGTACTAAGACAAGTCCGTAGACATGCGATAGGCTTGAATTGGAGTTGTAACGAAGAAATGGCGATCAAATTACTTTTGATGGAAAAACTATAAATAATTCAAAAAGAGTTAAGAGTAAAAATCTAAAAAATTCACTTTTACCTCACACTCTCTGTCTCTCCCCGAGCTCTCCTCCCTCTCTGTGACTTCCCCCTTCCTGTTACTGGTCACTGAGACGAAAACCACCTCACAGCCGCCACGTCCGGCCACCTCAGCCCGCAAGACCGGTCCCGTTTGACTTGTCGTGAAGTCCCGAACCTGAACCACCCAAAATCCCGGCCGGAAAGCTCGAGAATCGTCGACAGTATCAACTGGTTCGAACCGGATCAATTCCGACGTTGCGCTGCCTCTTCAGTCGTCCATTTCCGGTGAAATTGGTGAGGGTTCTTACCTCTTTTTCTGAGTTCTAGTTGACTGTTGCTTAGGATGGGATTGATTTCGAGTGTGGGAAACTGATTTGAAAACCTAGGTTTTGGCCGGATTTCAAAATGAAATTCCGGCCAGTTTCCGTACGAATTGGACCTCCTTGTAGTTGGATGAAGTGATCCTGACCTTGAGAAGTACCTAGGGTAGGAAGGGTGAGTTGTGGTGTGGAGATTTTCCGTTGCCGGAATTTACTCTACACACCCACACACTGCTGGCGCGTGTGGCAGCGCGTGGGCAAGGGTGGTGAAGCTGCATTTTGTCCTAATGAGATCCTTAGGTTGTTACAAGTGCGCAGGATTTCGCGGATCTCAATTTGGATGTCGTTTGACTATCGAATTCGCATATTGTGTGTTATCTAGGTTCGATAGGTTTTGACCGTTGGATCGTTTCCAAATTGAAGTATGTTGATCTAGGTACTCTTAGAATCGTAAAGGAATTCGCAGATCGTGAATCGGAGCCCCGGATGTTCCGATTCAATATTTCAAAGTTTGTGAGTTAACGATAACCGTCTTTTTATAAGCGATTCCTAAACTTGTAACCGGACCTTAGGATATCCCATTGGGCGTACATGCACCGGGAACTTGGGGATTTTAGTATGTTCTTTGTGATTTCCGTTTCAAAGTGCGTTATATTAATCAAGGGTTCGTGTTTCCAAATAGGTGCTTAGTTTGATCGTACACAGCAGGCGGGACCCTCACAGGGTCGAGCAGCTTGGGATTACCTGTGAGTGGACTTTGTTTTCAAGCATGCGCATGGTTTTATTGATAAAAAAATTGGTGCATATGTTTTAAATGGTAAATGGGATTTAATAAATATTTGGTTGATGGAATTTGATATTCTTATACGTATTGGTAAGATATTTTGGATATGGATATGTTTGAGTATCCTGAGTATGTTTATATGGATTTTGGGGAATTCTACCTATATTGCCTATGTACGGAGTACTTGAGTTGTTGATGTGAGATTGTGACAAGATTGAGTTTGAGGGGTGGTTGAGAGATATATGAGTATGCTAGGTAACAACCTAAAGAGTTTAGAATTTTTTACAATATTTATATTTAAATATAAATATTTGGCGTTGGGTGTCTCATATAAGGCACATCACAGGAGTAGGAGTAGACAGCGGCGTTGGATGTCTCATATTCAGTTCCCTCTGAGTGAACAAGTACTTGAGGCTATTATGATCAGTGAAAATCTGACACGTCTCACCATACAAGTAATGCCGCCAAATCTTTAAAGCAAACACCACTGCAGCAAGTTCCAAATCATGGACCGGATAATTCTGCTCATGCTTCTTGAGTTGCCTCGAGGCATAAGCAATCACCTGATCATGTTGCATCAGAACACATCCCAAACCTTGCAAAGATGCATCACTTTAGATCACAAAGTTCCCCGAGTTATCAGGACGAGCCAAAACAGGTGCGGTGGTTACCGCTTCTTCAGCTCCTGAAAACCCTGTTCGCACTCCTCCGTCCACTCAAATGTAACATCTTTCCTTGTCAACCGCGTGAGAGGCACTGCTATCGAAGAGAACCCTTCAACAAATCGACGATAGTAGTCTGCTAACCCTAGAAAACTCGGTACTTCCGTCACATGAATCCCTTCAGTTGAAATTACATGTCCAAGGAATACTACTCTATCCAGCCAAAACTAACACTTGCTGAATTTGGCATAAAGCTGCTTCCTCCTCAAAGTCCTCGATACCAACCTTAGATGATTCTTATGCCCTTCCAAAGTCTTGGAGGAAACCAAGATATCGTCTATGAACACAATCACAAAGTGATCCAAGTATGGTCGGAACACTCTGTTCATGAGATCCATAAACGCTGCTGGAGCATTTCTCAGTCCAAAAGGCATCACAAGAAATTCATAATGTCTTAATGCGGTCTTGGGAACATCCTCTTCTCTAATCCTCAACTGATGGTACCCTGATCTCAGATCAATCTTAGAGAAGTACTTGGCATCCTTCAACTGATCGAACAAATCATCAATCTGAGGCAAAGGATACCGGTTACGTACTGTCACCTTATTAATCAATACATAACCTCATGGTCCCATCCTTCTTTCTCACAAATAACACCGATGCACCCCACGGAGAAATCCCGTATCCACTAATTCCTACAACTGAGTCTTCAACTCCCGGAGTTCAGCTAGTGCCATTCTATAGGGAGTTAGATAGATAAGGTTGGTGCCGGGAAGAAGTTTCGATAGTGAACTCAATTTCCCTTTCAGGAGGTCATCTGGAAAGACATCTGGGAACTCGCTAACGACGGGGATATCTTCCAGATTCAGGGTGATCTCTCGAGTGTCGATGATATGAGCCAAATATCCTTCACACCCTTTCTTGAGTAACTTCTTAGCTGTAATAGCAGAGATAAGACAGGTAGGGAGGACTCTATGTTCTCCCCGGAAGATGACTTTGGGTTGTCCTGGACTCCGAAGTGTTACTTCCTTCCAAAAACAATCCACTGATGCACGATGCTTCTCCAGCCAATCCATCCCCAAAATAATTTCCAAATCCACCAATTCTAACGGAATCAAATTGGCTTCCAACCATGCATCGCCTACTTGGACATAACATTCTCTATACACCCGATCTGGATATAAGACTTCCCCTGTGGGTAGAGAAATACTAAAACTTCCTGTCATGGGTGTCGGTCTCACTCTGACATAAGTACGAAGTTGTGTGCTACGAAAGAATGTGTGGCCCCCGGGTCAATTAAAACACAAGCAAGATAACCAAAAATAGGAATCATACCAGTAATCACATCTGGAGTGGCATGTGCCTCCTGTTGGGTCATGGAGAACACCTTGGCCTGAGTGGTAGAACGCCCAGGCTAACCCCTTGAATTCCTGCCACCCCTACCTCTAGAAGATGACGGTGCCCTGCTACTGGATGATCCTGCTGCAGAAGAAGTAGCACCACTCTGACTCTCGTGCCGACCCATATTACTCTGCCCCTGCTGGGCTTCAGTTCCCTGCACTGCTGTATCACCAGGGTATATCATTGGGCAGGTCCTCTTAGTATGTCCCACCTGCCCACAAAAGTAACATGTTGGGTCGCTGCTCTGGCCTTATTTACCTCCCTGAGTGGAACTAGGGCAATCCTTCACAAAGTGTCCCACCTATCCAAAACTGAAGCATGTCAACCCAGTCTGCCTGGAAGGAGTCCTAGCTGTGCTAGTGGCAGGCTGCTGCTCTGTATACAGGGTCCATGCTGGATGAGAACCGGATCTCCCACTACCAGAACTAGATCCAGGAGTTGAAGACTCAGTTGCAGGAGTTAGTGGATCTTGGACTTATCCGACCCAGTGTTTCTCCGTGGGGTGCACTGGTGTTATTTGTGAGGAAGAAGGATGGAACTATGAGGTTATGTATTGATTACCGACAGTTGAATAAGGTGACAGTACGTAACCGGTATCCTTTGTCTCGGATTGATGATTTGTTCGATCAGTTGAAGGGTGCCAAGTACTTCTCTAAGATTGATCCGAGATCATGGTGTCATTAGTTGAGGATTAGAGAAGAGGATGTTCCCAAGACCGCATTCAGAACACAGTATGGTCATTATGAATTTCTGGTGATGCCGTTTGGACTGACAAATGCTCCGGCAGCGTTTATGGATCTCATGAACAGAGTGTTCCGACCATACTTGGATCACTTTGTGATTGTGTTCATAGACGATATCTTGGTTTACTCCAAGACTTTGGAAGGGCATAAGAAGCATCTAAGGTTGGTATTGAGGACTTTGAGGAGGAAGCAGTTTTATGCCAAATTCAGCAAGTGTCAGTTCTGGCTGGACAGAGTGGTATTCCTTGGACATGTAATTTGAACTGAAGGAATTTATGTGGATCCGCAGAAAGTTGAGGCTATTGTGAATTGGGTACAACCCACAAGTGTGATGGAAGTACGGAGTTTTCTGCGGTTAGCAGGCTACTATCGTCGATTTGTGGAAGGGTTCTCTTTGATAGCAGGGCCTCTCACGCGGTTGACGAGGAAAGATGTTACATTTGAGTGGACGGAGGAGTGCGAACAAAGTTTTCAGGAGCTGAAGAAGCAGTTAACCACCGCACCTGTTTTGGCTCTTCCTGATGACTCGAGGAACTTTGTGATCTACAGTGACGCATCTTTGCATGGTTCGGGATGTGTTCTGATGCAACATGATCAGGTAATTGCTTATGCCTCGACGCAACTCAAGAAGCATGAGCAGAATTATCGTGTCCATGATTTGGAACTTGCTGTAGTGGTGTTTGTTTTGAAGATTTGGCGGCATTACTTGTATGGTGAGAAGTAGATTTTCACTGATCATAAGAGCCTCAAGTACTTGTTCACTCAGAGGGAACTGAATATGAGACAACGGCATTGGCTGGAATTGATCAAGGACTATGATTGCACGATTGAGTATCATCCAGGCCGAGCTAATGTGGTTGTAGATGCACTGAGTAGGAAGACTATTGCAAACTCAGCTCACATCAGGACGACCTATCTTCCGTTGTTGGTAGAACTGCGGAAGGATGGAGTAGAATTAGGAATGACTCAACAGGGTGAAATCCTGGCTAGCTTGCATGTGAGACCTATTCTGGTGGAGAGGGTAATTGCAGGCCAGTTGGGAGATCCTATACTTTGTAAGATAAGGGGAGAAGTGGAGAATGGTACGCGGACGGATTATGCCACAAGGGGAGATGGAGCGTTGGTAACAGGAGCTCGTCTATGTGTACCGAGTAAGAATGATGAACTGAAAAGAGAGATCATGGAGGAAGCTCACTGCTCCGCTTATACTATGCATCCGGGTAGTACGAAGATGTATCGAACACTATGGGCGTATTATTCTTGGCCGCATATGAAGGGAGACATTGCCAAGTATGTGAGTAGATGCTTGATTTGTCAACAAGTGAAGGCGGAGCGACATAAGCCATCAGGACTGATGCAACCACTTCTGATTCCTGAATGGAAGTGGGAATGTATCACCATGGATTTTTTTTTCAAGCTTCCTCGTACTTCTAAGGGACATGATGGGATTTGGGTGATAGTTGATAGACTCACAAAGTTCGCCCATTTTTTTACCCATCAAGGAGACCTATCCTTTGACAAAGTTGGCAAAATTCTTTGTGGATCAAATTGTGAGATTGCATGGAGCACCTGTGTCCATTGTATGGGACAGGGATGCTAGGTTCACTTCTCGATTCTTGAGGTGTTTGCAAGAAGCTATGGGTACCAGATTGCAGTTTAGTACAGTTTTTCACCCACAGATTGATGGACAATCGGAAAGGACCATCCAGACTCTGGAAGACATGTTGAGGTCCTGTGTGTTACAGTTTAACCTTGCCTTGGTGGAGTTTGCTTATAATAATAGTTATCATTTGAGTATTGAGATGGCTCCTTATGAGGCGTTGTATGGGAGGTAGTGTAGAACTCCTATTTGTTGGAATGAAGTGGGTGATAAGAAATTGGAAAAAATGGATAGTATCTAAACAACAAATGAGAAGGTGAGGATGATAAAGGAGAAGTTGAAGACCACACAAATAGAAGAGTTATGCGGATAACAGGTCTAAGGATCTTGAGTTTGCAGTTGGGGATTGGGTGTTCCTGAAGCTATCTCCTTGGAATGGTGTAATGAGATTTGGGAAACATGTGAAGTTAAGCCCTCATTACATTGGACCCTATGAGATCATGGAGCGAATTGGACCTGTTGCCTACAGACTTGCGTTACCCCCAGAATTATCTCGAGTCCATGATGTATTTCATGTATCCATGCTACGGAAATACATGCCAGACCCTTCTCATGTGTTAGAATATCAACTTGTGGAGTTAGAAGAAGATCTGACATATGAAGAGCAACTCGTGCAGATCTTAGATAAAAAAGAACAAATGTTGCATTCTAGATCCATCCCAGTAGTGAAAGTGTTGTGGAGAAGCCAAACTGTCGAAGAAGCTACTTGGGAGCTCGAGGAGCAGATGCGGGCCAAGTACCCGTCTCTCTTTCATTGACAGGTACATGAATTTCGAGGATGAAATTTTTATAAGGGGGGTAGATTGTAACACCCCGACTCCAAATTTATTCATATTTTAATTTAATTAAGTGAAATTACGAATTTACCCTTAAGGTAAGGGTAATTTGGTCATTTTCTGATCCGAAAGGATTTTGGAACCACGAGTGGTTTGGTTGTGTAGGTGGTACCTGAGACAAATTCGTAGACAGGCGGTAGGCTTGAATTGGAGTTGTAATGAAGATTTGGCGATGAAAACAAGTTCAGTTGCGCTACCATAATTATTTCAAAGTAGTTAGAGCAAAAATCAGAATTTTCACTTTCTACCCCACACTTTCTCTCTCTCTCTCTCTCTCTCTCTCTCTCTCTCTCTCTCCGTCCCCCCCACGACTTTCGTTTTCGCCGGATTTTCAGACGACAAGAACTCCGTCGTTCGACCTCCATTTCAGGTGTCGTTTCTTGCAAAAGCTTCCTATCTTCCTCCTCTACCCAGCCCACCCCTTTTCTGCGATAAAAAACCTGGCAAATGGTGGTGGCAAAGACGTGAAGATTCAGCCATAACGGTCAACGTCACCGACAACATTTCAGGCCATCGCGAGCAGCACCGTCACTTGGAACAGGTAGCCCTCCTCTCCTTTTAGCTATTTCCTAGGTTGTACAACAACAATGGTGACGGTGGTTGCCGGATCGAAGCCGTGAAGTTCCGAGTTAAACCGTGAGTGTCCGGCGCCGATTCCGGCCACTTGCCGTCCGAATTGGACTTGGCCATAGTTGAATGAAATGCTCCAATCGTTGAGTAGAACCTGTAGCCATGAGGGTGGCTTGTGATTTGGATATTTTTCGTCGCCGAAATTTCTCTACACACCAACGCGCTGCCGGCGCGTGGGCAGGGGTGGTGAAGTTACATTTTGTCCCGATGAGATCCTTAGGTTGTCACGAGTGCGTAGGATTTCACAGATCTCAATTCGGACGTCATTTGACTATCGAACGGATTTCGCATATTATGCGTTATCCGAGTTTGATAGGTTCTGACCGTTGGATCGTTTCCAAATTGAAGTATGTTGTTCTAGGTACTCTTAGAATCCTATAGGACTCTGCGGATCGTGAATTGGACCCCCGGATGTTCCGATTCAATAATTCAAAGTTTGTGGGTTAGTTATAACCATTTGATTGTAAGCGATTCCTAAACCTGTAACCAGACCTTAGGATATCCCATCGGACGTACACGCACCGGGAACTTGGGGATTTAAGTATTTTCTTTTGTGATTTCCATTTCGTAGTGCATTATTTTAATTAAGGGTTCGTGTCTCAAAATCGGTGCTCTGGTCGATCATACGCAGCAGGCAGGACCCTCTCAGGGCCGGGCAACTTGGGATTACCTGTGAGTGGACTTTGTTTTCAAGCATACGCATGATTTTATTGATGAAAGATTTATGCATAATGTTTTAAATGGTATATTGGATATATTATATATTCAAATGTTGAAATTGATGTTCTTATAGCGCTTTGGCAATATATTGTGGGTTTGACATAGTTGAGTATTGAGAGTATGTTTGTATGGATTTTGGGGAATACTATCTATATGGTATATATGGTCTTGGTGTGGGATATGTGAGTTGTTGTTGCGAGATTGTGGAAAGATATGAGTTTGAGGGATCGTTGAGAGATGTATGATTATGGTAGGTGAGTACCATCCCCTGGTTACTAGGCTTCCCACACGTGTCGTTGGCAGTGCCGGCATGTGGGAAGAGCATGAGATTGTGGGTCTTACACGTGTCGTTGGCAGTGCCGGCGTGTGAGACACTTCCCATACGTGTCGTTGGCAGTGCCGGCGTATGGGAAGAGTGTGTGTATTGCTTGATTCATCACACATGTCGTTGGCAGTGCCGGTGTGTGATGATGTCGTCTGCGCGCGTAGGACTTAATATTGGATATGTGAGCTACACGTGTCGTTGGCAGTGCCGGCGTGTGAGCTATGGAGTTCTATCCCCCGGTTGGACTACTCATCCCTGGACGCGGGTTAGCACCTGGAAATCCTACGTACTACCCAAACAATCCCCCGGTTGGATTGTTTTCCCCGGTACATTAGTATGGAGAGAAGTATATGTTATATTTATATTTATGTATGTATATATATATATAGGTATGTAGTGGGTTGGAAAGTGCTGCATAATTTTGGGAATGGAGTTGTGATTTGAGAGTTTGGGTTTAATGGATTTTTGAGATTAATGTTTTTGAGTATTTGGTTTATGAATTGTGAATCTGCATGCTTGAGCATTATTTTTACACGGTGGGGTTATTATGTTATTTTAAATGCAAACCTTGTTTTGTCCACTTACATGTTTTATGTTTTGCACCTCGCAGGCAGTAGTTGCTTTTGGAAGCTTTCAGGCAGTGTTCGAGGCCAAATCGTTCCATCCGTAGTTATGACTTGTGTAAATTCCTTCTACTCAGCTGTTGTTGTAAACTAATTCTGTTAGATGCTCTGTTATTGCGCATGTTGGGTTGTTACTTGAGGCCGGAGGCCATTTTAGTTTGGATTGTTGTATGTTGAAAGCATGCTGGCAGTTGGGATATATTTTATGTATATTATGCAGGTTGAATATTTGTTGGGTTTGTGCATATTTACAGGGGAGACTCTGCCAAATTTTTGGTAGAAAGTCTAGGTTTTTAGTAAGTGGGCCCAGCATCGGGGAGATGTCGGCACAAAGACGGGGTCCGCCCCGATTTCGGGGGAATTCCGGGGCGGGTCCTGTCATATCTAAAGCCGACTGGGAAAGGGGAAACTGGCCAACCACCTATGCAGTCAAATCAGGCAGGTGGCTGGGGAAATCTAGGTCAGATAACTGTGTACTAAGCACAAGTACACTCGTCGGACAACTAAATGTGCACTAAGCACAGGTACACGAAAATATTTAAAGGCAACTGAGAACGGGGAAACGGGCCAACCACCCGTGCAGTTAAGTCGGGCAGGTGGCTGGGGAAATCTTGGTTGGACAACTGTGTACTAAGCACAAGCACACTCAAATATCTAAAGGAAACTGGGAACGGGGAAACTGGCCAACCACCTATGCAGTTAAATCGGGCAAGTGGCTAGGGATATCATTGTCGGACACCTGTGTACTAAGTACAGGTACACGCAAATATTTAAAGACAACCGGGAATGGGGAAACTAGCGAACCACCTGTGCAATCAAATATGGCAAGTGGCTCGGGAAGTCATGGTCAGACAACTAACTATGTTCTAAGCACAGGTATACGAAAATATTTAAAGGCAAATAGGAACGAGAAAACTGGACAACCACTTGTGTAGTGAAATCGGGCATGTGGCTTTGGAAATTATTATCGAACAACTAAATATGTACTGAGAACTAGTACATGAAAAATTTTAAAGGCAACTGGGAACGGGGAAACTGGCCAACCACGTATGCAGTTAAATCGGGCAGGTGGCTGGGAAATCATTTTTGGACACCTGTGCACTAAGTCAGGTACGCACAAATATCTAAAGGCAACTGAGAATGGTGAAATTGGCCAACCACCTGTGCAGTCAAATCGCGTAGGAGGCTGGGGAAACCATGGGTTGGACAACTAACTATGTACTAAGCACGGGTACACGAAAATATTTAAAGGCAACTAGGAACGGGAAAACTGGCCAACCTCCTGTGTAGTCAAAACGGGTAGGTGGCTTTCGAAATCATTGTCGAACAACTAACTATGTACTAAGCACAGGTACACGAAAATATTTAAGGGCAACTGGGAACGGGAAAACTAGTCAACCACCTTTGTAGTCAAATCGAGTAGGTTGCTTTGGAAATCTTTGTTGGGCAACTAATTATGTACTAAGCACAGGTACACGAAAATATTTAAAGGCAACTAGGTACGAGTAAACTGGCCAACCACTTGTGCTGTCAACTCGAGAAGGTGGCTAGGGAAATCATTGTCATACACCTATGTACTGTGTACTAAGCACAGGTACACAAAAATATTTAAAGGCAACAAGGAACGGGGAAACTGGCCAACCACCTGTGCAGTCCAATCGAGCAAGTGGTTAGGGAAATCATTGTCGGAGAACTGTGTACTAAATACAGGTACACACAAATATCTAAAGCCGACTGGGAACGGGGAAATTGGGCAACCACCTGTGCAGTCATATTGGGCATGTGACTTTGGAAATCATGGTTCGTCAACTAACTGTGTACTAAGCACTCGTACACGAAAAATATTTAAAGGCAACTGGAAACGGGGAAATTGGCCAACCACCTGTGCAGTCAAATCGGGCAAGTGGCAGGCGAAATTATTGTTGGACACCTGCATACAAAGTACAGGTAGACGAAAATATCTAAAGCTGACTAGGAACGAGGAAAGTGGCCAACCACCTGTGCAGTCATATTGAGCAGGTGGTTGGAGAAATCATTGTCGGACACTTGTGTACTAAGTACAGGTGCACACAAATATCTAAAACCAACTAGGAACTGGGAAACTGGCCAACGACCTATGCAGTCAAATCAGAACGGTGGCTTGGGAAATCATGGTTGGACAACTAACTATGTACTAAGCACAGGTGCATGAAAATATTTAAAGGCAACTGGGAACGAGGAAACTGGCCAACCAACCGTGCAGTCAAATCGGACAAGAGGCAGGGGAAATCACTGTCGGATAGTTGTGTATTAAATACAGGTATACGCAAATATCTAATGCCAACTGGGAACTGGGAAACTGGCCAACCACATATGCAGTCATATCGAGCAGGTGGCTGGGGAAGTTATGGTCGGTCAACTAACTATGTACTAAGCACAGGTACACAAAAATATTTAAAGGCAAATGGGAGCGGGGAGACTGGCTAACCTCCTGTGCAGTCAAATTGGGCAGGTGGATGGGGAAATCATTGTCGGACACCTGTGTACGAAATACAGGCACACACAAATATCTAAAGCCGACTGGGAATGAGGAAACTGGCCAACCACCTGGACAATCATATCGGGCAGGTGGCTAGGGAAACACAACTAATTGTGTACTAAGCACAGGTACACGAAAATATTTAAAAGCAACTGGGAACGGAGAAACTGGCCTATCACCAGTGCAGTCAAATCGGATAGGTGGCTGGTGAAATCATTGTTGGACACCAGAGTACAAGTATAGGTACACGAAAATATTTAAAGGTAACTAGGAACAAGGAAGCTGGCCAACCACCTGTGCATTCAAATCGAGCAGGTGGCTGGGGAAATCATTGTCGGACAACTATGTACTAGGCACAAGTACACGCAAAAATCTAAAGGCAACTGGGAATGGGGAAACTGGCCAACCACCTGTGCAGTCAAATCGGCCAGGTGGCTGGGGAAATCTTTGTCAGACACTTGTGTACTAAGTATAGGTACACGCAAATATTTAAAGCCAACTGGGAAAGGGCAAACTAGCCTACCACCTGTGCAGTCATAACGGGTAGGTGGCTTGGGTAATCATGGTTGGACAACTAACTGTGTACAAAGCACAAATACATGAAAATATTTAAAGGAAACTAGGAAAAGGGAAATTGGCCAACCACCTATGCAGTCATATCGAGCAGGTGGTTGGGGGAATCATTGTCGGACGCCTATGTATTAAGTACAGATAGCAAATATCTAAAGGCAACTGCAAACGAGGAAATTGGCCAACCACCTGTGCAGTGAAATCGGGCAGGTGGCTGGCGAAATCATTGTCGGACATCTGCGTACTAAGTGCAGGTACACGCAAATATCTAAAGCCGACCGAGAACGGGGAAAGTGGCTGGGGAAACCATAGTCGGACCCCAGTGTACTAACTGGCTGGGGAAATCATAGTTAGAGAACTAGTTGTGTACTGCACATGTACACGAATTTTTTAAAGGAAAGTGCTAACTGGGAAACTGGCCAACCACCTGCACAGTCAAATATGGCAGTTCGCAGGGGAAATCATTGTCGAACACCTATGCACCAAGTACATGTATACGCAAATATCTAAAGCCGACTGGGAACGGGGAACCTAGTCACCACCTGTGCAGTCGTAACGGGCAGGTAGCTTGGGAAATCATGGTTGGACAAGTAACTATGTACGAAGCACAAGTACACGAAAATATTTAAAGGAAACTGGGAACGGAGAAATTGGGCAACCACCTGTGCAATGAAATCGGGCAAGCAACTGGGAAATCATTGTCGCACACCTGCGTACTAAGTATAGTTACACCAAAATATCTAAAGCCGACTGGGAACGGGGAATCTAGCCACCCACCTGTGCAATAAAATCGGGCAAGTGGCTGGGAAATCATTGTCGGGCACCTGCGAACAAAGTATAGGTATACACAAACATCTAGAGGCAACTGGAAATGGGAAAATGGCCAACCACCTGTGCAATCATATCGGGAAGGTAGCTGGGGAAATCATTGTCGGAAACCTATGTACTAAGTATAGGTGCACACAAATATCTAACGTCGACTGGGAACGGGGAAACTGGCCAACCACCTGTATGGGGAAATCATGGTTGGACACCTGTGAACTAAGTACAGGTACAAGAAAGTATTTAAAGGCAACTAGGAACAGGGAAGCTGGCCAACCGCCTATGCATTCAAATTTAGCAGGTGGTTGGGGAAATTATTGTCGGACAACTGTGTACTAAGCACAGGTACCCGCAAATATCTAAAGCCGACTATGAACGGGGAAACTGGCCAACAACCTGTGCAGTCATATCGGGCAGGTGGTTTGGGAAATGATGGTTGGAGAACCAGCTGTGTACTGCACATGTGCACGAAAATATTTAAAGGTACTGGGAACGGGGAAATTGGCCAACCACCTATGCGGTCAAATCGGGCAAGTGGCTGGGAATTCTTTGACAGACACTTGTGTACTAAGTACAGGTACACGCAAACATCTAAAGCCGACTGTAAACGGGAAACTGGCCAACAACCTGTGTAGTCATAATAGGCAGGTGGCTTGGGAAATCATGGTTGGACAACTAACTGTGTACTAAGCACAGGTACACGAAAATATTTAAAGGAAACTTGGAACAGGGAAATTGGCCAAAGACTTGTGCGGTCAAATCGGGCAGGTTACTGGGAATTCTTTGACAGACACTTGTGTACTAAGTGCAGGTACACGCAAATATGTAAAGTCGACTGGGAACGGGGAAAGTGGCCAACAACCTGTGAGATCATATCGGGCAGGTGGCTGGGAAAATCATTGTAGAACACCAGTGTACTAAGTACAGGTACACGCAAATATCTAAAGGCAACTAGGAACGGGGAAACTAGCCCACCACCTACATAGTCAAATTGGGCAGGTGGCTGGGGAAATCATTGTCGGACACCTGTGCACTAATTACAGGTACACGCAAACATCTAAAGCCGAATGGGAACGGGGAAACTGGCCAACCACTTGTGTAGTCATATCGGGCAGGTGACTGGGGAAATCATGGTCGGACAACTAATTGTGTACTGAGCACAGAACAACAAAATATTTAAAGGCAACTGGGAATGGAGAAACTGACCAATCACCTGTGCAGTCAAATAGTGCAGGGAGCAGGTGAAATCATTGTTGGACCCCTGTGTACTAAGTACAGGTACACCGAAATATTTAAAGGCAACTAGGAACAAGGAAGCTGGCCAACCACCTGTGCATTCAAATCGTACAGGTGGCTGGCGAAATCATGCACGGAGAACTAGCTGTGTACTGCACATGTACACAAAAATTTTTAAAAGCAACTGGGAACTGGGAAACTAGCCGACCACTTGTGCAGTCAAATTGGGCAGGTGGCTGGGAAATCTTTGTAGGCATACAACATGGCATGATGGCATGACATGGCTACGACATTGACACATAGCGCCACAAGCAAAAAGGAAGCCTAAAGAATAGGAGTTCATGGGTTTCTTTGTGGGATAGTGGCATGGCGGTTTTTAGGAGGAAAACTACCCATGATACATAACCTAGGCAGTTGGGGTTGTCAACTGTGATAGTCTATAAATAGGCCTTATAGTAGGCATTGTAGACGAGAGACGGACACGAGATAAAGTAAGACGGCAAAGTGCATGTGCTGATCTACTTAGTGTCTTAGGCAAAGTGTATCCTTGTCTTGTGCAAAGAAAAGGTTGGGGGTGTTGCCCTATAAAGTGCATTGCGTATAATATTGTGTGTGAGAGTGCGAGTGGCTGAGACTGTGCTTGGTGTACAATGCCATCACAAGGGTTGAAATTTGGGTGAAAATTTACCCCTATAACACCAAATCGGGGAGGTGGCTTAGGAAAATCATTGGCGGACACTTGTGTACTAAGTACAAGTACACGCAAATATCTAAAGCTGACTGTGGACACCTGCGTGCTAAGTACAGGTACACGAAAATATTTAAAGGCAACTAGCAACAAGGAAGCTGGCCAACTGCCTGTGCATTCAAATCGACCAAGTGGCTAGGGAAATCATTGTCAGACAACTGTGTACTAAGCATAGGTACACGCAAATATCTAAAGGCAACTGGGAACAGGGAAACTGGCCAACCACATGTGCAGTCAAATCGAGTAGGTGGCTGGGGAAATCTTTGTCAGACACTTGTGTAATAAGTACAGGTACACGCAAATATCTAAAGCCGAATGTGAATGGGGAAACTGGCCAACAACCTGTGCAGTCATAACGGGCAGGTGGTTGGGGAAATCAGGGTCGGAGAACTAGCTATGTACTGCACATGTACACAAATTTTTTTAAAGGAAACTGGGAACGGGGAAACTGGCCAACCACCTGCGCAGTCAAATCGAGCAGTTGGCAGGGGAAAGCTTTGTCAGACACCTATGTACCAAGTAAAGGTACACGCAAATATCTAAGGCCGACTAGGAAAGGGGAAACTAGGCAACCACTTGTGAGTCAAATCGGGCAACTAACTGTGGCTGGGGAAATCATGGTCGGACAACTAACTGAGTACTGAGCACAGGTACAAGAAAATATTTAAAGGCAACTGGGAATAGAGAAACTGGCCAATCACCTGTAAAGTAAAATCGGGCATGTGGCTTGTGAAATCATTGTTGAACCCATGTGTACTAAGTACAGGTACACGAAAATATTTAAAGGCAACGAGGAACAGGGAAGCTGGCCAACCACCTGTGCATTCAAATCGAGCAAATGGCAAGGGAAATTATTGTCGGACAACTCTGTACTAAGCACAAGTACACCCAAATATTTAAAGGCAACTGGGAATGGGAAAACTAGCCAACCACCTGTGCAGTCAAATCGGGCAGGTGCTTGGGGAAACCTTTTCCAGACCCTTGTGTAATAAGTACAGGTACACGCAAATATCTGAAGCTGACTGTGAACGGGGAAACTGGCCAACCACATGTGCAATCATATCAGGCAGGTGGCTGGGGAAATCTTTGCCACACACTTGTGTACTAAGTAAAGGTACACGCAAATTTTTTAAGCCGACTATGAACGGGGAAACTGGCCAACCACCTGCGTAGTCAAATCAGGCAGTTGGCAGGGGAAATCTTTGTCAGACACCTATGTACCAAGTACAAGTACACGCAAATATCTAAAGCCGACTATGAACGGGGAAACTGGCCAACCACCTATGCAATCATATCGGGCAGGTGGCTGGGGAAATCATGCTCGGAGAACTAGCCATGTACTTCACATGTACACGAAAATATTTAAAGGCAACTGGGAACGAGGAAACTGACCAACCACCTGTGCAGTCAAATTGGGCAGGTGGTTGGGGAAATTTTTGCCACACACTTGTGTACTAAGTACAGGTACACACAAATATGTAAAGCCGATTGTGAACGGGGAAACTGGCCAACCACCTATGCAGTCATATCAGGCAGTTGGCTGGGGAAATTTTTGCCGAACACTTGTGTACTAAGTACAGGTACACGCATATATCTAAAGCCAACTGTGAATGGGGAAACTGGCCAACCACCTGTGCAGTCATATCGGGCAGGTGGCTGCGGAAATCATTCTCGAAGAACTAGGTGTGTACTGCACATGTACACGAAAATATTTAAAGGCAACTAGGAACGAGGGAAACTGGTCAACCACCTGTGCAGTCCAATCAGGCAGGTGACTGGGAAATCACTGTCGGACACCTGCGTACAAAGTATAGGTACACGCAAATATCTAGAGGCAAATGGAAATGGGGAAACTGGCAAACCACCCATGCAGTCAAATCGGGCAGGTGGCTGGGGAAATCCTTGTCTGACACCTATTTACTAACCACAGATGCACGCAAATATCTAAAGGCAACTGGGAACGGGGAAAATGGCCAACCACTTTTGCAGTCAAATCGTGGAGGTGGCTTGGGAAAATCATTGGCGGACAATTGTGTACTAAGTATAGGTACACGCAAATATCTAAAGCCAACTATGGACAGGGAAATTGGCCAACCACCTGTGTAGTCATATCGGGCAGGTGGCTGGGGAAATCATGGTTGGAAAATTGTATACTAAGTACAGGAACACGCAAATATCTAAAGCTGACTGTGAACGGGGAAACTGGCCAACCACTTGTGTCGTCATATCGAGCAAGTGGTTGGGGAAATCATGCTAGGAGAACTAGCTGTGTATTGCACATGTACACGAAAATATTTAAAGGAAACTTGGAACGGGTAAACTGGCGAACCACCTTTGCAGTCAAATCGGGCAGATGGTCAGGGAAATCTTTGCCAGACACTTGTGTACAAAGTACAGGTGCATGCAAATATATAAAACCGACTGTGAACGGAGAAATTGGCGAACCACCTGTGCAATCATCTCGGGCAAGTGGCTGGTGAAATCATGCTCAGAGAACTAGCTGTGTATTGCACATGTACACAAATCGAGAAATTGGCCCGCCACCTGAGCAGTCAAATCGGGCAGGTGGCTGGGGAAATCGTCACACACCTGTGTACTAAGTACATGTACACGCAAATATCTAAAGCCGACTTGGAACGGGGAAAGTGGCCAACCACCTGTGCAGTCATATCGGGCAGGTGGGTGAGGAAATCATTGTCGGACACCAGTATAATAAGTACAGATACATGCAAAAATCTAAAGGCAACTGGAAACAAGGATACTGGCCAACCTGTGCTATCAAAACAGGCAGGTGGCTGGTGAAATCATTGTCGGACACCTGCGTACTATGTGCAGGTACACACAAATATCGAAAGCCAAATGCAAACGGGGAAAGTGGCCAACAACCTGTGCAATTATATCGGGCAGGTGCCTGGGGAAATCATTGTCAGACACCAGTGTACTAAGTGTGGATACACGCAAATATCTAAAGGTAGCTGGGAACGGGGAAATTGGCCCGCCACCTGCAAAGTCAAATCGGGTAGGTGGCTGGGAAAATCATTGTCGGACACCTGTGTACCAAGTATAGGTACACACAAATATGTAAAGCCGACTGCGAACCGGGAAACGGGCCGACCACTTGTGTAGTCATATCGGGCACGTGACTAGCGAAATCATGGTCGAAGAAAAAGCTGTGCACTGAGCACAGGTACACGATAATATTTAAAGGCAACTGGGAATGGACAAACTCGCCAATCACCTGTGCAGTCAAATCAGGCAGTTGGATGGTGAAATCATTGTTAGACCCCGGTGTACTAAGTGCAGGTACACGCAAATATTTAAAGCCGACTGTGAACGAGGAAACTGGCCAACGACCTGCGCAATTATATCGGGCAGGTGGCTGGGGAAATCAAGGTCAAAGAACTAGTTGTGCACTACACATGTACACGAAAATATTTAAAGACAATTGGGAATGGGGAAACTGGCCAACCACAGGTGCAGTCAAATCGGGCAAGTGGCTGGGTAAATCAATATCGAACACTTGTGTACTCATTACAAGTACACGCAAATATCTAAAGCCGATTGTGAACAGGGAAACTAGCCAACCACCTTTGCAGTTATATCGGGCAGGTGGCTAGGGAAATCATGCTCGGAGAACTAGCTATGTACTGCACATGTACACGAAAATATTTAAAGGCAACCGGGAATGAGGAAACTGGTCAACCACCTGTGCATTCAAATCAACCAAGTGGCAGGGGAAATCTTTGTCGGACACTTGTGTACTACGTACAGGTACATGCAAATATCTAAAGCCGACTGTGAATAGGGAAACTGGCCAACCACCTGTGCAGTCAAATCGGGTAGGTGGCTGGGGAAATCATGCTCGGAGAACTAGCTGTGTACTGCACATGTACACGAAAATATTTAATGGCAATTGGGAACGGGGAAACTGGCCAACCACCTGTGCAGTCAAATCGAGCAGGTGGCAATGGAAATCATTGTCGAACACCTGTGTATTAATTACAGGTGCACGCAAATATCTAAAGCCGATTGTGAGCAGGGAAACTAGCTAACCACCTGTGCAGTCATATCGAGCAGGTAGCTGGGGAAATCATGCTCGGAGAACTACCTGTGTACTGCACATGTACACGAAAAAATTTAAAGGCAACAGGGAACAGGGAAATTGGCCAACCACCTGTGCGGTAAAATCGGGCAGGTGGCAGGGGAAATCAATGTCGAACACCTGCGTACTAATTATAGGTACACGCAAATATCTAAACGCGATTGTGAACAGGGAAACTAGCCAACCACCTGGGCAGTCAAATCGGGCAGGTGGCTGGGGAAATCGTGCTCGGAGAACTAGCTGTGTATTGGACATGTACACGAAAATATTTAAAGGCAACCAAGAAAGGGGAAACTGGCCAACCACCTGTGCAGTCAAATCGAGCTTGTGGCTGGGGAAATCATGCTCGGAGAACTAGCTGTGTATTGGACATGTACACAAAAATATTTAAAGGCAACCATGAATGGAGAAACTGGCCGACCACCTGTGCAGTCAAATCGAGCATGTGGCTGGGGAAATCTTTGTCGGACACTTGTGTACTAAGTACAGATACACGCAAATATCTAAAGCCAACTGTGAACGGGGAAACTGGCCAACCACCTGTGCAGTCAAATCGTGCAGGTGGCTTGGTTGGGAAATCATTCCCAGACACTTGCGTACTAAGTACCAATACACACAAATATCTCAAGCCGACTGTGAATGGGGAAACTTGCCAACCACCAGCGCAGTCATATCGGGCAGGTGGCTGGGGAAATCATGCTTGGAGAACTAGCTGTGTACTGCACATGTACACGAAAATATTTCATGGCAACCAGGAACGAGGAAACTGGCCAACCACCTGTGCCGTCAAATCGAGCAAGTGGTAGAGGAAATCCTTGCCGGACACTTGTGTACTAAGTACAGGTACACGCAAACATCTAAAGCCTACTGTGAACCGAGAAACTGGCCAATCACCTGTGCAATTAAATCGTGCAGGTGGCTTGGGAAATCATTCCCAGACACTTTTGTACTAAGTACCAGTACACGCAAATATCTAAAGCCGATCGTGAACGGGGAAACTTGTCAACCACCAGCGAAGTCATATCGATATGGTGGGTGGTGAAATCTTGCCAGGAGAAATAGCTGTGCACTGCACATGTACACAGAAATATTCAAAGGCAATTGGGAACGAGGAAACTGGCCAACCACCTGTGCAGTCAAACCGAGCAGGTGGCTGGGGAAATCATTGTCGAACACCTGTGTATTAATTACAGGTACACGCAAATATCCAAAGCCGATTGTGAACAGGGAAACTAGCCAACCACCAGTGCAATCATATCGGGCAAATGGCTGGGGAAATCATGCTCGGATAACTAGTTGTGTACTGCACATGTACCTAAAAATACTTAAAGGCAACTCGAAACGAGAAACTGGCCAACCACTTGTGCCGTCAAATCGGACAGGTGACTGGGGAAATCTTTGCCAGACACTTGTGTACTAAGTATAGGTACACGCAAATATCTAAAGCTGATTGTGAACGGGGAAACTGGCAAACCACCTGTTCAGTCATATCGGGCAAGTGGCGGGGGAAATCATGCTCGGAGAACTAGCTGTGCACTGAGCATGTACACGAAAATATTTAAAGGCAACTGGAAACGAGGAAACTAGCCAACCACCTGTGCAGTCAAATCGAGCAGGTGGCTGGGGAAATCATTGTCGAACACCTGTGTATTAATTACAAGTACACACAAATATCCAAAGCTGATTGTGAACAAGGAAACTAGCCAACCACCTGCGCAATCATATCGGGCAGGTGGCTGGGGAAATCATGCTCGAATAACTAGCTGTGTACTGCACATGTACCCGAAAATACTTAAAGGCAACTCAGAACGGGAAACTGGCCAACCACTTGTGCCATCAAATCGGACAGGTGACTGGGGAAATCTTTGCCAGACACTTGTGTACTAAATACATGTACACACAAATATCTAAAGCCTACTTTGAACGGGGAAACTGGCCAACTACCTGTGCGGTCATATTAGGCAAGTGGCCGGGAAAATAATGCTCAGAGAACTAGCTGTGTACTACACATGTACACGAAAACATTTAAAGGCAACTGGGAACGGGGAAACTGGCCAACCACCTGTGCAGTCATATCGGGCATGTGGCTGGGGAAATCATGCTCGGAGAACTAGCTGTGTACTGCACATGTACACGAAAATATTTAAAGGCAACCAGGAACTAGGAAACTAGCCAACCACCTGCACAGTCAAATCGAGCAGTTGGTTGGGGAAATCATTGTCGAACACTTGTGTATTAATTACAAGTTCACGCAAATATCTAAAGCCGATTGTGAACAGGGAAACTAGCCAACCACCTGTTCAGTCATATCGGGCAGGTGGCTGGGGAAATCATGCTCGAATAACTAGTTGTGTACTGCACATGCACACGAAAATACTTAAAGGCAACTCGAAAACGGGGAAACTAGCCAACCACTTGTGCAGTCAAATCGGGCAAGTGGCTGAGGAAATCTTGCTCGGAGAACTAGTTGTGCACAGGGAAATCATGCTCGGAGAACTAGCTGTGCACACAAAAATACTTTAAGGCAAATGGGAACAGGGAAATTGGCCATCCACCTGTGCAGTAAAATCGGGCAGGTGGCTGGGGAAATCATTGTCGTACACATGTGTACTAGTTACAAGTACACGCAAATATCTAAAGCCGACTGTAAATAGGGAAACTGGCCAACTACCTGTGCAGTCAAATCGAGCAAGTGGCTTAGGAAATCTTTGCCAGACACTTGTGTAATAAGTATCGGTACACTCAAATATCTAAAGCCAACTGTGAACGGGGAAACTTGCCAGCCACCAGCTCAGTCATAACGGGCAGATGGATGGGGAAATCATGCTCGAAGAACTAAATGTGTACTGCACATGTACACGAAAATATTTCATGGCAATCGAGAACGAGGAAACTGGCCAACCACCTGTGCAATAAAGTCAGCCAGGTTGCTGGGGAAATCTTTGCCAGACGCTTGTGTACTAAGTACAAGTACACGCAAATATCTAAAGCCGACTGTGAACGGGGAAACTGGCCAACCACCTGTGCAGTCATATCGGGCAGGTGGCGAGGCAAATCATGCTCGGAGAACTAGCAATGTAATGCACATGTACACGAAACTATTTAAAGGCAACTTGTAACAGGGAAATTGGCCAACCGTGTAGTAAAATCGAGCAGGTGGCTAGAGAAATCATTGTCGGACACTTGTGTACTAAGTACAGGTACACATACATATCTAAAGCCGACTATGAACGAGGAAACTGGCCAACCACCTGCACCGTCATATCGAGCAGGTGGCTATGGAAATCATGCTCGGAGAACGAGCTGTGTACTACACATGTACATGAAAATACTTAAAGGCAACTCGGAACGGGGAAACTAGCCAACCACTTGTGCAGTCAAATCGGGCAGGTGGCTGGGGAAATCTTTGCCAGACCTTTGTGTGCTAAGTAAAAGTACACACAAATATCTAAAGCCGACTGTGAACGGGGAAACTAGCCAACCACCTGTGCAGTCATATCGGGCAAGTGGCTGGGGAAATCATGCTCGGAGAACTAGCTGTATACTGCACATGTACACAAAAATATTTCGAAGGCAACTGGGAACGGGGAAATTGGTCAACCACCTGTGCAGTAAAATTGGGCAGGTGGCTGGGGAAATCATTGTTGGACACCTATTTACTAAGTACAGGTACACGCAAATATCTAAAGCCGACTGGGAACGGGGAAACTAGCCAACCACCTGTGCAGTCAAATCGGGCAAGTGGCTTTGGAAATCATGGTTGGACACTTGTGTACTAAGTACAGGTACACGACAATATTAAAGGCAACTAGGAATAGGGAAGCTGGCCAACCGCCTGTGCATTCAAATCGAGCTAGTGGCTGGGGAAATCATTGTCGGACAATTGTGTACTAAGCACAGGTACACGCAAATATCTAAAGGTAATTGGGAATAGGAAAACTGGCCAACCAACTGTGCAGTCAAATCGGGCAGGTGGCTGGGGAAATCTTTGTCACACTTGTGTACTAAGTACAGGTACACGCAAATATCTAAAGCAGACTGTGAACGGGGAAACTGGCCAACAACCTGTGTAGTCATATTGGCAGGTGGTTGGGAAATCATGGTTGAGGAACTAGCTGTGTACTGCACATGTACACGAAAATTTTTAAAGGAAGCTGGTAACGGGGAAACTAGCCAACCACCTGCGCAGTCAAATCAGGCAGTTGGCAAGGGAAATCTTTGTCAGACATCTATGTACCAAGTACAGGTACACGCAAATATCTAAAGCCGATTGGGAAAGGGGAAACTGGCCAACCACCTGTTTAGTCATAACGGGCAAGTGGCTTCGAAATCATGGTTGGACAACTGTGTACTAAGCACAGGTACACGAAAATATTTAGAGGAAATTGGAAACAAGGAAATTGGCCAACCACCTGTGCAGTCAAATCGGGCAGGTGGCTGGGAAATCTTTGTCGCACACCTGCGTACTAAGTATAGGTACACGCAAATATCTAAAACCGACTGGGAAAGGGTAAAGTGGCCAACCATCTACGCAGTCATATCAAGCAAGTGGCTAGGGAAATCATTATCGGATACCTGTGTATTAAGTACAAATACACGCAAATAGCTAAAGGCAACTGGAAGCGAGGAAACTGGTCAACCACTTGTGCAATCAAATCCGGCAAGTGGATGGGGAAATCATTATCGGACACGTGCACTAAGTACAGGTACACACAAATATCTAAAGCCGACTGTGAACGGGAAAACTGGCCAACCACCTGTGCAGTCATATCGGGCAGGTGATTGGGGAAATCATGGTTGGACAACTAGCTGTGTACTAAGCATAGGTACACAAAAATATTTAAAGGCAACTAGGTATGGGGAAACTAGCCAACGACCTGTGCAGTCAAATCGGGCAGGTGGCTGGGGAAATCATTGTCGAACACCTTTGTACTAAGTACAGGTACACGCAAATATCTAAAGCCGACGGGGAACGGGGAAACTAGTCAACCACCTGTGCAGTCAAATCAGGCAGGTGACGGGAAATCATTGTCGAACACCTATAATGGCAACTGGGAACGAGAAAAATGGCCAACCACTTGTAGTCAAATCAGGTAGGTGGCTGGGGAAATCATGGTGGGACAACTAACTGTGTACTAAGCACAGGTACATGAAAATATTTAAAGGCAACTAGGAACGGGGAACTGGCCAACCACTTGTGCAATCAAATCGGGCAGGTGGCTTAGGAAATCATTGTCGGACACGTGTATTAAGTACAAGTACACACGAATATCTAAAGGGACTTGGGAACGGAGAAACTGGCCAACCACTTGTGCATTGAAATTGGGCAGGTGGCTAAGGAAATCATTGTCGAACACATGTATTAAGTACAGGTACACGCGAACATCTAAAGGCAACTGGAAATAGGGAAACTCGCCAACCACATGTGAAGTCAAATCGAGCAGATAGATGGGGAAATCTTGGTTGGACAACTGTGTACTAAGAATCTAAGTCCCAACTATAATCGAAATTCATTTCAAGGAAATTTCCCTCAGATCCATATTGTGATACAAAAGTACAACTTACATTATTTGATTACAAGTACCATAGAGATCTAAGCCTATATAGGTTTCCAGCTCCTATACCCATTATTCCAGTTTCTAATTTATACAAGCAACTGACGGCATAATTGCACTTAGTCCAAAGAAGTGAATGAACACAATTGTCTTATCACTGTACTTCAAAAGATTATCCATAGTGCAAAGAAATAAAAAAAGAAAAAAAAAAAAAAAAAAAAAAAAAACCCCCACATAAAATTGTTAGGGATGACAAGCACTGAAAAGTCCAACGTTATATTTTCTACTCTTATTCAAATAGAACTTGATCTAGATTACCACCAACGCAACATAACCTATCAATAGACCATCTCACTCTTCTTGTCTAGTGTACCTAATTATATTCATGATCTAACCCTCAATACCTACAGTACATTAAGACTACGTTGCTTTATCAATCAGAGGAGACACTTCCTTTCTTGCAAGTTGATCAATGCTGAAACTCAATCATTGTTCAACAGTACAAATACTAGAGCCATGCAACAATAGTTATTCTATCCTACAAAGCCAAAGAACTGAAAGTTTGAAGTATATTTCAAAAATCCTCCAACAAAAACAAGAGCATGCAATGGTGGCAATAATTATTTAAATAATAAATTTATAATATAAAAACATTATAAAAAAATGGGGTTACATTGATTGAATTCTTGCTGAGACTTCTTCATAAATTAAACAAAAATACAAAAGAACAAAGAACCAACCTGCAAATCATATGCAATAAACCATGAGAGATGGAATATCCCATCTTCCAGCCCCATCATATAAAGACCTTCTCTTATCTTCTGTTCCTAAAACATTATGAATAAAAAACAAGTTGCAGTCAAGAACATAAAGGATGACAAACAAATTACTCTCGTCCATAACAAAGAAAAAATAAACATAAAGAAATAAACAAAAACCATGAGGTGAATAAGGTAAATCTTGAGCTTTATTTCAAGTAAAATATAATAGCAGGTAGCAAACCTCCTCAAACACAGAATAGCTGATCAACCGAGAAATTGGGTAGAGAAATCCCAAAAGATGCCTGCTCATCCAAGTTCCAGAACAACCAAACAGAAAATGTCAATACATTAATGCTAAGAAAATTGATTGTGATCTGAAGATTACAACATGAACAGTACAGAAATTGAAAAGCAAAAGAAATAAAACAGAAATAAAAAATTCAAGAGATACATACAATAACCAAACAGAAAATGTCAATATATTAATGCTAAGAAATATTGATTGTGATCTGAAGATTACAACATGAACAGTACAGAAATTGAAAAGCAAAAGAATAAAAACAGAAATAAAAAATTCAAGAGATACATACAATACACCCATATGACACTTTTTATGATGGACTGGAACTCATCATCAGTGTATTCACGAGTTGGAAATGGGACTATTCGAATGTTTGACGGACCATAACTCGTCCATGGCACTTTAAGAGAGGAAGTTTCGCCAGAGGGCAAAGATGAAGGAAGTTCTATATTTTTTATGTCAGATTGTTGGGCCGCAAAAATTATAAAGGAATCCAGAACTTGCTGGAACTGCAATAGTATAAAGGCATAAAAAGAATGGACACACATTTTCACAAATATACATGCAGTTTCACCCACAATTTTATTGAAGATAAGAGGCTTATCAAGGCAGAATCAGAAAATATTTTGTGAAGCAAAAAAAAATTGTGACTATTTAACAAGGATGAAAGTTAGAAGTTGCACTATTGTTAAATAACAATCATTAAACTTATTAAAGGTCAATACATCAAGTTTCAGAATCACTGAAGATTGGTCTATAAGTGGATATCGTATTAACAATTGAATCATTCACCATTACAACAAATTTATGGGTCACACTATGAAACACTGAGAGAATGTCTGAGAAGGGGCAAGCAACAACAATATCATACGCCAGTATTGGTATAAATAAACCCTATCCGACCAACATGAGTAAGCCCTATGTTTGGGGAAAAAAATATCATACTTGGCACCAAACTTTGAGTATGACACAAACTACACTTGGCTCAACATTATGATTCTTTTGGAACAACATATAGAAAGACTCTAAAAAATGTAACACATACTAACAATTTATATGTTACTAGAGACAGCATGTGCTATTATTTCTATTGTGGGATTTACATACCAAAATTTAAAAAATCAATATTCTGTAAGGGATATTTTTTTTTCCACCGGCATATAGATGAATGAGTTAAGGAAGAAGCCAGGAAAAAAGACTGTCTATGTCTGTGCCACTAATCAGTTGAAGTTTCACCTTAACATTCAGATTCAGAAAACCATCACCAATGATCTACTTAAACGAATGTTAAAAGAATGATTATTAAACTAGACCCTGAATTGCATAAAAAGAACTAATAATCCAAACCCAACTTTTTGTATAGACAAATTTTGGGAACACAACAGGAGAACAGAAAGCTTTTTAGAAAATATAAATATAGTTATGACAAAGCTCCATACATCAACTAAAGTAACAAATGAAAGTAAGATACCAAAAATCAATAAGTGGCGAAGGTACGAAGCAACCATACAGTTAAGAAACCGCTGAAGCTGTATTGCATTGTTGGTACTGTATTTACGCCCAGTTCCAAGTCATTAAGTTAGGGACCATTTGTGTCCATGATGGATTTAACGTCAGGAAATCCAGAGAAAGCCCATGTGTGATTGAGACATATGCTATAATCAAAAGATTGGGGACCTTGGTCATGAAATACTACTGCTCTGATTTTTTATTCGAGCAATTCCTAAACAAATAGTTCAGTTTATTCAGTGACAGCTAAATTTAATAATGTGACTTCTCATAGAATCAAACAGACTTGCGTTGTTCAAAAAATAGCCATCCAGTGATCACACAATGGCCATCACATAAGAAATACAGTATAGTAAGAGTCTTAAACTATAAGCATAAGTCACAGATAACTACTTAAAATAAATAAATTAAATAATTATAAAATATAAAATCAAAACACATTTTAATTTGTAAAGTAATTAGAGTGTGCAGATATTAGAACATACCATAACCAATGTAATATCTCCAGCAGAGTTATCCACATTATGATAAACATTTAATTGGTGCAGGTATGATAGTTGGCTCCTTTTTTTTCAAAAACGTATTATGATATTCCGTATTCCAATTGGATACCATAAATGTATTTAGGATCTGTTCAATGAGATCATGCATGCATGATTAGACCTCACATTCAATTCATGAAGAAGTGTGGATCATACAGATAATATCAGGAAGCCAAAGCCACATTTAAAAAGATGAAAACTATAATGCACTGAATCAATGCTTATTCACGCGAATCAAGCATACATGAATAGCTACAGTCATGTAGTCCAAGAGATCACTAATCTGCAAAATATTAGGCAGGAAACGTTTGACCAGTACTAGAAAACCATCAAAAGAAGCAATTTTGGTAATTTGCATTTCTCCACTAGTCTTTCATACATCTCTAGTCCCAACTATAATCGAAATTCATTTCAAGGAAATTTCCCTCAGATCCATACTGTGATACAAAAGTACAACTTACATTATTTGATTGCAGGTACCACAGAGATCTGAGCCTATATAGGTTTCCAGCTCCTGTTCATCTTTGTAAACTCTAGAAACATTCTGTAAGTATGAAATTGACTTTATTTAGATTGAGCCATGAAAACCCTTGTGAAGGAAATGAAAAGACACATTGTGAAACCCGTTATTTCATTTTCTAATTTATACAAGCAAATTCCAACTAACAAAGCCATGCTTGAATGTGACAAAGAGAACCATATGGGAATACAAAGCTCAGAACTTTGCAACTAATACGTACAGTTAAAAGGAAGGGGCAGAAAATAAGATTTTTCTAATAAATAAAAAGCAACACATTCCATGCCTAATAATTAATGGCCATTGGGTCAATCATCTGAAACTACTAATAAGAACATATACTACACTTGGTCTTAACCAAAAGGCCGAGAAAGTGCGAGAAAGCCAAGAACTTAACCCTAAATTTTTTTATTAGGAAAAGGACAACAACAACAAAAACAGAGCCTAATTGACCATGTCTCGCCCACAATACTGCACTAATGAATTATGTTAGCCCCAAAATCATAATCTAAAGATGAAGCCTCCCCATGCAAATGGACACCATTTAAGAAAATCAAGGCAGGATGGTAACATTAACAAAACATCTTCTTTTTCAGTAGTTTGCTAGAATGAAGACAATACACTCTTGATATATAATTGAGGGTAACTGGAGTCCCACACCAATATCATCCATTCTATGCAGGGTGGTTAACAAATCTCATATGTGACAAAGACTTCAATGCTTTTAAAAATAAATTTCAAAATAGAGAAGAGGTGGCAAAGCTCAGATGTGCTAAAGAAAAAGAATGTGCCTAGCATGTGCATGAACACACAACTACATACCAAAAGTAACAAAATCAGGCAATAGATAAGAATGGGTACCTTCAAGAGGGGAAATTTAACCGATATTATGTTAATCATTGACCTTGTTTCTTCGGTGTCTGGTGCAAAAGCCAGAAACTCTTCCTTATTCAACAGTAATTCCAAAACTCATTCAAAGTTAGGTGATATTCCTTTGCCCACTTCCACAAACATCCCTTTCTCGATATACCTGGTCAAGTCTCATTAAACTTAGCACCAATACTTCTCACAAAATGAGAAATTCCACACAAAAACCTTGCCCAAATCCATGTAGGGTTTTAATTTAATTTGTTTCCTTATTTCCTTCAAATTTATTAAGTATTGGGAGAATATTGCCCAAAGCGAAACATCCTTAAAATATGTAGTACCAAATCAAGTAAAAACCACACACACACACCCTGCAATGCACACACGCACACTATATTACAAACATAAATGAAACACAAAAATTAGCCAGACTTTGTCGCCACTTACGGCTGCAACGGGTGAATCTGAGTATCAACACACATCCTTATAGCTATTAACAACAACATTACTACGGTGGGGAGTAATATATGCAAGAAAATCATAAAGAAGTTTCGGATTGGTTTCATCAACTTTTTCTTCACGAAAGTGAAGGATAAATAAATAAATAAATAAGAAAATTATTTTAATTTGAAACAATTATGAATAACACCTAACGAGAAACTGCCACTTAAAATCCAAAATCCAAAATCCAAAAGGAAGACAATAAGTTTTCATTGTTTACTTTTACAATTAAAATGAAGGCACAAACAAACAACTACAACGACAACGAAGCAACTTGCTACAATAACAAAGACAATGACAACAACAGCCGCAGCAGCAGCACCAGAGCTTGATCCTAACTTTTCGTTAAAGTCACATGCTATCATAACAATCCTAATTACCTGTACCCTTGAGAGGATCAAACTCAAAATCCGGCGCCGGCGAAACTCAAAATCGCCGGTCGCCACCTCTGTCAAAATGTCAAGTACGATGAGAGGATCAAACTTTATACCTGGGTCGAGGTCGATGGTGGCCGGATTTTCCGAAATCTCGCCGGAAAAGATTCGGTGGCTGTGAAAAATCTCCAGCTTCGATTCTCCGTCGCCGGTGGACCAATGAGGGGGCTCTTTGGTGGATTAGCTTCCTTCGAGGGCGGGGATCAAAACCCAATAGGTGGCGACGGCAACCGCCACCGAAAATAGCTCGAAATCGGCCGCTATTTCTGGGATTTCTTTCGAACGAGCCACCGTATTCCACTGCTGTAGGATGGACTTAATTTTGATGGAGTAGGTAGAGGAAAAGCAGGGGAACATTTCGGGACAAAAACGGAGGCCATTGGAGCCCGGACGGGGGAGAACGCCGGCGAGAAATTGACGGCTACTGCGGCGTTGAGAGAGGGAGATAGAAAGGTGGGGTCGGGGCGCTAGGAGTGTGACGTTTAAAACAAAATTTTCGTTTTTGGTTGGAAATTAAACCAAATGTTTCTAAAATGTCGAAATTGCCATTGAACTTCTTTAAATAACAACTCTTTCATTATAAATCAGATTTTTTGCGGTTTTATCCCCTAAACGAGTTGCATATTGTCCATTTAGCCCTTTAACAATTTTTTCGGTAAAAGGCTTTTCATCGCAAAACGTCCGTAAGGTTAACGAAACTATCAGATTGCGTTTTTTTTTTTTTTTTTTTTTTTTTTGTGTGTCCTCAAGGTTAAACACGGGTGCTCACATATGTTAAATTGTTGATGTGACATATATATATATATAAGACTCACATATCCAATGAAATGATGCCACATGGAGTATATCAAGAAATATATATTTCAAAAATAATTTTTGAGCAGTTTATCATTACAGTAATAATTGTTTTACCAAGTGATAGCTATGGAATGAGTAATGCTGATTCTTTTGGGCCTGGAAACTACTATGGTGCGGCAACGCCTGTTGGGTCAATGTTGAATGTTCAGAATTTGAATTCAGTCAGCTCAACACCTATATCCAAGACCAACTCTCCCCTTATAAGTAATCAGTCGAATATGCACGGTGCACAACAAAGTGAACATGTGAAGCCTCAACAACTTGATCAATTAGAAAAGATAAATTTCCGAACTCCACTATCTTCAAGAGAGAATATCCTCCATTCTCATCAACCTAATCAGTTTCAACAACAGCAGCAATTAGTTCACCAGCAATGTCAACAGAAGCAGCAGAATCCGCAGCCCCAGCAGATGTTAAACAATGATGCTTTTGGTCAGTCTCAAATGACATCTGATCTCAGCAGTGCAAAGCGTGATATGGACCACCATAATGAAGCTATGCACCAACAAGCTACAGAACCGTTTCGATTATCGGAGATGCATAACCAATTCCATCAGCACTCTGTTGAAGATCGTTTCAGGAATGCTCCGCATATCCCATCTGGTCAACATGATATCTCCTCTTTATTGTCTCAAACTTCTCAGCAAATGCAACAAATATTGCAGCCTCACCAATTGGTTGCAGAGTCTCAAAATGATTTCATATCTCTCTCTGTTGGAGCTCAATCAGAACCAGTACTGCAACGTCAATGGCATCCTCAATTGCAAGATGGGAGTCACAGACAGGCCAACATGTCCCATGAGCAGTGTGTCCATGAAGATTTCCGTCAGAGGATATCCGGGCAAGATGAAGCTTAGTGTAATAATTCATCTTCAGAAGGACCTAGTGTTCAAAATATGGGAACAGGGGACTACATTAAAAAATAAAATTATTTATTTATTTATTTATTTCACATTAAAAATAACAATAATAAAATATAAAATAAGAGAGAGAGAGAGAGAGAGAGAGAGAGAGAGAGAGGAGTAAACAAGGGATTACATTAAAAAATAAAATAAAATATTTATTTATTTATTTCACATTAAAAAAAAATTTTAAAAAGAAAAAAAAGAAAGAGGGGTAAACAGGGGACTACACGTGCCAATTTATATTTTTTCTTGGCATGACATGGGTATTGAAGCTTGTGTAAGCACTTTGTGGCCGCGTTTGACGGGTTTTTGCTTACATCGGTTGGGCCTTCTTTACAATAAGGGGGCTTCTATAGTGAGTGGAAAGTTATAAGGAGTGTTTTTGAGGGGTATGTAAGAGCCGTTGGATTTCATCCAACGGTGAGTTTTTAAAAGATGGTGCATGTAGAACCGGGATGAAATCTGACCCGTTGGAAATCCAACTTCAGTTGAAGATTTTTCCCTCTCTGTGAAAAACTCAAGAACACAATCCTCTCTTTTTTAATGTAATGCAAACCCACAATTAGAAAGATCCAAAGCTCCCAAACCCTATAATCGCTCCATTGTCATCAGCTCCTTGGGAGGCCTACGATCTATGGTATCCTCGGTATGACGATTAATGGCTCTTACCTAGCTATTGCCCTGTTTTGATTCTATGGCTCAAGTGAAAACCTCTTCTCTTTTTCGTTCAACAGACGAGATTCCAAATGAAAGCAAAGAGCATATCTCTTTCTGTAGCTAGATGCCACAGCAGCAGTTGTTCCTCGATTTTGGTAGAGATGGAGTCTCCACTACCAAAGAATCTTCTCTAATGTCCACCACATTCTCTCAAGCTGACTGACTTCAGAGCTCCCGATTGACTTTGAGAGGTAAGTTCACTTTTGCTGGATTGATTTTGTTGGGTTTGGTTTGTTTTTTTTGTGAGGGTGGGAAATTTGTCATTTGTGGCATCAATAATGCGTCATTTGTGGAATCAATAATGCGTCATTTCTGCTATCAATAATGCGTCATTTCCTTATGAATATTCAATATACTTAGTTTATTGTTTTTTTTGGGGGGGGGAGGGTTTGTGGAAAATTATGAAATGTAGGTAAAAGATCCTAAACTTAGGCTTAATGGCAATAGGAGTAAGCATTTGGAGAGGATATTGGGTGAAGTTCTGTAATTCCTGGTTTGAATTACATTTGTGTTCTTAGTTGAACGTGTTGGTTCTAATGTTATTTTTTCCAGATTATTTCACAAGAGATGACGTAACTATTATTAAATTTTGCTTGCGTTTTGTGTAATCAGAATCCAACAAGCTAGGCTATGCGTGTTTTGTGTCAATTTGGGCAATGTTTTGTGTAAGTGGAATGCATTGATATGTTGTGATGCAGTAATGATTTATTAATGAATTAATATTTGCTATGCAGTAATATAGAAGTAAATCAATAATATACGTGGATGTGTGAAAAATTATGAAATGTAGGTAAAATATCCTAAACTTAGGCTTAATGGCATTAGGAGTAAGCATTTGGAGAGGATATTGTGTGAAGTTCTGTAATTCCTGGTTTGAATTACATTTGTGTTCTTAGTTGAACGTGTTGGTTCTAATGTTATTTTTTCCATATCATTTCACAAGAGATGACGTAACTATTATTAAATTTTGCTTGCGTTTTGTGTAATCGGAATCCAACAAGCTAGGCTATGCGTGTTTTGTGTCAATTTGGGCAATGTTTTGTGTAAGTAGAATGCATTGATATGTTGTGATGCAGTAATGATTTATTAATGAATTAATATTTGCTATGCAGTAATATAGAAGTAAATCAATAATATACGTGGATGTGTGAAAAATTATGAAATGTAGGTAAAATATCCTAAACTTAGGCTTAATGGCATTAGGAGTAAGCATTTGGAGAGGATATTGTGTGAAGTTCTGTAATTCCTGGTTTGAATTACATTTGTGTTCTTAGTTGAACGTGTTGGTTCTAATGTTATTTTTTCCATATCATTTCACAAGAGATGACGTAACTATTATTAAATTTTGCTTGCGTTTTGTGTAATCGGAATCCAACAAGCTAGGCTATGCGTGTTTTGTGTCAATTTGGGCAATGTTTTGTGTAAGTGGAATGCATTGATATGTTGTGATGCAGTAATGATTTATTAATGAATTAATATTTGCTATGCAGTAATATAGAAGTAAATCAATAATATACGTGGATGTGTGAAAAATTATGAAATGTAGGTAAAGTATCCTAAACTTAGGCTTAATGGCATTAGGAGTAAGCATTTGGAGAGGATATTGGGTGAAGTTCTGTAATTGCTGGTTTGAATTACATTTGTGTTCTTAGTTGAACGTGTTGGTTCTAATATTATCTTTTCCAGATTATTTCACAAGAGATGACGTAACTATTACTAAATTTTGCTTGCGTTTTGTGTAATCGGAATCCAACAAGCTAGGCTATGTGTGTTTTGTGTCAATTTGGGCAATGTTTTGTGTAAGTGGAATGCATTGATATGTTGTGATGCAGTAATGATTTATTAATGAATTAATATTTGCTATGCAGTAATATAGAAGTAGATCAATAATATACGTGGATAAAATGTCTAGGGGCTCAGAGAGTGATGACTGTGTAACAGCTAATAGGAGGGTTTACATCCCTAAAGTAAGAAATGAGGAAACACTAGCAGTTGGGATGAAGTTCGACTCGCTTGACCTCGTTTATAATTTCTATAATAGATATACATTCTTGGCTGGCTTTGGTATTCGACTTCATCCCAGCTTTTGGGGGAAAAATAAGAAAGAGATTCTGAGGAAAGAATTTGTATGTTGCAAACAAAGTGCATACAGAAAAGATGAAACTTGGGAGAGAAAAAGACAGCGGGGAATAAGTAGATGCAATTGCAAAGCTAAAATTGCAGTTGTGAAGACACATGGGAGCAAGAAGTATACCATCTCTCTTTTTGCAGAGGGACACAATCATAAGATGACACCCTCAGAAAGAATGCATTTATTGAGATCACACCATTGTATTTCAAATTCTACAAAAGTACTCACAAAACAATTGGGTTCGGTTAATATTCCCATTAATCAGAAGGTAAGTATTTTTGAGGTGCAATCCGGAGGAATGGATAAAATCGGTTTTATCAAAAAAGATATCTACAATCTTGAATGTAGCGTGAATGGGAAGCTGGGGAACCATGATGTTGAACTAGTGACCAAGTATTTTATGGTTGAACAGAAAAAAATGAGGCTTTTTATTTCAAGATTGAGGGAGATGGCGATAACAGGTTTAGTCTATGTTTTTGGGTAGATGCAACTTCTAGACGGGCGTACGGGTTTTATGGAGATGTTGTTGTATTCGATACCACATTCAACACGAATTGATACGACTTGACATTTGCACCAATGTTGGGAGTTAATAACCATGGTCAGACAATTGTCTTAGCATGCGCATTTTTGAGCAAGGAAACGACTGAGTCGTTTATTTGGATGTTTGAGGAATTTAAGAAAGCCATGCCAGGTGGCGAACCTAAAACGATCATTACAGATCAAGATGCGGCAATGACCAGAGCGATTTCAATAGCCTTCCCGACTACATTTCATCGACTTTGCATATGGCACATCACATCAAAGTTCTCTGTTAAGTTACCACATTATGCTTATAAGGAGTATTGGCGTGAATTCCAAAAATCCATATGGGATACTGACAATAAGGATGAGTTTGATGCAAAATGGAATAGTGTGGTTACAAAGGCTGGTTTGACTGACCATCCATGGCTAAGTTCAATGTTTGATTTAAGGGAATCTTGGGTTCCAACCTATGCACGACACTTTTTTGCTGTTGGAATGTCAAGCAGCCAAAGAGCGAAAGGCTTTCATGGTTTCTTCAAGCACTACATATCAAGGAGAAATTCATTAATAAATTTCATAATACGATTTAAGAGGGCACTTTCTCATCAATGTCAAAAAGAGTTAGTTGCTGATCACGTAGATGCATTTGAAGTGGGTCAATGTATTCTACCGATGCCAATGAACAAACAAATGACTACCTTGTACACAAAGACAATGTTTCAAAAGTTTGAGCAAGAACTAATACAAAGTACAACATGTTTCCTAGAGCTCAAAATAGAGGATGCTTCTAAAGTTGTCTTTAATGTGAGCGAAAGGAAAAATTGGGAAACAAGAGTAGCAGAAGTCGTATATGTCAAAGATTATGACCACGCATCATGTAGCTGCAAAAGATTTGAATTTGTTGGAATTATTTGCAAGCACATCCTAGCATTGTTCAGAAGGAACCAGATTGAATATATGCCCGATAAATACATTTTGAAGAGGTGGAAGAAAACTGCGAAATCTGGATTGGTGTCAGATGCAAATGGCAACGAGAAAGACTCTGCAGATCCTGGTCTTTTAATAAAGTGGAGTACAATGTCCCGACTTGCTTCAGATGTGGTTGATGATGCATTAATGTGTGAAGAAGGATGTGAGCTACTGTCAGAGACTCTAAAAGTTTGCGGGTGAAGTTGAAGTTGTTGAAGGATGGACCAAGTAATAACGAAATTGGAGGGTCCAACTCTTAAACACAATATATGAAAGACCCTAAGAGAGTAAGGTGCAATGGAAGGTCGAAACGAGTAACAGGAGCAAAGGAAAAGGCAATGAAGCGAGGGATTAGACACTGTTGGGAGTGTGGACACATTGGTCATGATAAAAGACAATGCCTAAGAAATTTGAACACATCGTAAGATGTTAACACTATTTATAATAACACCTAAAATTTGAATACGTAAATTTTTTATGTGCTTATGTTTTATGTTTATGCAGGACATCACCGTCGAACAATGACGAATCAACTCCAATAGATCTTAGTGACCCATTATTCGACGAATTTTACAGGATGCACGGACCAACTCAATGATTTATGTTTCTATTGTACGAAGCCCGGTTGTTATGAAGACTAATGATCAGGTGAAGTTTTCTAGATGCAGTTTTTTTATTATTATTTTTTTGTTCATGTCCACCGATGCTCTTACTATGTCCACTGATATTGAAATGAAAATTTGCTTGGTTTCATTCTTGCATGAAATTTGGACACATGTTAATTTTACGTCTTCTCCCTATTTAGAAATTTTCATAGACATTAGATAAAGTATCAAATTTTGAGTTATGTGAAGAAGCAATGACTTTTACGTTGTAAAATGGGTAGTTTATGGTGAATTATGTTTTAACATAGATTCATTGATTATATCACAGGCTAATGCAGGATTTCCAGAAACCATCTGTTGTTTCCATTACCAGTAATGATTTCCAGCAGCACTCATCATTTCCAGCAACACCCACTTTTTCCGAATGTTATGTTCTAGTGTTTTACTGGTTATTAAGATCTGAGCTCGACTGGTTATTAGGTGCACAATTTTGTAAACATTCGTAACTAAAGGATACTTGAAGCAATTTGTTGGAATAAAATGATTAGAAAGCAGCGTGTAAAAAAGTACATTGTAGTTAATCACATTTCGAACGGTTGGAGAATATTAAAGGGTACACTAACATTTGAACTACTCATAATTCCACACACAAAAGAAAATTTGATTGCAAAGCATTTTATGTGCTCCCTCTTAGCAATACCACGATCTCCCCAATCAACTGAACAACAGTAGCCACAATCACTAGGCGTATTGGTCAGCTTCTTCTTAGCAGGTCTCACGTGCTTATGGTCACTCATGTCCCAAGTGATATAGACGAAATAAATATTCAGCAATATTTGGAATTTTATTATATATAAATAAACCATAAACCATTCACTAAACAATGTATAGCATACGGTATGTTACTTATGACTCACGTATCAGTTTTTTGAGAAAAAGTACGCCGGCTCTTTATTGTGAACGGACATGATAATAGGGCTTTACTGATTCCCAACGTGCTGTGATATTGACGGCTTATTGAATAATATTTCAATATTTGCAAAATATAATGTTAGACAGAAGGAACACATGATGACTTGCAATACATAGTCCCAATAATTATATATGATGCAAATGAAACTGATATTTGTGTTATTTTAAATTAGATAATGACATTAAGGGAATATACTTCTAATTTGTGCAATACCACAATCACCCCCAACCAACTGAACAGCGGTAGCCGCAATCACTTAGTCGTACCGGTCGGCTTCTTCCGAGCAGCTTTGACATGCTTATGCTCACTCATGTCACCACCATCGTCTAGTATCTCTCTCACAGCATCAGGGGACGCATAGTCCCAATTATAACTTGTATGAGTAGTTGCCGCAAATGCTCGGAATTTTTCAAATCCTTCGTTGAATGCCAACTCCAGTTCACTGTGGTGCTCTTCGCATCGCATATGGTTCATCAAACAACCTTTAATTTCATCATTCATTACTGTATCCAACTCTTCAACTTTCAGCTTCCTTTTATGACTTAGCTTCAAGTACTTGTTCTTTTGGGAGAACGCTTTGTTCACTCTAATGTTAAGATCAACCAAAATGGCCTCGTCTTCAACACATTTCTCATGCCATGATCAGTCTGGAATTATAATCTAGCTTGCTACTGAGTGCATGTATTGCCTCTAATAGATCATCGGAGTCCCCCTCACTCCCAAATGATGTTGAAAATGGAAGGGGTCGGCGAGTACAACGTGGAAATGGAAACTGCGACTCCAATTTTTCATCTTCAACTGTGTTGTTGGTGCCTGAAGAGGTTGACATGCTTGAATAATCTTATTTGTTTTAGAGGATGAGGATTGCATATGCAATTTCGTTTGAGAAAAGGGACATAGCTTTATAGACCAACATACCAAAGCTAGTGTGTAGTCAACATATGTACTTTATTTCAATTTTAAAAAAAGAGGTGTCAGGTTTTGCTTTTCAAGCATGTCAACCTCACACTCTCCTTGCACCACTGTTAGTGATTGAAAGAAACTCAATGGAAGTGACATCTAGTTAGTGAACCCAACCAAACTAACCAAACTAGTTAGGATTAAACTTAGATTGTATCAGACCAAAAATTAATTTATACATTGTCAACCAAGTGTTCTTTGGCGGGAACCCTTTTATTGGTATTACTATCACCCCCTTCGTAGAAACTCTCCCTCCACAAAAAACTCACTCCTCCACCGAATCTGTCTCCATCTACTGAAACTCTCTCCTCCACAGAAACCAGTGGCGGATCCAGGATGGGAAAGCCAACTGGGCCGAACTTACATACTAAATTTGACGGTACGAGTGAATTTCATTAATAAGCAGAAAAAGATACATCTAGTCATGGGGGTCATAATGAGTTTTACCCTCAAATACATCTATACATAAATAAAAACTTAACAACAAAAACAAAAACCACAAGTAATTTCAACAAAATCACAAAATTTTAAATCAATCCTTAGATAAATCCTAGAATACTCAATTTTAAATTAAAACTATAATTAAAGATATAGAAAAAATTAGATAATTAGAAAATACTTTTTGTTGTAGAAAGTAGAGGAAAATATACTGCCAAGTTGTCCACAGCCCAGCCAAGATAACAAGAAGATGCAACAAATAAAAGGGGAAAGAATATGTTGTTGCTGTCAGATTGCCATAGAATAGATGAGATAAACAAGCTGATGTGATGTAGCCAAAGAGAAGAGAGAGAAGATATGGGACCACTTCCTCTTGGATGGCCAACATGTGTATTGGGTTAGCTTTTATTTTTTAAATTTTGGGCTGCCCTTATAACATATGTAGGTTTTAAAAAAAAAAAAAAAAAAAAAAAAAAAAAAAAAAAAAAATTTGGGAGGCACCCATCCTGCCCTGTGCATAGATCCGCCACTGACAGAAACTCTCTTCCTCCATAGAATGGATTTACTAACCAAGTTTGATGTGAGCATAATAAACACCCCTCCAAATAAAGACCGCATTCGAAACGTAAGTGAGTCACTAGACAAGCAGTGTCACATTCCTAGGCAGAATGACCATTTTGTTGGAAGTTTTGAGTCTGAAAGAGTTCTTGCTTTCTGAAAGGAGAGGTATCTTCAACTTGGTGATGAAATCCAAAAAGCAAGGGCACGTTTGGAATTTGTTGAAGGCCAAATTAAAGATGACAAAAGGCAGGCCAATCTGGATAGGGCGAAGTTGCAGCCGCATGAAGCGTAGACACAAACGACTTCGGAGTGTAGCTATTCAAAAATACAAGAACTCATCTAATGCATTGGAGTCAAAGAAGCGTGTGATGCAAGTTGGATTCAACTACTTCCGATCCTATGCAAAACTTGTCGTACCCGGGTTTGATTGGTCATCTATTACCGTTTTCGATGTTAACAAATATACTCAGCAAGGGAAGTAACCATTTTGGTTCTCGTGTTTGAGCAGAGGCAAATCAGTGGAATTGGAATTTTCGTTAAACTCTGCTTCAAACCTATTTTGATGCTTACTACTATGGAAGATTTCAACCTTAATATTTTGATGCCTTTAATTACGATAACACGAGATGCAAAGTGCCCATCCACTTCAGTCATATGTTGCTGCTGTGGGAGCAAATATTTCCGTCTCCAATCACGGCACGCCATGTGGAAAAAAAGATTATCTCTTAAATTAATTAATTGAACTAGTTTATCTGGCCAATTAATTAATTGGGATAAATATCTTAATTAATAGGATATTATCTTTAATTAATAGGATATTATCTTAATTAATTCAGATATTATCATAATAAAGAGAAGATAATATCATTAATTCAGATATTATCTTCAATAAAGAGAAGATAATATCAAGTCCGACTCAATCCCTACGAATTTGGATAGAGAATAAACTCATCATGTTCTCTACGAAACCCTAGCCCCGAGTCTCCTATAATAGACTACTTCATTCATCATTCAAGATACATCTAAACATACTCCTAAACCCGAGAAAAAGATACCCGAAGCTCTATCTCCCTCTCCACTCTCCATATTTTCTCCACACGGCTCCGGCCACCACGCACGGCTCCGGCCACGCGGTTCACACCATACATACAACTTCGTACCCTTTACTTAGCTATTGTTTTCCTACACACACTCGAACTAACTTAGGCATTGGAGGGCCTTTGGCCAACACCCCCCCCGGGTGTGGTCTATTTACTCCAGTCTTTTTTACAAGAATCGAGGAAGAGAGAGAAGGAAGATTGAAGGTTGAAGGATCTAGAAGCGAATATTCTCCCGCGAGATTATTTGCACAAACAGCTGGCATGTCCATTTTTTATTTATCACGTATCAGATTTGGACATGGTTGCATCATATGCAATGTTGCCTTTATTTATTATATGTTCGAGCAAGGTTTATGGAAAAGCATTTGTGAGTGCGTTTGTGACAAGGTTATGACATTATTTTGTACCAGTTATATATTATTTTTTGTACTGGTTCATCTCCTACTATTGCTTTCTGTCTTTATATTATATGTTTGTGGAATCCCCAAAGTTAACATATACTGTGAAAAAAATGCAAAGTGAATATATAATCACTTATATAGACTAGAACAAATATTCACTAAT